GCCCTCAATGTCATTCTTCCGGAACGTCTCTAAAATTAATATTAATATCATAGCAGTGCCTCTTTTAAGCTTGATCAGGGCGCATCAAAGCGTGAGTATCACCACTCAAGACGCCCCGAGCCAAAGCAGTCATCGTTTAGGTTCTCCAGCGACGGTGCTGATGATGGCTGGCCAGTTGATGCAGAGCGTATTTGGCAAAAAGGAAGACCCAGGAGAAGGGGTGAGAAATTTCCATCCTACTCCTGCCTTGCACAAGTTGAAGTTTGGAATTCCATGTCTCCAAGCTCCCCCAAGTCAGTTGTCAAGGAGCCAAAGCAAAGCTTGTGTGCTCCGGGAGTCCCTTGTTTGGGAGAAGCGCAGTTCCTTGATCACAGTTGCTTGCAAAACTGACTTTAGCTCCATTGCACACCAGCAGTTTCTTTAGGGCTTGAACATTGGTACTTCTTCAACTGCGGGGCTGCTTTGAGTCACATCTCTTGATGCTGCCGGTCCAGTGCAGACGACAATATGAGAAAGTATGCTGAGCTTTTCCTTTCTAGATTCTGGGGAATTCAGCATGCTTTCATTAGTTGGATCTTGCCCAGCTTTAGGGATAGGGTTCGATGTTGAGATTTATGTCGGCCCATCGATCAATTCAGACGCACCACCCAAGCAGAAGCCATTCCTCATTTTCGAAAAGTGGCACACATTCCACTGGATTCGGTCGGCTAATTGAATTTATCTGTCAAGGGTGCTTGATTTGTGCAATCAAAATTCAATGTGCTGCGTCATTTGGACCGAGGTTGATTGGCTCTTTCTGCTTTTCGAAGCCTTTCTGCCCGGGTCTCCAACGTGCAGGTTGAGTTTTGGAACAGCCCAGAGAGAGCAGGTTGGCTCATGAAACAAGGTGGGTTTCTGTGCCCCCATCGCATCTGCGGAAAAGCGCACCACCCGCATTGCGTTTTCTGTCTTTTCTTTTCTTGAGGAGGATTATAAGTGCGTTCTGCGATTGATGCATTAGCGTAAGGACATCGCATCCGAGTGGAATTGCTAACATCTGTTGCTATGCTTGTCAAATATCCCCGATTATCTGGTACAATCAAGCCCACTTCATTAATATACCTGGACAAGCATTGTTCTTTTCCTAGACCTGCCCAAACTCTGAACTGCTGCGTCAATCTTTGAATGACTCTGAAGCATCCCATGCTGATTTCAGACAAACATACTGAAATGAAGGCAACGCTGGGAGTCTTTTGGTCAGAAGTGAAGCATCACAATTGAGAAGTTTTGCAGAAACTTGCGCCCCACAAATACCAGGACGTCTTTTAGGAACGATTCTTGCAACACTTTCTTTTTAAAATCGCTGAACCTGGATCACAGGAGAGTACATCAAGACCTGGAGGCGACGCTGGTTTGTCCTGAAAGACGGCAAGATCTTCTGGTTCAAAGACGAAAGAGTCAGCAGGGTAAGTCGCTCCGACCCGGACTTTTGAACCAAGCAGTTGTGCTTTCATTGTTCTGGCAAGGTTGTGAATTCCATATTCGATGTGGTGGCAGGCATTGACTTGCAACGGGTCACCTGGCTGCCTGTTCGTCGAATCCTCTGTCTCAATCTCACGGCGTCTCTTATAGAGGCCGGGCTTTTTGCAGTCTTTGAGGAGGCTTTACAGGGAAAGCTGAGTCGATCACTCCTGCCCAGTGCGTCAGTCAGAATCCCATTGAGGGTGACTTTCTCGGAACTAGAACGTTCTCCCTGTTGAGAGGAGTATGAGCATGCGTCTCGTTCCTAAAGAAGGGATTCAACTGGGGTTCGACTGAAGTCAGTCGCTCAAGTTTCGAATCAGGTCAACACGTCAGTCGACGTGTGAGCCAGTAGTAGGGTCTTACCATAGTTTGACCTTGTCAAGTCATTTTGGGAGAGTAAACGTGGGCCAAGCTCATTGGATTAGAGCTCCCTTTTGCACATCTTGCAGTCCTCTGTTCCCCGGGGGGTAATCCCAGTCAAGGAGTGCCTGACGATAAAGGGCGCGGAGGATGCTATCAACAAGCCGCACGCGTTCGAGCTTTCCACGGTGCAGGACACGTTCTTCTTCATAGCGGATTCAGATAAGGTGAGCTGACGGTGATACGGCCATCAACCCGTGCAACTAGCATGATCAATGTTGGTTATCTGAAAGCATGAAGCCAAAGTAGTTGATTCAACTAACTGAAGGACATACCGTTTCGAATTGCTTCTTGTCGTGAGCACATTGTTCGTCATCAGGGCGTTAAGGAGGGAGGATAATGGACGCATGTGATTTCCCCTGCATTGTGGGAAGGTTACAGAAAGACAACTTCGTTCGGCAACCTGGTGACTTTGCACCGATTCGCTGTGCCAATGATCTGGTCCTTTTACATTAGTCCGTGCGTCAAAAAGACGCCATTCTCCATCGTGTTGATTGCTCGTGGACCCTTTGTTGCTGCCACCGGTTCCCTTCTTCTTTCACCCTCCGCCGTCAAGTCAAGCTGCACTCCTCACTCTTCAACCGTGCAATGCTTGCTGATTGCGCACGCACACGCACAGGAAAAGGAGGACTGGATCAATGCGGTGGGCCGGTCGATCGTGCGGCGATCGCGGTCTGTCACAGAACGGGAGGTGCTGGACTACTGACGCGCGCGTTCGGGTTACGAAAAGCTCTTTCCAGCAGTCTCTGGCGCGCTTCCTCTCGCTTGCACGAGCAACTCGAATGATGTTCGTAATCAAGATTTATCATGGAAGCTTGCAATGTTCCTGATATGCAGTCAATTACTGGGTCTGCCGCCAATGCTTCTGACTGCAAGCTGCTGTGATCGCTTAGAGAGGGCAGGATTGGGGGCGTTACTTGCGTCGAGGTGTTGAGCTTTTAGCGGGAGGGTTGTGGACGGGTCGTGAGTGAAGTTGGCGGAGCGGTGTACAAATACTGATAGACAATGTGTACATGTTATATACTTGGAACATTACGGATACGAGTACTTTGTGTCGCTTGACATATGTAACGTTTAACTCAGTCAGACGTACGTACAGATCGAATCGCAGGATCACCTGGCACCTGCAACTGTCCCAGCGCTCTGGCTTGCGCACACTGATGTTGATTGAGAATGTGTGCAATGCATCCACCAAAATTACCCTGACAGCAGCATTAGGTACCTCGTAGAATGCCACAGACGGTGACAGCCTCCGCCGAGCACAGCACGCACGCCGAATATGAGTGGGCATGCGAGTCGTTAGTGTCCTGACTGGGAGGAACCGTCATGCCTATATAAGCTGATTTTGATTATTCAAATTAACTTGTAAGCTATAGTAGAGGCGATCCGCGCATGTGTGTGCCGCGTTGCATATGCTGCTTTCAAGCTCCCGTGGCGCGCCAGTGGCTCATGTGCTGGCATGTTGAGAGCCTGCTTGCAACAATCTACGATCTGGGTCATCCGAGAATGTTAGTGCAGTGCATGGGCGCGCCGACTTGCCCGGCATGCATGCGCAAAGGATCTGCGGAAGTCTGTGGCCGCTCGCATTGATTGGACGGAGTTCTCAATCAACGCATGTGCAGCTGCCCGCTCGCAATCTTGGCCGTCAACATGGTTGCGTGTAAGCATGTGCAGGGTAGATGCGATCATGCCCACGCACCTGGATTCCATGCACCTGGACTCTTCAACGGTGGACTCTTCAACGGGAAACTGGATAATCACCAATTTGTGTGGCTTGTCGATTGTCACGACGTACGTTTTGATTCCATTGAAAGCCCGAACCTGATGTATATAGCTCTACCATCCGGGTTCCTATGCTCAGTCCGGCCCGAAAACTGCAAACGTATGCTCATCAACTGCAACCATCGAGGCAGCCGCCAAGCTCTGGGCATGAGCATTGCCGTAAAAATCTTTTGAACCACGACGAGTCTGGGACTTGATGCAAAAAGCCCGGACAACGGGATGATTGTTCGGAGGTAGGTTGACTTCTTGGCCCCTCATTGCAAGCAGATAACAAGGAATGGCGCCAGTCGAATCCTATTCTCAATTCAGTGGTCGCATCTCATCATCCACTCGCACGGATTGAGGGTTCCCTTAGGATGAGCCATAAGCACTCTTTGCATTCCTAACGTCTCTGTCAAAAAGCAGGCTTAACAAAGTGGAGTTTCGTACTAGCGATGCAAAAGCTGCGACTCCTAGAACGAAAGCCGCAGACACAACTGCAGGCACAAAAAGGTTGTAGCCCCGTTAGCTTTTTCCTGCCGGGCAAAAATCGATTGCCAACTCTACCGCAGAAAGCAATCAAAGCGGGCTTGCTTCACGTAAGCTCAAGGACGTTCATCAGAGCTTTCGAGTACACGCAGTAGAGTGAGCCAAGTACGGTCTCAGCCTCCCTTCATAGCGACTACTCTTCCAGAGGTTTGAGGCCCTGTTCTGGATGCAAAGACTACCATGATTGATGCAGTCAGCTTTTCAACAGATAATTCTGGAACCTTTGTAATCAATCAAAGAACAATAAAGATATCTTTCACAAATAGCATATCACAATGACGTGGTCCCAGAAACTCGCCACAAATTCGCGCACAAAGCGGGTCGAGCGGGATCCCCGAGAAATGTCTTCAGAAAACCTGATAATCTGGAAATGAGCCTGGGCGAGTCTGGAGCATCTTGCTCGTCAACAAGGAATCCAGGAAACAGTCCTAAAGTTGATTCGAGCTCGATGATGTGAATTCTTAGGACCGCTTCTTGGATTTTCATTCCCTCTCAGGACGGAGCGGTCCAACGTGCAAGCAGCAGGGAGACTCGTACCGTACGATTTTGACAGACCGATGCCACAGGAAATGTTTTTGCCATGACATCCTATTGCACAGCCTGCGTGCTTGGAAGTACCTAAGAAACGAATGTCCATATACTACAGTTTTGCAAATACGACAACGTAAGAAAGTAGGTTGCCAGGATTGAGAAGCGGCGTGGGTTAGTCACCTCGTCGATGCGGGTGCCGAGGGATTGCGCCCAGATCTGGGAACCCCATGACGTTGCAAAACACGTGGGCGACGATCGGGCACAAGAGATGCCCTGCGAGGACCCATTCACACCGCTGTCATCATAGCTGCAGCAGGCGGTGGGAATGTGCTCCAGCGTCAGAGCTTTAGAATTCACACGCTTTGGCTGATGACACAATCAAGAGGAGGCTCCCGAAGGAAAGCAGTTTGTGATTATAAGCTTTTAGCCACAGATCTGAGGCGCCAACTTGCATCTGTTGTTATGCATCCGTTTTTGGGGCACAACTAAGACTGATAGAGGCAAGTCGAGCTTTCCGCTTCAGTAGATTGAGCGCTTTATTAGCGTGCTTACTTCTTTGGAACACTGCGGCGATGCCCCAGATTCTCAGCTCTTGCGAAATGTTTCAACTTTCTAAATGAGCTACCACGGAAGAGTCGAGATTTGAAAGTGGTCGAGCGTGCGAAAATCCAGTTTTACCAGAGACACGTGCACTCCGTCGCGTCACTCTCACCTGTCCGCACCAGCAAAAAGGCCGCGTACCAACCGAATAGGGTCGTGTACGTCATCTGCAACACTGCACGGCAACAGACGAGGGGTGGCGTGAAAAGCAGGCACGAGCTCTTGATTCCGATTCTTGTCACCGTGACAGCAAGGCATCCATTTACTCAAATCTGCGCAACTGCAGGTGCCGTTCACGGTAAATCAAGACCCCGTTTAAGTACACTTTTCTATATGGTTGGGGAGTAATAAGTTCAGCACCGTTTTGAAGAAAGGGACTTTTCAGTCGATATTGTGCTTATAATCTGGAGTGCATTTTCAGAGCGCACATGTTATAAAAAGGGGACTTTTCAGTCGGAAGCGACCTGAACGTCGTTTTAAGACCGTACTGAATCCGGGTCCCAAATTCACAGTAGTTGAAGCACAAAGACCATTACGTTCTTCCTTCTTATCTGGTGCGAAAGAATAATGAAGGGAACCCACCTAGAGTCAGGACTGCCAGAACAATGGGCTGCCGCTGGTAGTATACAAGGTCCCAAAAGTGGTGTAAGTGGGCTGCACAGAACATACGCAAACGCGAATTAAGACCAAGGCTCCACATAACACAGAGCTGATGTATTGATGAAACTATCATCTTAACCTTTTTTCTGCTTCCATCTGCAGGGCGTGATGCTCGGGGAGCATGGGAAGATACCAAGGACAGGGCTCGTGACGCAACCAGATAGGAAAATAGTCTAAATTAGTCTGTGAATAACAATTTTGCAAAGACAGTCGAGTCAGTCCCTTGGACACATACAGAAATTGTTCCCATCATTGTTGAACATGTGGTTATGAAAGTGACCTGAACAAGACACGTGACGTTGCATCAAACGATGGCGGACTTTCCGGGATTGAGAGTGAAAACAGCTTGTCACGTTCCAAGCAACTCGAAGTTTTGCTCGCCCTAACTAGTACGATGCTGCAATAAGCTCGAACGAGTATGGCCTTTCTTTTGCCTTCGAATCACCATGCCCAGGACGAGAATGTCGTTCTGAAGCAACTTTTGACATGGCAGGCGAAGGATTTCATTGAAGGCTTTTTCTGTCATCAAGTAGAATGGACCATCGTAGCTTGATCTGCTTTGCCCGGTCTCGTCATCCCTTCTCGTTCACTTTTGCCATTTAATTCTTCTGCCTAAGCAGAGAGGCCGCTCAACTGTTTGGTCGAGTTGAAAAAATTGTTCCAGCGCCAAGGCTTAGCAACTCACCGACAGCAAAGAAGACCGGGCATATGAGGACGGCATGCTTGGTCGAGAAGCCCCCTTGTCGCAGAATCTCCCCAATGCAAGCCCGGAAAACGAACTCCTCAGTCACGGGCGCCTGCAAGATGCGGGGCAAGGGGGTCAGAGCTGGTATTCGTGGCCCGCTAGCAGCAGGCTGTTCGAAGCCCATCAGGAAAGTACCCACATGGTGAAGGCTGAGAGAAGGTCCTATCGAGCCCCACAGAAACCTTATTCCAAAGATCTTTGTTTTGGGCTGAAAAAGATGAAAGAATCCATCTCTAATAAAGCACGAGTACTGACGTGTTCACTGTCTCGAGGCTTGGAAACAGACAGGTTCGCTTGGAGCTGTGTCGTGACAATACTTGGCGAATGATGGGGTTACGATCAACTCGTTCCGAAGCCTGTGCATGGTCCGTGGAAGAACGCCCACAATCAAAAGCCGTCTCGCATTTGTGCGCCCACTTTACAAAATCAATTGCAGCTTTTCAGAAGCCAGTAGTTCGAGAGTCCCTCCAGGTCAATATGATTCCCAACGGACCCTTTTGTGGTTCTTGTTGCCGGAAGTACAATAAGCGCACTGTTCCCACGACCAGTGGCTTTTGGGAATGTAATCTCGACACAAATAGGCATGCCAAGTTCTTTTATCTAAGAAACAGAAGGCTGCCGGCCGATATTGAAGATAGTTCAGCAGGAATACAGGCAGAAAGCTGATAAGACAAGAACAGTAACACGAACGAAAAAGAGAGACGTACCACCACTAGATTCCGCCATGTGAGAATGTCCGAGACCAGCGCAACCGCTTTCCGTCGTGCTTCCTCCAACCCCCTTTTTCGCACAACAGGCTTAACTTGGCTCCGGAATTCATCTTCGTCTGACCCTGTCATCAGACTTTCCCCGCTTGCTTTTTCGTACGGTCCGGTAGCCGCTGTATCGGCCGCTCCAACTTCCGATGTGTTCGGCGGTCCAAGAGCCCACATCAGGAGGGGCCCCAGGAAGAGGGTTGCCGTCAATAGGAGGGGGTATAGGCTGGCTGCAATCTGGAAAGGCTGCCTTTGGTTTCCAATGATTGGCGGGAAAGCTCAGCCAAGCAAAGCTCTAATGCTCAAGAAAGGGGTTGCAGATTTCTGAACTCCAGGCCTTTGATCATCGTGATGGAACCAACAAAAGGCAGCCTTTTGAAAACCAGCCGATGGATATATTCTGCTTGGACAGTAAGCTCTTTCTTCCTTTCGATGAGGGTAGCGACCTGGCTTCATCATAACCTCTCAAACCAGCGGAAGAAGTGGTGTGACGCACTCACCAGGTTGTCAGTACGTAGCCCCAAGGATTGCCACAAGGTGGTGTCAATTGGGGTTGTCACCTGCGAAGAATGCCCCTGACGAATCATGAACTTCATCGAAAGGTACTCACTGCGGAGCCAGGATGCTCTGCGCACTGTTAAGTGGTGCTGGCCTTCCTGAAGAGATAAGTAGCCCCAGCCAGTGGCAGCCTTCGAAGAGTCTGCCATACTCTTAACACAAAGCATTCAGTTCTCATTGACTAGAAGTGGAGACTATTTCACATAGAAATCAGCCAGAGACCATGTCACACACGATTTGGACAGGGCTCGTCAACTGAAGACCCTGACTTCAGACGTTCAGGGTGGACTATAAAGATGGAGAAGGGCAAGAAACTAGAAGTGGACAGCAGTGGAGCGCCACACCTCTCCTGCCCGTCTTGTGGTGCTCACAATGAACGGGGCAACTGCGCACGCCACAGTCACGCCGGCAAACCTCCGCCGCACCACTGCCGGATCATCGCGGGAGCCCCCGGCTTTAGTGCGAAAGAGGAAGGAACCAACATACAAACTTGAAACATACAGCGAGGCAGTCAAGACGCACGTCGCGATCGCCCCGCTTGGGGAAATCACCATTGCTGGTCTTGATACTACGGTAGAAAAGGGACTTCGATGATCACCAAGCGTGATGGACTCGATTGACAGATGAATTCTTTGACCTACCCTACAGAGTGCTCATTCTGCCCTATGCTACATCCGAAGTTTCTGTAGTACTTGACCAATGGGTGGCTAAAACATTGCATTTGCCACAGACCCGGGAAAGACGCTATCCAGGTTAATGGGTGAAGACGCTTGCAGCTGCTACAATTAACTTCCGAGAAACCCTTGAGAACAGAAGTGCGCTCAGAATCGATTCTCAAAAGCTCGTAGAGAACTCCCCCCTGTCTATACATGCCAAATCTACTAGTACAATGCTGCATTGAAAAGTGCTCAAGTGACGTGCGTCTTCCTCCTGCACGATCTAGAGCGAGACGCAATAACCGAGCTTGCACTGAATGCTCGGTAATGCTTGGTAAAGCTAATCAAACAGCTGTGGGGCTCGTTCGTACCCCCCAGTTTCCTGCCAATCAGAGAGCAGCCTTTGCGGCAGATGCATATCCGACCGTCGGTTTGGCGTGGCAGCACCACACTCCTTTGATGACCTGCAGAGGCTCAACTACCTCTATAGGTAAACTAGGTAGGTAGGTACCGGCCTATGAAATTTGCGATCATCACAATGCAGCTCGCATAAATTTCAATGTGGAATTGCCAATTGCCAGAATTAGGGCGTGCAATTGCAACTTGCAAGTTCAACAGTGTTTCAGGTGTGGTGGCGCCAGCGCATTTTCTGAACGTCCCTTCTGAAACTCAAAGGCCTGGATCTGCGTCCAACTCGCTCCTGAGCTGCTGATCCAAAAGACGCATCGTGGGTCGCCAGTATGGCCGGGGTTTCGAGGGCCCTCCTGGTTGTGCTGGGGTTGGCGCTTGTGTCGTCTACATTTGCGAAGGTGTACTTTGAAGAAAAGTTCGATGGTGAGATTGTCATCATCTCTGCCCTTTTTTTGATTGACAACCCAATTCACTTGATCGTCACTAATTAAATAATTAGGGGAAGCAGCACCTCCTGAAGTGGACTGTAGCTGATTCATAATGTGGGTCAAGCAAGCACTATGGTCAGGACGAACATGGCGTCCACATCTTGTGTTCTGAAGCTTCCATATCAAGCAGACAATTTACGGGAGCGATGCTGCAGTCCAACTGCGGCAGACTTGTTCAATCGATTGCTCAAATCGCCAACATTAAAGAAACATCTGCCGCTCCTTAGAGAGTTTGAAGAAACATATTTCCATTCTGGGCGCCGGGTGCTGGCCGCCGCATACTGCTAAGTTGAGAGTCCTTTTTGCGCCAACCAGGGGCAAATGCAGCTCGGTCCAATTCTCACAAAGAATGCAGACTCCGCTAATGTACACAAACATTCTGGAAGTTTGGGTGATCAGTTCCTTTCTGGCGGTCACCTCTGTGTCGGTGGTTGGTAGTAATCTTTTAAACCTAGTCTTGCTTCAGAAGCAGCCTTGGGAATTACTACTATCTTGCACATTGCTTGGAGCCATAGAAACACTGCCGCATTCATCAAGCAGCTTACATCGAGACTTTTATGCACAGATGGCTGGGAAAAGCGGTGGGTGAAATCCAGCTGGAAAGAGAAGGAGGGCACCGCTGGGGAGTGGATCCACACAGCAGGGAAGTGGTATGGGGATGAGAAGGCAGACAAAGGTAAGTCCAACTGAAATTGATCTTCCTTGACTGATCTGAAAATCATCTCTACGAGCGTTGGAGTATTGACATCCTGAGCAGCTCGAGCCACTCTGCATTTGAAGCGAGCTTCGTAGGAAAGGCCCTGGCGCCTAAACTATGTGAGCGCTCGCACTTTGGGCTGAGTGCAGATTGGCATGGTCAGGATCATGGCACTGTTGTAAACCTGCAATTGGCTGATCTACAGCACAAATATAATTTGTGTGTGCCGGAGTGGTGGGCGCTTTGAGCACGCGGGGCTCAAAGTATTAGGTTTTGTCTGACCAAGCTTGGCTGTGGGAAAGATCAGCATAGCTAGGTGCCTGTGTCCCACCTTCTTCCTAAGTCTCTTCAGGTTGACCATTGGTATCCCTGGTCCACTCATCTGCTCATGGCGGTGGCATAACTGTTTTACTTGAGTGGTTGAATTTTTAATGGATTTTTCGGAAAGCATTAGGGTTTTGGAGTTGTCCGCCTACTCATCTGGGCATGAACAATCTTGAGAGTGCAGTCATTGAACTTCCACCAAGCGTGCCCAAAAATACCCTTGGTACTCTCAAGATTTAGAATGGGTTTAATTGTAAGGCGCCTTTAAACAGTCTCTCTACCACCATCCATGAGCTTGCTTTCGCGTCCGCTTGCTGAGGGCCCGGAAACCCTGCCGCCTCGCTCCTCATCAACATACTCCTTTCACCAATATCGAGTTCGTCTCTATCCAGAGCTGATGTCCTGCCAAATCCGCATTTACACTTTCTCGACTCTACGATTCCAAGATTTTCCATGTAGACAAACCTTCAATCTCTCTGCAACCTTCCTTATTCTGTCAGGCATCCAGACCAGCCCCGACGCGCGCTTCTACGCAATCGCGGCGCCCCTTGCCAAACCGTTGGACAATGCCGGCAAGGACCTCGTGCTGCAGTTCAGTGTGAAGCACGAGCAGAAACTAGACTGCGGTGGCGGGTACATCAAGCTGATGCCCGACGTGGAGATCAAGGACTTTGGGGGTGACACAGACTACAGGTGAGGAAAGACAACTGAGAGCCTTCTAGCGTATTGCGAATCTGGATTTGGAGCAGCATACCAAGGAGCACTCCAGTAAAGCTTCTGCTGTATCATCCGTCATAGAAAAGGATGCAGTGGTGCGGTTTGCCTCAAACACAATTGCCAAGACTGGGACTGAATGCTAGGATTATTTTCAGCTGCCCCAATGCGAGAAACAGAAATCTGCTTCTGTAGTGCCGCATCTTTGCAAATCGTCCTTCTCTTGCCATCATCTGTTTTTGGCCCCAATGTGAGCGGCTACACCAGCTGCTTGTCGGCCCTGTTGAACTCTACCGATTATACGTAATCACTTTGGAATAAATGAGAATAAGTCCCAAATCTACTGTCATGCGCTGATGACTTGTCTCTTTCCTCTCCCAGCATCATGTTCGGCCCCGACATCTGCGGCTACACGACCAAGAAGGTCCACGCCATCATCACATACAAGGGCAAGAACCTGCTACTCAAGCCAGAAGTGACGTGCGAGACAGACCAGCTGACGCACGTGTATACACTCGTAATCAAGCCCGACAACACGTACAAGATCCTCATCGACAACGTTGAGAAGCGCTCCGGGGGGCTCTACGAGGACTGGGACTTCCTGGCGCCGCGGCAGATCGCGGACCCGGAGGCAAAGAAGGTCCGCTCTAGTTCATTTCTTCGCTGGCCTGGTTTCTGGGTCTTGATAATGAGATTTATGGAGAAGATAAAGAAGGGTTTGGTGCTGGGAAGGTCCGTCTGAGTCCTCTTTCCCGTTGATTTCCAAAGCTTGGAGGTGTAGTATTCGTAAGTATTCCTGATGAGTTGGCGTTTTGGAAAACTCGACTCTGTGCGCCGTGCCTGCCGGCTGTCGTTTCGCTCTTGCTTGGCCGCGCCAAAGGACATTTGTGAGAAGCAGCCGGAATTTGGTACAGGCAGAGCGTCTCTCTCATGGCTTCGTTTCTGTTGATTCGTTGTTCATGTGCGCTAGGCCAGTGGGGGGAATTTGAATGTAGAGAGGCGGAAAGAGTGGTTCGTCAGTTCAACCCTGAAGCGTTCGAAGCAGGCACATGCAAGTTTTGGGAAGGGTTCGATAGATCGACCGCACTGTGGTTGCACCCCATTGGTCGAAGACCCACCAAGACGTGCCCAAACTTGTCTGCAGACAAAATATCCTGATTGGTTGACGTTTCAGACTCGTTGAATAATGTTTCAACTCGGTTAACCTGGGCCTGCTTTGCCGCTGCAGCCGGAGGACTGGGTTGACGAGGAGTGGATCGACGATCCGGAGGATACGAAGCCCGAGGTGAGGACCAACCATACTCTCGAGGGTTTGCAATTCGTGCTGTTATCTGTGTCGCTCCTTTCCCCAGTCTGTTGTGGGGCTCCATGTGGTTCCGTTCCGCGACGGTCGAGCACAATCTTTGTCTGTAATCTTTTTCGAACACATTCCCGCCTCATTGAAAGCTTAGCTCGTCAGGAAGGCACTGCTGCGATCTGGATGGCATGTTGCCCTTCAATCCAAAACCTACAAAGGTGAAAACTAGAATTCTGATGAAGCACAAGAACATATCCTGAGCGGCTTGGTCTTGTGCAGGGCTATGACGACATCCCGAAGGAGACTGTCGACCCTGATGCGGAGAAGGTGAGCAAGAACTTTCATTGGTGATTGCTGTTGGTGTTGGTGATAGGTGAATACACAATGTTTTTGTACTCTGCACTGTGTGCTTCAGCTTCTTTTGACGGTGTTAGGCAAAAGCTGCCGATTGCAAATTGAAGCTCAGAGCTAAGATCTGTATGTCGTCCGTTGCCGTCGCTTGTCGTTCAGATACTCTTTGCCTTCTCTGAAAAAGCAAGTGCTGCAGCGGTTCGGCTTGAATCGCTGTTCAAAAGTTGAAAAATGTCCTGATGCGGATCCCAATGTTCCGCAATTGGATCATGCAAATTCTAAACGGTGCTCTGCAGAATTGACGGAATGTGTCCCTTTCGCTAACAACGCTTTTGACCTCGAGTTGCGGCATCATCATACACAGGAACAGCTACTTGCACCAGCCTAAGCATCATGTCAAGTTGAACACATCCTGCTGCAAGTACTCAAAAGAGGCCCGCAACCCCTCGATAAAACTCAAAACTTGAAACTTTGAGTTTCGAAAAGGCCCGCAAATCCTCGATAACCAAACCTTCGATTCTCGGAGTTATTCCATTTCCGGTTCCGTTCTCATTCCGTTTCCGGTTTGTGCAGCCGGACGTCTGAGATGACGAGGACGGCGGCGAGTGGGAAACAATTCCAGAAAGCCAGTAGATTCGCTATTCCAATCTTGGTTCTCATTCCGTTTTCCGATTCCGTCTGTGCAGCCAGACGTCTGAGATGACGAGGACGACGGCTAGTGGGAGGCGCCCATGATCCCCGACCCCGAGTACCAGTGCCCTTGGCAATCCCAGAAAGCTAGTAGATCCGCTATTCCAAATCCGATTCTCATTCCGTTTTCCGTTTCCGGTCTGTGCAGCCGGACTGGGACGATGAGGAGGACGGCAGTGGGAGGTGCCCATGATCCCCAAGCGCGAATACCAGGGCTTTTGACAATCCCGGGAAGCCAGTACATTCCTGGTTCGAATTTTGATTCTCATTCCGTTTTCCGTTTCCGGTCTGTGCAGCCGGAAGACTGGGACGACGAGGAGGACGGCGAGTGGGAAGCGCCCATGATTCCCAACCCCGAGTATCAGGGCCCCTGGTCGCCGAAAAAGGTCAAGAACCCCGCCTACAAGGGCGTCTGGGCTGCGCCCCTCATCGACAACCCCGGTGGGTGCTACCTTCGTGCTGACGACTCTTTTGCTTCTATCTCTTTGAGCTGGGTTAGGTGGTTTCAGATTCTATCATGTGGGGGGAGACTGCCAAGACCCACCGAGAATCCATTGAAAACTTCTCTTTGGCACACTCCTGCACACCACTACAAGGGCGTCTGGCGGCGCCCCTTATTGGACTATCCCAGGGGGTGCCACCTTTTGCTGACTACTCGACTGTTTCGCATGTTGGGTATCACAAGTAGGAGGTGGCAACATCTTATGGCGACAACGGTGTCTTTTAGAGGAAAGCTGTGGCCGTTTTCTGGGCCGAAAATGCTGGTATACAATGGAGCGTGATTGGAAGGTGCCCTTTTCGTGGTGGACGAAACCAAGGAGTTGAACTTTCTTCAGAATATGCTTGAACCTGGACTTTCGGACGGTCATTGGGGCTTTCATTTCCACCGTGGCTGTGCACGCCGTGTCTTTCCGTATCGGGAAGTCTGCTTTTCCATCTCACAAGTCCTGTACATCAGGCCCTGAGAAGTGAGCGCGGCGCGTATGTTTCGGGCCTCCGGGAAACTGAACTTATTCTTCTGGTGCTCAGATTTCGAGGACGACAAGGAGGTGTACAAGCTGCCCACCCTCAAGTACGTCGGCTTCGAGTTGTGGCAGGTGAGGTTCAATTTAAGCCCCAAAACAAGTATCAACTGTTATTTCCCCCGATTTTTTGCTCGAGTTTTGCGCCCAAGCTGGCGCAACTGTGTCTATGCTTCACGAGGGAGTCGATATTTCCCATATGCCTGACGTCCGCCTTCGAAACTGTGGTTGAGCATTAGCCGTCCGAAGACTTTTTCCTTAGTCATAAGAGAACAACACCGGCTTCGCTTTGGATTTTGAGAGGCTCGTGACTGGCTTCCAACAACAATCACCCTCCGTGCCAATGACTAATGCAGACCATCAGTTTTGAATCTGAAGCCTAACCCCGAAGGTCGCGAGTTGTTCGAAACACAAATAACATTGAGCTCTGCTCTGCAAGGTAGTATCCCGTGGCGGATGACGAGTCCGCCCTATCTACAGCATACTGGTTGTAAAGCTTACTCCAATCCGAACCTTTGTTTGTGCAGGTCAAGAGCGGGTCGATCTTCGACAACATTCTGGTGACGGACGACGAGGATTACGCGCGCAAGTTTGCGGAGAAGACGTGGGGGGCGTCCAAGGACAAGGAAAAGACGGCTTTCGAGAAGATTGAAGAAGAGGAGAAGAAGAAGCAAGAGGTGAGGGGCGGATGACTTCCGAACGGAGCGCTCGAACCTGTCCCAAAGTGTTTCCGGTCGACTTTGGTATTGTCGGTGTAGCAGGGCTTGAAGCTGGATTGCAAAAAGCTCTCCGTTCCGCGAAGGGACCAAGCCGAAGGCTGAAAGTGGGAATGCTTGATGCTGGGCGGTAGCCTTGAATTTTGGATGCATTTGCAATACGCGCGCAAAGAAAATACATGATTGAGATAGACAGGGGCTGTGGCATTATGAGATGCTTTGCGACGTTCAGCACGGGATCGCACATCCCCTGCGCTTGTTCCGTTGTCATCTCATTCGGCATGAGCTCAGTGAGAGGACAGGATGGAAAGAAGGTCCTCGGCGCAATCTGTCTTTCCTCAAGCTGCACGCGGCAAGAGCCCTCAGACCAGGCTCTATTTGAGACATCCCCCAATCCTAGTTACAAAGCCCAGAACTGTGTACTTCGCGCACTTTCAGGAGGAGAGGAAAGCTGCTGAAGAGGCGGCGCCCCCGGAGGCTGACGAGGCCGAGGAGCCAGAAGATGAAGACGACGAGGAAGATTTCATCGTGAGTTTTCAAGAAGCTTCGTTAACGCTAGTTCCACATCCCGGTAGCCTTTTTCTTTTCCTTGTACCGCAGAGAAGTTTGCGAAGGACACCGCACAGACTGTCTGCTTCTCGTTGTGTTTCGTTCTGGCAACTTGCTGAAAGCTTTCATCGACGTTCACCATGGATGGGAACGGGAAGAAGTTGTCATTTGTTCTGGGCTTGCCGGTTCCCTTTCAGCGTGTTCTGCTCGGACGAGCAACGAAGGGGATGTCTTTCATCGTTATTGTCAACCAGCTCTGTAAGTCTATCATAGGAGCGGCTTCACAGCCTTCAGCCAGCACAGAAAATCAGCCTCCTTCGTATCCTTCATAAACCCCAAAGATTTCAAGAGCAGATTACGATTACTCTTTGATTCCGATCGTCGTCTCTTTAGTACCTAGTGCGGTGTTCAATCGGCGGTAAAGAGTGCGGAGACGCGTGCTCAGGGGACCATCACATATCGTGCTTCACCAAGCCACGGAGCCCTTTAGTGGCCTGACTTTTTCCCCCAGTACATCCTTCTAAGCAGTTTCCTACCCACGTGCCCGGAGTGCTTCTTGGCAAGCCTTCCGAACCAATCGTTCCAATGGTCTGACTGCGTGCGTTTACCATTTTGCAGGATCTGAAGGACGAGCTCTAGACTTTGCAAACGCTAATCAAGCTACGGAGCCGCCTATGCAACCGCCTTTGTAGCGGTGCACTTCAGAGTACGTCGTCGTTGTTGTGAGGTATACGCAACTGTTTATCGAGAGTCTGGGCCACGTACAGCACACGCTGGGGAACGGGTTGCCAACGACCGCAAACTTGGATTACACTAGGTACATCAACCTTGTTACGGACAGCCAATATCAGAGATGTGATGTTTGTCAACTGCACTGGCAACAGCGTTGAGTGAGCATAAGATGTCTGAAAAGGTCCATTGCGGATGCACGATCGGGCTATGTCCGAAGATGGTCGTCTCTCGCATGCTCGCCATAGCTAATAGGCCATATGCTTCGTCGCATACATGTGTGAGTGTTAATGATAGTCCTCCGATCTGCTTTCAACTAGCTGTCGTTGAACTTCCTGCACATGCAGGACTCCGCGTATACCAAGAGTAATTCTTAATGACAGCTTCCTAGGACCGCCCGCGTCACTGTTAATTGCATGAGCCTACACCGTCAGCCGCATGGGCGGGCCTGTGTTCGATATCCAAAATTAACCTGCCGCGGCCGCGACCTAACCACACTCAATTAAACTTCAGCGAACATCAAACTTGTGAACTTCAGTCGGGATGCATCGATCACTGGGCCATCATTGCATGAACGCGTTTGAGGGCCCTCATTGAGCCCTAAGCTTATATGATGGGAGCATCAAATGCATATACGTTTGCATCGAGCGCAGAGACGTACGTGTCGAATATAAGAACCCGGCACGATGTGCAGGCCCGGATTGACAACCTAGACAGGATTATTTGATAGTCTACATTGGATTTTAGATCATTTCATGCACCCTGTTTCCAGAGTTGTTTTCACGGCCTTATCCCCCGCGGTACTTCTGCACTATAGGGCCAGAAGGTCGCTTTTCAGCCCTTAACCTGAATTGAAGAGCTATTCTCTACAGGGATCGGTTTTGTGTAAACCCGTTGAGTATACCTCCATGATTACTTTCCATCTTATACTATCTTGTCAAGCTGTCTGATTACATCACCTTGTCCGCGCAGATCATCAGACTCGCGAATCCTAAACAGTCACAAGAGTTGACAAACGAACACAATGCAAGTGCACTGATATTGCACGCATGTACTTCCGCTCAGTACAGTGTCTGGCTTTGACGGAGATCATATAGAACCCAAGAATGTATCCATGTACCGTAATGTGTGGCAATGTCTTTCCCGGCGAGCTGGTGCGTCCTTGACGTTACGCGCTCCGTTTGAGGGACATTATGTGAAGACTGCTCTGAAACCAAGTTACGTATACGTTCAGTTGTCCCGACTCCGAAGCCCCAACCTAAAAAGATGTCTTTGTGATCCTCTTGAATCGAGCGAATTTCAAGCGTATATATACCGTGACCTGATGCAGAACATGCAGCTCCAAGCGTGATAATATTCAACGACGACACCATCGTGGCCAAAGCTGAACCGTCTGTAATAATGCTCATTTCTTCTTCTTGGGGCTTTTCTTGCCCCCTTTCTTCTTGTCACCCTTTCCTTTCTTCCCCTTCTTCTTCCCCGCTCCTGCTTGCCGCCGCACCCGATACCCCCGGTAGACCGCCTGAATCTTGATCACGGACCGTGTTCGCTTCTCCAGTTCGCCCAGCTCTTCTAGCGTCATCTCCCGGTTTGCGCGCGCGTGCCCCTCGCTCTCCAGCTTCTGCGCGGCCGTGTCGCGGTTGTACCTGCACGGACACGTGGCAGGCAGGTCATCATTCCAGTGTCAGACCGCTCGGCAATCCACAAGAATGTCCTTCCTCTCTCTTTGCGCGGTTACTTTACCGTTCGGCGTCTCGCCTTTCAGCGACCGCCTCTTATTACTGAGAGCCGATGGGAGTACGCGACCGTCACACGTCATAGTTTTGCGGGTGACTTTCCCTCGCTCCCTTCGTTTGCGACCTTATTAACTTCAAACAGGAGTCGCATCTATGATGCAACCTCTGAGCCTTTTCTCATCGGGCTCGAATAAGAAGTCCGGCTACTTTCCTCCCCTCTCTAGTTCTCAATACGGAGACCTTCAGCCTCGAAATTGAATGCGTCATCAGACATACCCTTTCTGCCAAACAGTCTTTGTCCGGCCAACCTCCTCAAAACACGGGACGACTGCAGACCCTCCTCTAAACTCTATCAGAGACTTGCGATGTGTCAGGAAGACTGCACTTCCCCCTGGATTGCCGCAACTCGCTCAGTACACTCTCCGGCGGGCGACTGTCAGCTCAGACCCCGTCGAATGAAGTTTTTGTTCCGGACGCGTCCGCACACCACTTTCAAGAGGAGCGTTAGAAAACACGTTCCGTCCGGCGACAGTATGACCAAAACTTCTCTTTCACAGTCGCCCACAAGTTCCACTCTGGTCGACATTCGCGGCGACAAGGAGTCGGTAATTTGTATTTTAAGGTCGCCCAGAATTCAGCTGCCCCCGCCCACCTGTCTTCGAGCTCCAGCATGGTGCTCAGGTCCTGCTGCTTGATCTCCTTGAGCACTTCTGTCTCCCGGTCTAGTTTCTGCGTGTCCTGCTCGTGCTTGCCCGCCCACCGGAGCGCCTCCTCGCGCATCTGTCCCGTGCGCGCGCGCAGGAACGCCGCTGTCTCCTCGTGCGCCTTCTTTTCAATCTGCGGAGGCAGACAAGTATCAACGGAGTACTTGAAGGATTACCGCACTCTGCTCTGAGGAAGAACGAGTTCCTTGTCTGACGTTGAATTAATCTCTTCCAGTGTTGTTCTTTGACAGTTGGCAGTCCTAGAGTTGACCTGGATCTGGTTTCTCTAACAAAGGGATGTTTGGAGCGGCTGTTCTAGAGTTTGTGCTTTTCATACGCTGGTAGATGCAGCACGGATTAGTAGTCAATATTTCAAGCCTACCCATCGGTTCTACTGCTAGCAAAACAGCCCAGCGTGCTAAAACGTAATCAGTTCGAGCACATCGAGTAGACCATCCGGAAACGCGTTTTGGGCATCCTGAACTGCAGATGCATTCATCGATTTACGAGCCGCTTACCTCGATGAAGGCTTTTAACTTCGCCACGTCATCCTCCAGCTGTCCCAGCCGCTCCGAGCGCACGCGCGCGGTGCAGTCCGCGCTCGCGGACGCTTCTTTCACTAGGTACCTGAAGACAGGATTTTGGGGGTTGGGATTTGGCTCTCAAGCTGCTGCGGCTGCTCTGCCGCTCATTCGTTCCCCATTTCCGGATCCTGATGCGGTCGAATACGCTATCGACCAAGTCGTATGATGGAAGTGCTAGCAACGGACGTATGCAGATTCTGATTGACGTGACATGGGCATCTAGCCGAAAAGGCGACATCTGCCGATGCAATGGAGTGATAAGGAAAGCGTACTTGACGTTTTGAGAAGCTGTGCAGATGCACTTTACCGCGAAACAAGTCTGTATAGCTCCACTCGGGACTCAAAACACGACAATCATGATGACAGTATGTCTCGAGAGCCAATCATAGCAGCTTCACGAGGACAAACAATCGGAAATTTCTTTCACATCGACTCTGCTCTGGTTATGTTCTTGATCAATCCAAGCTTGATTTTTCTTCTCACGATGGTGCGTTTAGAAACGTCACTGAACCGACTCACCCACTGTGAAAGCAGACTCTCAACGATATGAGGGCCATACCTTATTAAAGTTCAACGATACGAGTCTCTAGAAGCAGGATTCCCTAGGATTACCGCGTCTACGCCGCGGTAGTGGTTTGGTTTTTCCCTCCACTTTCCATCTTTTCGCGTTCAACGCTTCCCAACAATGTCACCAAACCGTCTCACCCATTGTGACCATGTGAACGATGTGAGGCCTGAACGAACATTCCGTCCTTTTTTCTCCAGAGCTCAATAAGAATGAAGGCTTCAGGCTTACCGCGACTCCGCCCCGGTGGTGGTTTTGATCTCCTTGAGGCTCGCCTTAAGCTCCGCAAGCGCCTCCGTCCGCTTGGCCACGTCTTCCTCGTGGTGCTTCTTGTCCGCCTTCACCTGCGCGCGCATCGCCTTCACCGCACTGCTCTTGGCCTGCGCGCGCGAAGGTTCCATAGAAGTCTGTCAGGCGCTCATTCTACGAACGTGTCAAAGTACAAGGTGCGCAAGCATGTGATGCAATCCCCGCGCCTTATTCTACGCGCGCATTCGCTTTGACGGCACCACTCATGGCGCGCGCGCACACGCTTTGACGGCGCTGCTCCTGGCGCGCAACTGAAATGAGCACGGCTTCTTGAACCTTCTTTTTTGATAGGTTCTGACAGCTGCAACCGTTCCTCGAAGTCGCATAGTCTGGCGCCTGTGAAAGAATTCACGTGACCTCCTGATTCGCTGCGCAACCTCTGTCGCCCTCTTCCTCTCCATCACAAATTGGTTTGAGTCAGACGCAATCCAATGGGGAACATAAAATCTAGAGATTTGTATGTGCTCACGCACAGCTCGACGAACTGCAACTTGACAGAGTCACAATCGTACATGGATTGACTCCACAAGGCCGCAGATCCCACGAACTAGAACCGGAAGATTTTTTCAGACTCCTACCTTCTCCTTGGCGACCAGCTCTCGAGACTCCCGTTCCGCGCGCTCTTCTTCCGCTAGATAGTCAATGAGCGACGTGAACGTTCCGCTGGCCTCGATCTGCGAACGGAGCGCGAAAGGTAAGGTTCAGATTCGGGGACTGCTAGTGAGCATACTTTACGAAGTATGTCTGGTTCTGTGGATAGCTACGAACTCTTGCTCTGGGAAAACGTTTTTCGCTAAAGTGCGTGCACCTCGTGCGGGGGCTAGCAAGCCTTGCACTCCGCGGTCCGGGCAAGGACTCCCCGCGAAGTGCGGGAATACGTGTCTCAACTTCTTGTATAGGAAATGAGAAACACGAGGTGCGAACATTTGAGAAAGGCGAAACAACCGGTTATTTTTAGAACGTCAACAACCGTTTTCGCACCTCGTGCGCTGCTTGGCGATCAGCACCTGCAGTTCGCGTTCGATCAAGGACTCCCTGTCGGGAAAGGCAATTCATTCTGTGCGAGAAAGATCAGGGAAGTCGATGCTCAGGGCAACAAGCAGCGCGCGCGCACCTCTTGCGCGCTCTTGGTGTGCAAGTCCTGCAGTCCGCGGTTCGGGCGAGGACTCCCTGCCGAAAAAAGGAGATATAAAACGTGCGAAAAGAGAAGGGCAATTCACGTGACCAGGGCAACAAGCGGGGCGCGCGCACCTCGTGCGCGGTTTTGGCGAGCAGCGCCTGCAGCTTGGCGCGCTCCGCGTGCACGCGCGCCATGTTGTCCTGCACGTTGGGGCTGTCCTGCAGGTTGCGCTTCAGCCGCTTCGTGCTCTCGCGCAGCGCCTCCTGCACCGCGTGCAGCTCGTCCTCGTTCTGCGCGGGAGAAAACACACGCGATCAGAAGTGCGACGTCAGCAACGGAGAAAAGGCGATGTCGGCTCGCGGCGTGCGTGGAGGGAGTTGGTGCGACGTGAGTTTTGTCTGATTTTAAAGTAACTGGACCTACCCATCGGAGGTCCACGTTCCGTGAGAGCGGTAGTGAGATGTTTATTGCAGAGTTCCTGCAACAACCAACTATGATTCACATACCAACAAGCACTGCCGTTCAGATGGACCACGAGATGATGAACAGCTATGACGAAGCGTATAATAAAGATTGAACCTCAGTAAACTTCGGATGATCGTTGGTGTTGAATAGTAGGGGCCAACGTTTCTCACGGGCCAATCTTGCTGCGCTTTCAGGGTTATAAGGACATGCGGGGCCGGACCTCCAAACGAAAGAGTCAACTCTGGACACAAGCATTGCAGTCCCGGAGACCACGTCTCATGGGGCTAGTCCGTCTGGATCCGGACAGAGAACGACGCTTCCTGGGAGAAGAAGGGCGGAGAAAACACTCCACTTAGACAAGCATTGCCAGGTCTACCACCTCTCAAATCTGCCTGCTAAGTCGGACGACACTTCTAGTTATTTGCAAACAACTGCGACGGTCAGGAAGTGTCCGAACGTTGAAGCCCACCTCCTTGAGCTTGTTCTTATTGGGCATGGTTCGCAGCACGGCGCGCGCCGCCACAAGCGCCTCGAAGCGCTGCTCGAGCTCCTTTTGCTCCTCCATTGCGCGCGTGATTTCGCTGCCCTGCGTCCGTGACATCGCCTCTGCCTACAAGCAAGGGGTAGGCTTTGTATGACCTTGAAAGTAACTGATCAAAGATACGGCTACGTTTCTTCATAAGCACAAGGCTTTGGAACAGGAGGTAAAATCAAAATATTTCATTCATGATGACCCACTTTATCCCCTGAAAAGGAACCTCGATGGTGGGTGATGGACAGGAGTTGGAGCGGACTGAAAGTTCAAGCACAATGGGGTCCCACCCTAAACCACTCACTAAGCCCACTGTTACAGTACGAGCTCCTTCTGACTGCCGCACCTTCTTACTTTCAGAGTTGATCTCGGTTCCAACTAGTTTGATGTAAGCGGTTCTGAAGGCAAGGTAAGTTGAGTCTTGCCAGCAGGACACCGTTGTCATATCTTCCCTGATGCTGTCCTTCCTGGCCGCCTGTCTTAGCGGCTCACTCAAAACTCATCAATGTGAGGGGTAAGAATTTCTTGGTTTCAGCTGCGAGCTCATTCATAAGCAATTTCCAGCTCCTACCTGTTGCTGCCCCATCCGCATCTACCTATTGCAACATGCACCTTGATTGAGAATTCTATCCCCAGTGGCTCGGCCAGCTGTCACCTAACATTAGCTTTCCTTCCCTCATGCACGTCTTTCGTCCTCTCTTCCCTCCTCCTCTCCTGGCTCGCGAGCTTGCCACTTTCCGCACAACACGTGGACATAAACGACAAAGACTTCACCTGCACCGATACATCCGTGTTGATCACCGCCAGCAGCGCCAGCCGCTCCAGCGCGCCCTGTATCACACCGCACGCCTGCGCGGCCTCAACCACATCCAGAATATCCCCTCCGCTCGCCGCCGCTTCCGCAACCAGGTCTTGCAACGTGTCCTCCGGTAAGGGCTCCCGCGCAGCGAGCTTGATCGATCGTCGGGACATTTCCGAGAAGGGCGAGAGGGGGCCATCGGAGCCCGGGCTGAGGGGGGGGGACGAGGCCAGATCGGGCGTTGCCCGGGCGTTGTTGGCGGAGGTGTCAAGGCTCAGGGCCGCAAACGGGGGGGTCAGGGGGCCCATTTTTGCGGTGGCGTGTAAGGGCCACTAGGGAGGGGGGGGGAGGTTTAGAGGGCTGGATTGAAATTGGCGGTGCGCGATGTGGGGGAGCTGAATGGAATTTGCATGGCTGTCATAAGGACACAGGGCTAGCGAGGACTGAGCTTGCAACGTTGTCCTCTGAATGAAGCTGCCGCGGGGCTTTCTGAGCTCATTGGAGCTGAGTACGCAAGGGAGCTGCGCACTTGCATCAGCTGACGACTTGCTTTAGGACCGAAAGCATTTCAGCAGGAGGATTGACAGGTACGGCGAGGGGCAAAAGCTCATGCGATGTAGGGGTGCGACGCCTACAGGCAGAGACTGTGTCTTCCTGACGTACCAATTCTTGTTTCTCAGATTTTGACTGAAATTGAAAGGAGTATAGCTTAGATGATGGGGCCTGAAAGATCACTTTCCCCGGATTGCCCATCAGGCAACGACTTTGAAAAGCATATTGGTCCACATCCCTCCTTGGTATAGCCGGCTATCATATGTTCAGAAGAAAGTGTTTTAGACTGACAGCTAGCTCCAGAGATGCTCAGGTTCATTGAATTCAAGTCCCAAAAACACTGCATCTGTTGACTATGTACACTTCCGTCCCTTCCTCTCTTCTGCTTCCTTATGATGATTAGACGACGCCCCTGAGATGAGCTCGATGCCGGCCCTATCATTATATGCTCAGCTGGAGCCTGATTGAGGCAACTGGCGCTCAACGCTGCAATCATTGACTCCCAAAATGACGAGCAAAAGCTACCTGGATGGATGTGCTGCCACGCAAAGTCACAGGGCGCAGGACTGTGCGCAGCAGCATAAGTGTATGACATTGACAGTGTACTTTGATACTGTATACACGAGCCTGAAATCAGAGTCCGAACCCGCCATCATGCGCAAGTCTACTGTCTGCCATGCTGGCATGGTCCCGGCATGGCAATCAATAGCTTTCCAGACTTTCGGGGACAGAGGCGGCGACCATAGACTGCTCAATCTAGACTGCTCTAGACTTCTACTACTACTAGGTACTACCGGTACTAAGTACCGGACCAGCTGACCAGCTATGTACTGCGAAGCACTAGCAAGCGCAAAAGGAGCGCCGGCTGTAATATTTCTACAGAATCTACTACTCGCGTAGAATTCATCGACGGTGTTGAGCACATCTAAGCTTTTATCGACGACCATCCTTCCTCATAGCTTATCTGACCCCATCCAATCGCGCTATAAGTATGCAACACCTTATTTATTTGGATTTTCCGCGTCGCACAGGCTGTCGGCATTGCATGAGTGCCACGAGTCTGGTCGTGCCGCCGAGTCAGCTGCATTTGCACTATTCCATATAGCTTATGTGCTCCGCTTCATTGCACCCTTCATCAATGCCGAAATTAGCGGACACAATCTGATAATATCTGGACGAGCGCCGCTCCTACATGTCAGGCTGTCCCCGGCCCGCAGGCCCGGGCGGGCAGCATCACGGAATGTCTCCGCCAATTATGTGGCTGGCCCTGGCCTAGGTCCTAGGTAGTAGGGATGTTATAACTTATACCGGTACACTCATGCTCCGTGTCTTGTCGTCTTCGAGCTGTCCTGAGAAAGCTGATAGCAGTGCAGTGCAGCTCTCCTCGTATATTGGACACTCAACATTGCGTGGTGGCGGGGGTTGGAGAAAGTCGTATGCTAGAACTTCAAGTTCTACTAGAAGTGTTGTGTGGAAAGAATTGTATGCTATGTGGTTTTTCTGGAGAGAGTTGTATGCTGTAAGAGTGTTGAGGGGTTGAAAGCTGAGGGAAAGCTGTATGCTATAGGAGTTGATCTGAAGAAAGTCGTGTGCTGTGATATGATAAGCCCGGCTGCGGAAGATTGCTGCTGGCCATCCGGTATCTTATTAATAAGACGCCAGGTTCTGCAGCTCGCTCCTTACAATGGAGATCTCTGAAGAAGGACAGGGGGCAAGCAATGTAGGGCCAGTTGTCGACCTTAGCAATGCAAGCTGCTCCAAAACGCCATCAGAAACGCCAGTTCCATCAGCAAATGCCATGGGACCCGCTTTGAACGGGGCTAATTCACTGAGCATCTGGACGCGCTTCCAGTTGGTGAGGAAGAAGCCTCGCCTGTTGAATTCTTCAGACCGCCGAACGTGCACGAAAACGTGGGGTTATTGTTGATATGCTGGAAGTGTGGGGATTCAACAGAAAGCTGACGCTTTACATTTGAAAATGCTTGTGGCCTGAGAATGGTGGTGAAAACTTACTTCAAAATTCTCAGCAGAGTGGTTATCCGAGGAAGTTGCCCAAGCCAAGTTCAAATAGATCTGGTGCATTTATCTCCTAAGGAAAATGGCCGTCCCTTTCCACCTCTGCATCATCAGCTCTGCTTGCAGCTTCAGTTGCTTTGATTTGGTTGTTCATCGAAGCTGATCTTTGAACTCGCTCAAGGTACAAACGTCTGGTGGTACCTTTTGGGCTTCGGGGCTGAGGAGTCCGCTTCTCATGTGGCGGAATGTATATGTGGCAGTGAGGAAGTCTATGTTCAGACACCTCAGTTTTTGGACTTATACTCACAGTCTACACCTCCAACTCAGTCTCCTTTATGAATCACTGCTTGGGGGTCTTTTAAGTTGACAGGTTTTCCAAATGTGACTCATCATATGTGCAGGTTGTTTTCTGGCTTGGGGTGCCCTATGTCTTACCAGCCTTTAAAAGTAAGGACAAGCTAAGTGAGAGTCAAAGGAAGGCATTGGCATCGTATTACCACTAATTACTTGTGTTTGTAATAGGTTGAAGAGAAATTTGTATCTCACTGCTCAGTCTACTTTATTCTGAAACTGCGATAGCCTTCTGCCATCTGTAGCAAGCTGCTGAGACCACTTGTCCTGGCATGAATCTGTTTTCAGAATTTCTTGAGTGTCCTCTTACTATTCTATCAAGTCATCCACAAGGCTTGTTCATTTCTTTGTCGTGTCGCCAGTAATCCTGCCACAGCTGACTTTTTAAAAGCAAAAAGCCTACCAGCATGTGCTAAAACATAAAAAGAAAAAGAGCGAAGCATACTCCTGTGTTTTTCACTCAGAGACCACTTGTTTATCAAAAAACACTTGCGTCATATTGCAGCAATCATGCAGCAGTCTAATCTGCTTCTTCATCACCAAAGAAAAATGGCTAATCAAGAGTTTTAAACTTGCAGGACGACAAGTCTCAGTCACCTTTTTGGGGCCCACCACTGCACTTCAGACAAAGAAACTCTATGTAAGCACTGACTCTATGTAAGCACATCCGAGATTTCAGAATGTGGCTAAATCTTCATGTTTCCCTCGTAGTAGCATGCCTAATCAAGCTTTCTCAACCTGCAGGAGAACAAGTCTCAGTCCACCTTGGGAACCCCCCAGTGCATGCAGCTTGACGCCAATATGCGCCCCCTTCTGGCTCCCCCCTTGAAACTGCCGCCTGAGATAGCTGCTGTCGTCAGCCCGAAGTCCGTACTGAGTCGGAGCTTCTCAACGGCCAAAGCTGAGAAAGCTGTCAGCCCCACGTCAGTTCTTCATGGAAGCTTCTCCCCAAGCAGTGGGGAGGGGAGTCTCAACAGTTCGGATGAGGTCCGTAAATCTTTTACTGTTTCAACACAATGAAACTCAGTGCTTCTACTTGAATGGAAACAGAGCACTGACCAACTCGTAATGCAGATTTAATTGCTTGACAGAGCCAAGCTTGTTTGTCAGACGTAGGGGTGTGTGAAAGTAAAAGCATCGTCGTCTAGCACTTCTCTCACTTATATTGCGAAACCACTTGTTGGTAGGGAGTACTTCACTTGCATATCAACAGTTCAAGCTCGAAAAGAACTCGCGTGTTATAAAGACTGAGGTCTCAGAACTTCACACGAGAGTCAAGACAGAGCACAAAAATAGGGTTATAGGTCGTCCGTATTTGCAGTCGTGTGCTCTGTCTGGCCCCTCCTAGTCTCTTCTTTCTGTGACCTGACGACAAGTCGACACAAAGCGCTTCGGCTTTGAAAAGACTGAGGTTTCAGAACTTGACACAGAATTTATGTAAAGCAGGAATGAAAGTCGTCCTTATCTTCGACCGTACTTGCGCCTTCAGTTTGGCCCCTTTTAGTCTCACTCTCTTTCACAGGACGACAAGTCGACACATAGCACTTCGTTTTGTTTTTTGGAAGGACTCAAGTTCCAGAGATCTACACGAAAGTCAAGACACAGGTTTCACAGCGATAGGGTAGAGGTCGTCCCTATCCTTAAACGTGTGCTCTGATTGGTCCCTTCTAGTTTTTCTTTCTTTGACAGGACGACAAGTCGACAAAGAGCACTTAGGTCGTGGAAGGACTCAGATGTCAGACTTTTACACGGTCAAGGTACAAGTTTTCCGAAAAATAGGGTTGGAGGTCGTCCTTTTAATCAAACGTGTGCTCTATCTGGCCCCGTCTAGGTTTTTTTCTTCCACAGGACGACAAGCCGACACAAAACACTTCAGTTTGGAAGGATTTAGTTTCAAAACACGAAAGTCTAGATACAGGCTTTCACAAAAACAGGGTCAAAGGTCGTCCTTATCTTTAAGCGTGTGCACTATCTGGCCCTTCCTGGTGTCTCTCTTTCACAGGACGATAAGGCGACCCAGAGCACATCGGTTCTGGAAGGACGCAGATTTCAGAACTTAACAAGGAAGTCGTATTTGTTTCACAAAAAGAGGGTTAGAGGTCGTCCTTTTGTTCAAACGTATGCTCTATCTGGCCGCTTATTGCCCCTCTCTTTCTGTTACAGGATGACAAGTCAGTTGCTTCGTCCGAGTCTGAGGAGGAGCCTTGGCCACGTGAGGGCTCCTTCATGGCCTTCGGAAACGCCTCAAAGAAAGCGGAACCGGAGCCTGAAGATCAACAGACGCCTGAAACGGAGCAGAACGGAGGCTCCTCTGAAGGCATCGAGCAGAAAGAACCGGACGGAATCGCGTCAGCAAAAGGCATCATTAGGCTGATGCCAGAAGTCTGCGTCGCCGGGACGTCGTTCGAAGAGAGCATCGCCGCGCTGTCAGCAATCGCTGCGGCAGAGACCGAAGCTCCAGAAGAGAACGGAACGGAGGCAGAGGAAAGCCTGCTTGGGGCGGAACCGGAAACACCAAAGCGGAACGGAACTACACATGAGGCCGTACCTACTGTGACGTCTGTGCGCCGGTCATCATCACTGAAACCGAAGGAGGGAGAGGAGGAGGGTAAACTGAAGAAGGCAACTAGGAAGGGGCGCAGTTTGTCCCCTTGGAGAAGATCGGGGGAAAAAGACAAGCCGACATCCGGGAAGGAGCAAGGGCTTGTGAACGTCGAGGAAGCGCGGGCGGCTGCGAGAAAGGTTGCCGCCGCAGTTGGGCCTGCGATGCTGATGCGGGCCAGGCGACCTGCCTTGACACCACTGAAGGTACGTGTCAAAATTATGTGTGCACTCAAAAGACGCGCCACCTGTTCTAGCCTGAACATATGCTTTGTTCGCGTCCTTTCTCTGCGTTTCTGCAAGAGAGTAAGCTTTACGTTGTTCTGCTGATTTGTTTCGTGGCACCGTTCCACCGTTTGGAGAGGCGATGTACCACTTCTTGCCACATGAATTGATACCTTCTGATGCTAACATAAGGAACCGTTGGAAAGGAACATGTCTCTGTCGCTCTCTTCCTTCCTTAAAAACAAAAGACTCCACCGATTGGCGACGGGGTCAGTTCTGTACAACAGGCTTTCCCCTCACAAAACGGAATGCTCTGTGTTTTTCAGCAGTTTTCAATGGATGCAAGGAACCAGTCAGAATGTCTTGACGTGTTGTGCCTGTTTGCAACACCGGGACAGCTTTTATGTTTGTCAAAGCAAAGAAGGCCCACTCTGCTCAACTGGTCATACTTTTTTATAATTACAAAAGTATTGCTTGTTCCAGGTTGGCTTCTCTGTGCAAAACGTCCGCTCGTACATTTGCAGATTCCTGACCGTCCGGCGGGGAGCAGCGACGAATCCAATGGCTCCACTCCCAATAAGACGCCTTCCACCGCGACCTCAAACGCGCTGTCCCAGGGGCTCGACGCGGATGGGAAACCAAGGACGGCAGAGGTGCGAACCGTGCTCCCCACGACAAACGCTTCGCAACGGATCAGCGTTGATGCGTTGGATGCGGCTGTTGGATGCCTAGGTCGACTACTGATGGTCTCAAGGGTACATGTCCGGCTCTGTGTCGTATCTCTGTCGGTATGCTCGATCCGGTTTGAGGAGGCACATGCCGGCAGGCTCTTCTATCGGTGTTCTGTGGTTCCAAGTCTCTCCTATTTCGAGGTCTGGCTCAACTCGAGCCGCGGTCCCAATCGGTCTGAACTCTGATTATGCTTCGGCATCCCACTCCTCAAGTGCTCTCCTTTGCTTCTTTCTTGTCGTTCGAAAGTACTATGCATAATCAAGGCTGATGGTCCTCTTCCGCATTTACCTTTGCTGGCTTTTTCTCGCCTGGTTTCTTAACCCTTTGAAATCTGGTTGAGGTTACCTTCTATTTGGCTTGCAAGTTCGTATCAAATTTCAAACTGTGTAGTGAGGGCTTCGCAACACCTGCCCTCGAAATGTAACAACTTCGCTTTTCTTCCTTTCTGCCGCTTGGTCCTGATTGATATAGGGTTCTTGGCAAGGAAGGTACTACAAGTCAAATAGAAACTCGTATCAATCTAGTCGTACCACCCGCTCTTCCCGCTTGACTACCGTCACCGAAAATTCAAAGGGCAAATTCAGAAAAGTTATTTCTTTTTTGTTTGGATTATCCGTTGGTGCATCCTGGTATCTCTTGCTGAGTCTTGCGTTCGGGTGTTCTTCAGGCAACGTTTTTACTTGACTCCAAAGAATCCTTTAACTAACACGGTTGGCACCTCAACACACTTGGCACCTTCTAGCACCGTCGGTCTTCCTCTCTCCAGGGCTGAGTGCGAACTACATGGCCCTTCTGTCAGTTCTCGCTTGAGGAGCCAGCGCCAATTATTCTGCGACACCCGCTCTCTACAGCCATCGTTTTCTTTGAAAAACTAAGCTCTTCTTACCTTGTTTGTGACTGTCCTTTTGCAGGAGCTGATCGCCAACTATATGGCCCTGCAACATTCCAACCTTCTGAAGCGCGTCAAAGCCAAGGCCAAAGCCGCCCTCGCCGCCAAAGACAAAGAGATCCGCGACCTGCGCGAGCGTCTGTCAAGCCAGGAGAGCCCCAAAGCACCTTCCGGGATCGTCCCCGGCAAATCGGACGGTCCAGAAGGCGCAACCGAATCGGACGGCGCGGCTACTTCGGCCGCAGTCGAACGGCTGCGCATCCTCCTGGCGAAGAGCCGCGCGGAGGTGGCCTTCAAAACGGAACGGCTGGCCGCGGCGGAACGGAACGTGGGGGCGCTGGAGGACGGGCTGTTGCTGTCGGGATGCCGGATCGCCGACCTGCAGGAACGGGTGGAGCTGGCGCAAGACGACACGCACGTCGTGGCAACTAGCATGGGGGTGAAACTGCGGCAGAGGGAGGCGGATCTCGAAGCCGCGGAGGCGGAGAGGAGCGAACTGGTGCGTCAAGTTGCGGATCTTGAGGGTGAGATTCGCGAGGCCCTGAAGGAGAATGACGACCTCTTGGCGCGCGCGGCGGAGCTCGCGGACGAGAACGAGAAGCTGAAGAAAGCGGCGGAGGGAGAGAGCGCGCGCGAGAAGGCCGCCGAGAACGCGCGCGCGCGCGCGAGCACGGAGCGCGACGAGATGGCGGCGGAGCTGGAGGCGATGGCCGCGATCGCGGACGTGGTGCAGCGCGCGCTCGCGAGCACGGGAGCGCGCGCGCGCAATTTGGAGTGTGAGCTCAAAATGGTGCGCGCGCATGGGGGACCGGTGCGGGAAGAAGTCGGGGTGCTGAGGGCTAAGTTGGGAGAGACAGACAGGGACCTTGCAGCGGCGCAAGAGAAGCTGGTGGAAAGGGAGAAGGACGTGGCGGCTCTGAAGAGAGACCTGATGAAGGAGAAGAAGGCCGCGGCGTGCCTGCGTGCCAAAGTTAAGGTGAGGCGCGTTCCCAATCTCTTTCGTTTAGAACACTTCCAAGTCTGTGATTAGTTCAGACCGGCAAGAAAGGGTGTTGAGAAAATTAGAAGACGTCAGTTTGCTAAGATTGTTGGTGCTTTTATAAGGTCAGAAGCGTCCTTGGGTGATCAAAACGTCTCTACTCAAAAGTGCCTTAGGTGATTAGAACGTCTCCTCGACGTTCATTTTTACGATAAGTCGCCTTTTTCAGCGCATATTTCCAGCGCATATGCCTGCGATCCTAGTGGTGGCGTTGTGTCTTTTCAGCGCTTGTACCTCCGATCTAAGCGGTGACAGTTGCTCTGTCAATCGTGTTCCTCTTTGGAGAACCAAAGGGTCTGCTGTCACCTTAATTCAGGCAGAAGGTGCGACGCACTTACCACTCAAAAGATCTCGACAACAGGTTTCGCCGGTTTTCGCACCATTTCCGCTTAGCTCAGGGCAAAGAGACGAAAGCTTAAGTCTACCGTCCTCAGACTATCCGCTTGTCTTTCCTGCCCGAAACGGGTGCCTTTCTCATTGCGCGTCATCCGAAATCTAATTGTGATCATCTCCCTGCTCTTTCTCAGAAAATTTAGACCACTTTGCGAAGGAAAGCGCCCAATTCGACTTTCCTTCAGGCCGAGTCACACTGAACCTGTTTGTGACCATCCCACTTCATTCTTGCAGGAAGCCGAAGCCTCCCTAGCGAAGGAGCGCGCGCGTCAGCGCGATGCCGACGAAGCCGCGCGCCTCCCGCCGACGCTCGCGCACTCTGTGACAGCCCACGTCGACCCGTTATTCGACGGGACGAGTTCCCAGAAAAACACCGATGACGTCAGCGGGGCGCTCCAGGAGAAGGAGAGCGAAGCGCAGCGGCTGGCGCGGGAAGTAGTAGCGGCGAACAAACGGGTGGGGAAGCTCCGGCAGCAACTAGACGCGGCGCGCGCGGCGGAGGAGGCGGCCCACGCCGCGGCGCACGCGAAAGACGAGGAGCGCGTTAAGCTGCTAACCGAGAAGGACAGGGAGACGGAAAGGGTGCTGACGGAGAAGGACGAGGAGACGGTTAAGCTGCTAACCGAGCTCGAGAAGTCGCACGCGACGATCGTCGAGATGGGCGCGGAGCTGCACGCCGCGGAGGAGCAGCGCGAGCGCGAGGTGCGCGCGCTGACGTCAGAGCTGGCCAAGGTGACGTCGGAGCTTGCGGCCGCGCGCGCGACGCTCGCGGAGGCGGAGGGAGACCTGGAGAGCGCGCGGTGGGAGGCGGCCGTCGTGGCGACGGAGAAGGAGAAAAAGATTAAGCGGCTGTCGGAGGAATTGGTCCAGAGCCTGGAGGCGCTTCAGCGGTTGGCGGGGGAGCGGGAGGAGCTGGCGCGCGAGCGAAACGCGCTGCGGGCGGAAACGAAGAGGTCCGGCGAAGCGGAAAACAGGGAGGCGGAGGTGTTTGCGGAGGAACTAGAGGCGGCGCAGGTCGCGCTCGAGAAGGCCCGCGAGGCCGTTCCCGAGCACGCCGCGAGCTTTTAGGGCTCAGGGTGTGGAACGCAAGCATTTAGGAACTCAAGGCAAGTAGGCTGGAGGGTTGTAGGTTAGAGTGTGAGACTCAAGAGAAACTCTGCTGACAAACACTGTGATCTAGAGAAGATGTAGGATTCGCAAGAGTATCTTAAAAAACAAAACCTGGCGCTGAACGTAGAATAGACAAGCTCAATTCCCAAGCTGGCGCTGCTCGATTTGCAACGGATCCGTTTCCGCTGCCAGGTTTTGAAATAAAGCCAGTCGCTGGGGCGCTATAGAAGCACGCGGCGTGGCGCGGTGATCAGACCTTTGTGACGCGTGCGCCCCGCCCGCCTCCGTTGACGTCCCGGTGCCAAAACCGCAGGGTGTAGCAGCGCGGAACTGATAAAGGTTTTCGAAAACGTTGTTAGAAAGTGTGAGCTGTTGTGGGCGGCGCTTCCGGAGGCGCAGCCTCGGGAGCGAAAAGTGGGCAAACTAGGAGAGGCGAAAGACTTTCGCAAGGCCCGGGAGCACAAACCGGGAAAGGGGAAACCGGCAGAGACGCGGGGCCAGAGTTGCCAGGAGCTTAGTGAAGTGCGAGACAGTAAAGCGGGGCTTCCCGAGAAGGCTGAGATAGAGCGCCGTTGTGGCGGGGGCGCTAGCAACGGTCGAATGTGGGGGCTACATCTGAAAAGAGGAGTATCGGCCCGGGACGGAGAGAGACACCGCGAGCGTGCGCGCGCGTTTCAGTCGAGCGCGTGGTGTTCTAAGCCGCATTCAGCCGGAGAGTGGGAGAGAGTGCGTGACGGGACCCGCCTGGCAGAAGCGAGGGGCAGCGGACGAAAGCGCGCAACCAAGCGCTGGAAGGCGCGCAATATCTGGCGGCGGAATGTCCGCGATCGGGGTCAGGCAGCGCGAGCCGGACTCTGTTTTGCAGGACTTGGTCGCGAAGGGAAGACGGAGAGCACGGGGCCGAGCGGAGCGGACCGGAGCGGAGCGGACCGAGCCGCCGGTGCTGGTGGGTAGCTCAGGCAAGAGAGCTTTTGGCCAGAGTAGCGGCCAAGGCTTGGGGACCTGTGACGTTGCCTGCAAATCGAGCTGAACGACGAGGTGAGAGATGTTGCGGATCTGGTTTCTTCACGGAGGTAGAGGGACAGATGTTCTTTCCAACGTGCAGTATGCAGGGTCGGTGAGTCAGAGCGAGATGCCAATCAGGAATGTTGTGGAAGGTTAGACTTTACGGCGGCTGCTTCCTTCCTGAGACTCTGTGTACAGCTTCACGTGTGTAAGTTTCGAAGCCCGTGAGCGGTGGCATCGATTGGCGATGCGATTGGATTGCCCACTTTAATTAAAGGTTACGAGTGGGGACGCCTCTGTCGGTTTCGAAGTTCGTTCGAGAATTTTTGTTTTGAAGAACGAAAAGGCCGGCGCTTCCAACTACCTGGGGACGCAAATAGGTGCCCATGGTTATCACAGGAATGCAGGAGTCGGGACTCCTCGATCGGTTCCGAAAACTAGAAGCTGACGCTCTGTTCTACCCCTATCTCTGCAGATGTGAGTGGGTGGTTCGGTGTTGAAAGTGCGTAGAATGAAGCGGCCAGTGTGGGGGGTGTTCCCACAGTTTTACCCCCGATCCGAGGGGAGGGCGGTGTTAAACAGTCCGGTTTGTAAGATAGTTGCGCGCGGCTCTGCAGCGCTTGCAAGACTTCCTCACTAGGTATGAGGAGATGGTTGATGCATGGATGGACTACGTGTGAGTAGGTTCTCTGAAAGACCGTGTCAGCAAAGGTTCGAAGTTGCATGCTTCTTTTAAAACAATGAACTCGTAGCAAGTATTAGTCTATGAATATTTGCCTCGGTTTCAGAACATGTAGACTGGTGAAGGCAAGGACTCGCAATCGGACGAGCTATAAACCCTTGACATTGGATTGATATTGGATTGGACCAAATAAGAACAGCTATGAATTGGCGATATTGCTTCGATTGAAAGCAGATTTTCTAGCCGCCAGGACAAGTTAGCTTCAGAATGCTTGTAGAGTGAAAATATGTTGTTTCCAAGTATCACCTGCTGTTTCCTTATTTTAGTATCTCATGAAGTACTCTGCGCCTATGGACTGCGATTGGTGCATTCCGGAAGGTTGAATTTCATTACATGCTGGGATCGCAGTTGGGTTCCGGGCCGGAGCAGCTCAATAGAAGGATCACATTATAGTAAAGTTTGCGATCCTAAGTCGAACCGAGACGAACGGCAGCTGCTGTCGGGTCGATCATGTGCATTTATTTTGCAAAGCAGTCCCCCATGTTGGCGGACGGTGGTTTGAAAATACCTAGGTTGCATGTATTCGAACGGTGCATGGCGGCATGTCCGGATTCCACAGACAGTAGCCTGTAGCATGCGAAGTCAATTCTTGGCCTAGGCCTAATCAATCGTGCCAATTGCGTCGATCTCACCTTCCAATGTACGCCTGACTCAGGACAATTGTGAGCTCGGTAACTAAGGACGGCGCCCACATCAAGTTTGCAACGTTTGATTCGAAAAGCTTGCGTACCGGCCCGCTCTTGCTTTCAACATCAGGTCTGGCTTAACATGGTGATTGAGAATCTCAGGCCGCCCCGGCTATGTACTTGCCGCTTAAAGTAAGTCTCCAACGAAAGTTGCAACGCCGCGGACTGGATCTTGTTTCAAAAAGTCAATTGCACATGATCCATCACATGATTCATCGTGGAGGCTCTGTAGAGAAAGCCATGAAGGTAGTTTATTTACGTATATGATGGAACAAGCAAAATGTAACGGAACAATAGCTTGGACGCATCCACCTCGTTTCACAGACGAAAAAACAAAATAAGTTGCGCGGATACCGGCCAGCATGCCGCCGAGCTGCCATGCATGTAAAAGGTGGGCTTGGCGTCAGGGCGGCTTAGATACGGCCGCAGATATTACAGACGTGGCGGCCTCTTGAGTCAAGCCGCTATCATAAGAATCGCGAGCTAGACACTTTAGCGGACATCTATTCAGGTCGGACCGAGCTACTGGAAACTGACCCGGAGCGCTCTACCTTTGGACTGCCTCTGCCAGCTCGAACGATTGTCTTCAACGGATGCCTCTTGCACCGTTTCTCGATCTGCGTCGAGGAACTCAGGCAACGTCAGATTAAATTTTCAACGAAAGTCCCTTTTAGACATTGAGTGCTTCCTCAATAGTCTCTATCTGCATCGACTCTGCTGTTAGTCACTCACGAAGAAGAGATCTGACACACAATAGTCCGGTGACGGCACCATGCTTCGACACCGGCTTGATATGAGGAGGTGGTTGTGAAACGCTGACGAGGCCTGGGAAAAGTGACCGACTTACTGTTTGCAACACGTAGCCTGACGATGCCATTGTCGCCTTTTCACTTTTCCACCTGAGAAACAGTGTTTGAGTTGGTTTAAGAAGATTGAACGTGATTGAACGACTGGTAGAGCGGTCGTGAAGCTTGGAAGCTTTCAGCGAGCATCTAGTGCAACAGGGACGAGTCTTGCTTTTGGTTGAGTGTCCTATTCAATTCTAGGATGGCTTGTCCTTCGTCGTACTCATTGGTTGGGATGTCGATACATCGACAAGGGATCCGGCCAATCCTCGTAGCAGGCATGCAACCAATGCTTAGAAACTCTGGGTTACAATGTGAGATTGCATAGAAAAGGACCTACTTGTCAAAGAAGACGGTCATGGCCCCGGCATGAAAGAGGTTGACGGCCTCAAGCGCACTTTTTCGATTTTTCATTGCCCTGTAGCGTACAAAGTCCCTGTGTTTTTAAGGCCGTGCAAATGGGCGGGAATCAAATTTACCTTGCAAAATGACGCAACAATGCTAAAGTCTTCCGTGCGCGGGATGCTCATTTCCCATCTCGTTTTCTTCTTGAAGTTTTGAGCGAAAGGCAACAGGAGACCGGGACAAACGGACGACCTTGATCCCTTTTTCCTTCTTTTGATAAACCTTGAGCCTGCTCCTTGTCTCTGGAACTTACGTGAACTCCAGCAACGCGAGACAGAATCCACGGAATGACGTAGCGTCCTGGGCATGTCGTCAGCACCACCTGCTGATTAATTTGATTTAACGACGAAGAATGTTTTCCTCACCTCCGCAGAGCTCCTTTCCGAAGGAGCTCAAGCGCCCATGCGGTGACGTTGAGGGAGACGATGCAGAAAGGAAAACCGTACGTCTCATCCTGAGACCAACGGAACATATCTCGACATAACCCTGACCTGCAAAGGCGTACGAAGCATGTTCAGAGAAAACGTTGCTCGCACATCCACACAGATCGCGATCTAGATAAACGTACAAACGACTTGCCAAGGAGAGCCGATAGCCTGAAAGCTAAGAGAAGCAGTCTTTGTGATGGAAGCAACGAATAGTGCTGGAGAGGGTTGCGATACCTTCTCAGAGCAAGGTTCTCACAGCTCACGCGTCTTTAACGAGACCTCCAGATCGAAACTTTGATCGCAAAAACTTTATGAGTGGCAGATGGGACACCCAGCAGAGAAGGTTTCACGATCAGCGGATGCAAGCTCGTTTCCGGTCTTCGGTGACTTTGAGATGGCTGGAACCTAGTCAGGGCGAGAAATAAATAAGGAAGATCATCAGGCTTTAGCATATCTGAGAAGTTCAATCTGGGGCTTGCCTGGACTCCAGCAAGTGGAAAATCTGGACCAAGCCGAAGACACCACAGCTGCGGAGGTCAGTCGCCGGGTCCGTGCCTGAGATAGGAGTCAGGAAGTAGGCTGATTGCTTCGACTTGGTCCAGAGCTACGACGAGAGCGATTGATATTGATGCCCTTGTCCCGCTCAAATACACTTGAAAAGCTGCAACTTGCAACTGTTCAGAAGAGGCTTCTACATCAGATTCCATCCGCTCGTGGAAAATCATAGCGTCGCCCCTTGCGATGACAGATTTGTTTTCATTCCTAAGACCTACAAGGCACGTGTAGCTTTTTCGCTCAGTGTCCTCAATGATTGCTTCAAAGGCATCCGCTATACTCTCACCTTGGAAACCAATAACTTCCCAATGGGGCCCAAACCGTGTTGCTGTCTGGACACCTGTCAACTTCGTGTAGATTGACTCAAGCAGGCGGATATCCAGTGGCTCGTCCTCCTGCAGCGGCAGCTTGGCCATCCGCAGCACCTGCTTCGTCTGTTCGTCCTGCTGCACGGCAGGTGTTGACCTAAAGCAGCAGTTGGCCGACGCGAGCAACGCGCTCGAACCTCTGGAAACAGGTTGGAGACGATGATTAAGCCAAAGCAACAGTTCCATGTCTCTGGCGATGCCTTTCAAGAGCGCTTCGTGGCACGCGCGTGAAAGGTCGGCAAGCGGACTGCACAGAGAGCATCATCAGCATGTGTCTGCAGGCAAAGGACGCTTGATCTTGCATTGGCTAAAGTGGCGGCTGTCAAGTGGAGTGGATCAGTATCTAAAACCTTCCTTTGCGGATTTGAAGTGCATGTATCAGTTGCAGATTCCGTCGTGTACTTCGGTATGGTTATCACTGTGCCAAACCCTTCTCTCCTCTATCACGAAGGCAAATCTGAGCTGAGAGTCGTGGAGCTTGGACTTCCAAACGGCCACTTAACGGCTGCAGCTTACGAAAGACGTCTCAGAAGAAAGCTTCATGATCAAATGGTGCTGAGATGTACCTCGTCTTTGAAGCCGGAGCTGGTGCAGAAGTATCACGTATGCGGGAAGTATAATTTCCGCTTATGTAGTGCTCGACCTCCTTCCAGGTGAGAAGATTTGATTGTCCATTCTCGGTACAGCTTTCTGCAGTTTGAAGAATACTGTTACGGACACTCCTTACATCCAGCTACAAAGAGTCTCTCAATCATGCTGGGGCCTGATCGTAGATATTCTATGTGATCTTCTTCGATCTTAGAACCTTGTTGTGCTTATGACGAGGAGCTCTTTGTCAGCAAGACCACACCTTTTAACAATTTCTGGCGTTCTGCTTGATTGAATTTTATAAAAGCTGTAATCATCAAGATGCACCTTCAGCATCTTTTTAATCAAGGGATTTGCATCATTACCTCTTTCTAAGTGCTGAAAACCTGCAACGCTGGGCGTTTGACTTGAGAGCTGCTCCGGTGTACGCCACGTATCCTCTTGCCAGTGGGAGAGAGTAAGCTCCGATGAAATCTGCTCACTTCCATCAGAGAGGTCAACTGATGACACTTTCTCACTTTCAGTGCCCCGTTGCAAATCAATCACTTGAGGGATGCTGAGAATACCATCTGTATGTACAATGTGCTCTGACTCTGCTTGCACAATTTTAGTGCTCGCTGTACTGGGAATAGAGGGAGCGCTCTCCTCGAGTAACTTCACCATTGGTCGAGCTCCCCAAGGCACCTCTTGCAAGGTACTGTTTAGGCAAGTGGGTGTGACACATAGACTCTTGGAAACGTTAGGCACGTGCGTGACCTCCTCAACCACTGGCAAGTCGGCTGCAGATGTTATATCAGCAATGATGGCTGCTGCGGAATCCTCTCTTGGTTGGCTCACGACAGCTTCCTCATCCGCATTGTGATATGCAACACATTCCAGCACATCTGGAACGACTCTAGCCACAGCAATTGATTCCATGATTTGGTCAAAGGTCCCTTTGCTCTTGCTTACGTTGATAGTTTCCATATTCAGGTCAGCAACATCTAGGTCTATAGCAGAAATAGCAGAGGCAGGACAAAGCCCAGCTCAGTCTGAATTTATAGTTGGCATGCTGCATCCAGCTCCATCTTGCACAGAAGTTGTCAAGGCGCTAGTACAACGAAGATCATTTCTTGAAATGCTGTCATGTGGTAGTATTGAGAACCGCTCATCAAAAGCTTAAAGAAGCCATTGTGTGCTATGCAAGCTCTCTGAAGAGGCTCTCAGGAGTCGCATGGCCTTCCTTCAAGAATGGCTGGACTTTAAGCTGGCTCTCTCTGGCCCCCTATCTAGTAGCTGGCCGTTTGCTCCCATTTGGGCAGGTAGCTCTTGCTTTCTCATGATCGTTGATTTGAGATCACGGATGCGATGACTATAAGACAGTAAGAGTCTGCTGTACTGCTGGTCTCGAGCCTGAGGCAGTCTAATCGTTTGTTATAAGGTACCTAAGAATTAAAACATTGACTTAGGTGGATAAGCTAGAGATAAGCTTTAGGTAAACTTACAAAGGTGAATACAAGCAGCCGCGCCTGCAGGGCCGACGGGTCAGTGGGGTTAGTATGGAGCTTATCTAGGGTGGTTACGGGTGCGGAGCGGATAATCACATAGTTGCTGAATTTTAGTGTCGAAAGCTTCGTTCTTTCTAGGACCTATATCTTGTGCTATGACTTGCTATGACTAGGTATTCTAGAAAAATATGTCCTTATGCTCAGGGCCGTCGATCCGATCCTGCCAACTTCTAACGAACCCTGCGTGCTCGCGCACTTTATTTATCGACGACTCTGAATTGAGTCTTGACGTGTCGTGACGCCTGCCAGGTCACACTTTATTGATCATCATTACGATTTTAATGGGGCTGACGTCTTCATCTGTGGTGATGTCATTTTTGCGAATTCATGGTCACGCGCAAACACGTCACCGTACCTACTGGCAATTCCTTGTCTCCTAAGGGGCTTGTCGCCTAACAATCAGAAGCCCCGGGCACCACAACCATAAATCCTAACCCAGATCTTTACGCGCTTCGCACCCAAAGCCTCCCTAACCACCAAACCAAACCTACCCGTCCCCCGGCCTATGACGATATGAGACAAGCCCCTTACGAGACAAGGGAGTTGCCACACGTACCGCACTGGCACGTGGAGCGTTTGAACGGCGGTCGATGAAAGTCGAGAATTATAGATCGAAAGTTAGAAATGTGAGGACATTTATATACCGTCCCGGCAAAGAAATTCATCTTTTATCAATTATTTGGAGCCAACGAGAAAAGTTGGGAAGTTATTCGGGCGGAATTCACTAACCAAACAACGTTAACCTGCGGATAAACCTGTAGGTTAAGGTCTGGGGAGAAATGTAAAAAGAAACGAAACTATTCATTCGCGGCGCGAGCCTCAGTATGGGGTGAATTGCTTTGGGGGTTTTAAGGGTGCGTGTGTACGAGTTCTTTCAGCAGGTAATTTTCAGGTTAGGGACCAGGGTTTCTTTTTCCAATTCTTGTTTACTTTGAGAAGTTAATATGTAATCGTTATTCCTAAATTTTAGACCGTTACATACATAGCACGCTCTGCTCGGGCCGCAGCATATAGCCTGACGTCATGGTAGTACTTGCGTGAGCTGAAAAGCATGAGCGAGATATTCTGCGCATATGGGTCTTGACTCAGGCCAGATGTTGTCCACTTGTCACCATTGCAGGAGCTCTCTAGACTCTGCGCGCAGTCAGTGCGATATTCAATCATTGATTCAATGGACCGGTCCACGGGCCAGGGAACGCACATACGCTATAGAGCTAGGTACCTGTTCCCAAGGGGCGGGCCGCGACCCTCACGGACCGTGTCTTCAAGTTGGTACCTAGGACCGGGCCACCTACTCTACCTCTAGAGGAATGTTACATGTACCTACATTGTACGGCGGCGGTACAGTAGGACCACTGGGCCACTGGCACATGATGCTCTTGTAGAGCTCCAGGGACCAGGCTGTGATTGTTGCAAGTTGCAACGTCCAAGTCCGGACCTGCATGCAGCGGGCCATGACTCTGAGCTTCCATCAAGGAGTCGACTTGGAAGTTGGAAGAGGACGACACCTGGAGTCCTGGACGACACAATGCAATGGCCGCCTCAGCTGTTTGCCGAGGTGCTTTGAAGGCATGGAATTGAAACCTGTTTGACAACCAGGACTAGCGGTTCAGGTGGCTCCTAGGCTGCCCCTATCCCCTGATGCAATCACTGTCAATGTGATCAGCTGTCTCTGCCCATAATGTGAATGCTGTGCAAGTGGACAAACTAGATGATGAGCGCTGCAGTGAATAGGAGTGCATCGATGTTGCACTTGTAAGCAGTGCAACGAGCTCCTTGGAGTCTTTGCATAGCAGACTCCCGGAAGTCTGGCACTGTCATTGGCAACAGACAAAGGTACAGACAGCTTTTCCAGGTAAGGGCTGACAGAGCTATTATCAGCAATTCTTGCAGCCCATCACACAAAGCGACTAGGTGATGTGCCACTAAGTCACGATGTACGTCAAATCTGGTTTAGATATTTTGCACTTTTAGAATGGTTCCAGTACCGCTGGGAGAGTTTGGGTAACCCCTGGAGACAGAATACTTCAGGACAGCATGTCAATGTCAGACCCTTTCAGCAGAGTTGAATCTGCTTGATGTCAATCTGCTTAAGCTACCTTTGGTTCGCGCTCCTGGAATCCAAGAAGCTTTGCAAACTATTTCCCCTTCCTACGAAAAGCAATGCATTTTCAAGTGCACGAGGCTTGATTAGGGTCACTCTTCTGTTCCTCTCAGCAAGGCTATGCATCTCTTCTGTTTACCAATTATCATTTATCAGGCTAACAGGCCTCAATTCAGTCCCTTCTCTGATGGAAGATAGAAAGTTATGCAGTTGCTTTGGCTTTAAAACCAGGTTGGACCCCACAAAGACTCGGTCATTTATACTCGGTCTAAGTGTACAGTCGTCATTGACTGAGTGCACCAGACACCGTAGTCCAAGGAGCAAACCTTGATCTGGCAAAGCTTTAATTAGCCTTTCAATTAGCCCTTTTAATTAGCTCGTTGTGCATTGCGGCTGCACTTCCATGAGGACCACTCAGCGGAACACGACACATTGCAGATGCTTGCTTTCTCCTTCGTCAGGACGTGAATCATGGGAGATACAGTTCTCGAGCTGGGGCCGAGCAGCGGAGGGAACCAGATTCAGGTGGGTGCTATCGCAGATTTGTGAGACATATGCCTCTGAATATAGACAGCAACGCACCCGGTGAATTAATCAATTAAGAGCCTGATTGACACAATCTCCAGGAAACAGAAAGTATACAGATATAGAACAAAATAATACCAACATTCCAATATGGTCAGAGGTACTCAGGTTATGGTGATTAGGAAGCTGCAGTGAGGGCACCGGCTCATGTCAGGAACTTGCAGAGATATTCCTCGTGTGATTTCACCTGGATTACCATCTTTTGGAAGAAGATGCCCTCCTGTAATGGATTGAGATCTACTTTTCTGCTCTCAAAGTGCAGCAATTGGGGAAAGACGCCATCCACTTCTATGCAAGCTCTTAAAAGACACTAAGAGATTTGAGGAACCTTATAGTAGACGCTGCCCCCCAGCACTTAAAGCTGATTTGTTTCTGCCCTTCTGACAAGCGGTCACATACTGTTTCCTAAAGGTTCACATTTATGCTGTGAGAAGAATCTCAAAGATGCTGGACGCGTACTATCTGATTGCATGTTTTCGAAATGCTGGACTGTTCCTGTACGCTCTCAGGAGGCAAAGACTGTGCGATCTTTGGGCATCAAGACTCCTGAACCTGGAAGTATAAAGCGGGCGCTCACCAGAGGACGCAGCGCGAAGAAATTGGCATCAAGGAAGCAGGCAAGTGGATTGATGAGTGTTGGCATCAGGCTCCATAGCCACTTGTTCAGGCTTCCAAAAGTGGAAGGTGCACGGGATGATAGAGAATCTGACCAAGCTTCAAGAAAGCTTCAATGGTTGAGCGTCAGTACGTGCCCCGTCCATCTTCAGAGTGGATCGTTTATCCATCTCTTCCTGGACGAGGGCCAGTATCCAATAGGATTCACCTTCTCAGTAGATCTTACATGTTAATATACTGATCTGACATGTCATAACCACCCTAGATGGAACCAGCTCAGAACTCGGTTGTGACTACTGTCCATTACTCAAACTGACTCTGCCGCGCTTTGTCACAGCCCCTTCCTGGTGATGGCTTCTGGAAGTATGCGCCTGGGTCAGAAGAAGCAGAGGCCAACCTGCCGTTCAAGGTATGCAATGACACTCAATGGTTCAATGCTTTTCAACGCTGAATGGAATCGCATTCTGATGGATTACCAGCAGACTTAACTCTCATACCTTACTGAAATTCTCACATAAAGTATCATCTTTTGCAGCCCCTCCCAGGCGACGGCTTCTTCAAGTACCTCGATACATTTGACAGTACGGAGCACAATCCGACCTTCCAGGTGTGTGTACTTCGGTGGGAAGTTGAAGTCTGTGCACACATGCAAAAACCTTGCCTCGGCAAGCTATACTAGTCAGCTGAAGGAAAGACCTCCGTAGCCAAGGACATGCCAGTGCTTCCACCATCTTTGCAATTACTTTTCAGGTGCAAGTCCTATCATCCGCCTTCTGCCTCAGCGTCTGACTGTTCGATGTTGAACGCAGGTCCCGCAACGGCATCTTCCTAAGAGCCGGGACTCAAGTCCTCCGCTGGGCTGCTTTGGCCAGCAGCGGAAAGCTCGTAAGAGCGTGACCTTGAAGCCTAAGCAGGTGGGTATCTTTAGACGGTGGCTCTCAGCATTGTATGTGAGGGCGCTTACTCTGAAGCACAGCAGGCCATTGTTTATTCTTTCATGACTGTCGACTTTGAGGTTCCTGTCTCTGACATCTGACATCCTCGCTTTGGCGGTTATGCGAATACGAAGAGTAAGATTGTTAAGGACTCTTCATGGCACGGACCTCCCTTTCTTCCCTTCTGTACATCTTGGCAGAATTTACTCTCCCATTGTATTCAAAGGTCGAAGGGAAGGTTCAGAAGATGGTTGCTTCTCAGAGGATCATTTCGACGTCAGAAATTGAGTTGTGGAACTCCAACTCAAAAAAATCGAGGAAAGACTTGAACACGCCAGTGACGATTACTGTTATGACGCAGGCGACCAAGAGGTCTAAGACCCAGGGTAGAAAGGCTGAACCTTGGACTACAAAGGACGTCAAACTACCTGACCCGAAACCGCTGCATCCGACTCACCACCCTGCATTGAGGACTTACAGCAGGAAGCCTGCAGACTTGGCTCCAAAGAAACGGGTAAGCGACACGAAGCAGCTTTTGATGCAAGATCTCAATGAAAGGAAGTGGTTGCATGCAGGTATCATCAAATGGATTGAGTCGGACTCCCAATCGCCTTTGCAAGAGCTACTTGATTCGGTACTTCGATACTGCTGCTGCAAAAGACAGTACCTTTAGGCGCCAGATGGCATGGGAAGAGTCGAGTCTGACGTGCTTACAGAGTCAGTAACTAGACTGAAGCATCTTCTTATATCCTACTGTGTTGCTTCAATGCAGCCGATCCCTGGGGATGGCTACTGGCAGTATTCCGACGAGGCAGCGGTAGCAGTGCCGACCCTGCCGTTCAAGGTATAAGAGGCATCTTTGAATCCATCCCAAGCCATTCCAAGATTGCTGCAATCATTTAAGGTTGATGAGTTGGATTGTGGGAACCCCTGGACGTCAGAAACTGCAACTTAAGACAACATGACTTCTTTACAGGCTCTCCCTGGCGACGGCTTTTGGCTGTATCCGGCGGGGTCCGAAGAAGCCCGGCACAATCCGGCGTTTCAGGTGCGGCCTTTCGCCACCAATCCTCTTGACTTCGACAGTTTCTTGTCCTTATTCTGCTTGAGCAGCACGTGTTTGTTCATGCGGTGCAGACTGGTGACGTATCACATCATGCAATCCGTTCGTTCATGTCTCGACTTGCGCATGTAGGCCCTTATTGGAGTATGCTCACTATGTGAAGCCGCGATAAGGAAGGCCAGCTAAACTGTCTTCTCCTTTTCCACACAGGTTCCACGGCGCGTTCTCGTGAGGCCCACAGAGTCGAGCTCCCCGCTCAAGCGCTTGGCAAAGCGCGCGCCGGGTCTGAAAGAGATTGCGCGGAAACAGGTGAGAGGACATTCCTGTTGCTTTTGGAAAAGTACACTGGAGAAGCGGCCGAACTGCGGCTCCTGAGCTATCGCTCACAAACGAAGCCGGCTTTCGCCCATCGCTTTTCTTGCTCTTCACCAAGAAGACAAATCGTTCAACGTCATTTTGAACCGCCTCTACGTTTTGTGCAGTCTCGTCCAAGCACGAAACTTCAAGACACTGCCGCTGTTATCTCAGCAGGGCAGACCAGGGCCACATCATTAGAGGAGAGCGCGGCAGTGCCGATTGAGGTCAGCTCCGACGCCAAACAGAGCTCAAGACAGCGTACACGTCCGTCAAAGTCGTTCTGAGCGGTATTCTTGCTTTGCTGTGACCTCCAAGCGGAGCTCAATTTTGCCAAAGCTTTTCCGGGTTGAGAGCGGCATGTGAAAGAGATTGCTGTCACGCGTGAAAAAGTAGAATCGATTGTCATTGCGTTCCTTTCTTTAGATGAGCAGGACGTATGGATCACTCTTAGATCGTTCAGCCAATATCATTTTCTTGGAAGCTGAGGGGAGCGTTCCTGTTTTATAGGTTTCTCGACAAAAGTCCCGCGGAAGCAAGGACTCGAGCTTCGCTTTCAAGGCCTCTCCACGACGCAGGCTGATCCGAAACGTCTCTTCCCAGAAGTCCAGAAAGGTGAGTACCATACTGGGCGCTGAGAAACGGAACTGCTAGGAGTGAGCTTACGGAGCAGCCAGTTGACACGTCTTGAAGACCAAACCAAGAGCACGGGATTGGGGACGTTAGCCAAGATTGACAGCCAGCTTGCTACTCTTTCCACCGTGCCGATGCTACGGAAGAACACAATTGCATTGCTGACAAGAGAAAAGGATGAAGAGTCTGTCATTGTTTTGACTTCTTTTGGGCGGCTGCGCAGAAGAGGGCTTTTACCCGTCTGCTTCACGGTTGTGGTGATATAAACTGGTTCTGAGGAGCGCCCTTTTTAGAAGACTGGATGTGGAACCCTTGGGGCAGAATTTGGTGCACCGTTTACCGAGCTGACTAATCACTCATCTCCGTGTCTGCAGCCCCTCCCTGGCGACGGCTACTGGCATTATCCACTCGGGTCAGAGACCACAGAGGCCAACTTGCCGTTCAAGGTAGGCTCGTGAATGATGAGAAGCACGCTCACACCGAACGTTATCGTCGTCTGCTTCATGAAATGTTGCTTGATGAGTTGGTTTCGGACGTCGCGGAGATGTACGAGGGCTGACTTGCTCTTGCAATTGGTTTTCCAGGCACTCCCAGGGGACGGGGTGTGGGTGTACCCGTTTGGGTCAAACGAAGCGCAGCTCAACGCGGCATTTCAGGTACAACACCCCTCCGCTGGTCTGGACCTTCCACGTCAACCTGATGCCTATCGAGGCCCATGTTTGAAGCTTCTCTTTTGTTGCTACAGCTTCTTATAGCAGCTGTTCACAACACAAATAGACCGACTTTACACCCTCCGATCGGCTCTAATCCCCCTCGTTCAGGCCTTGAAACCCGTGCTCATGCTAGATCAGCTTGAAGTCAACTCTTGTCGGTGCCTGAGTCCTCAACTCGTGCTGAAGACGTGATGAGCCTCCATGCCAATTGCTGACACCTTTGAATTCCAATTGGAGCAGGTCCCCAGCCGGCTCCTTTCGAAGAGCAGATCCTCGAGTCCTTCGTTCAAGCGCTTTGCGAACCGCAAGCAGGCCTCCAAGGATACTGAGCCGACGGCGAAGGTGAGGAGACGTTACGAACTGCAGCTAAAGCTCTAATCAGGGACTTTCAACCTGTGGAAAAAAGGATTCGTTCCGCGCGTTTCATATTGTGCAAGTGAGCACGGTATGCATCACTTTCTCTAGCAGATGACGTTTGTGAAACAGACACGATACACAGAATATACCGTTGTTTGAGCTGGTTGTCCTCAGCCCCTCAGGCTTGCCCTGGATCCTTTGACGGCAGAGTAGTCGTGTACTGGCCATCCGCCCTACTGCGTTCCGTCAGTGTTTGGGCACCTGATGAACGCAAGACCAGAAACTCGATCCGCTTTTTCGTTTCACAGCAGGAGCCTTCGAGGGAGGCCCTCCAGCAAACACCGGCAGCGGCCGCTGCGGTGAGCGAAGACGAGCTGATGGAAGAGTCGGCGAGCCCTGTCGAGGTATTTTCAAACACTCATAAAGCCCTAGAAAAGAATCGGCGTTCAAATCACATAACCGACATTACTCAATCATCAGTCACCTCGGGGAATCCTACGAGCAAACGGAGGGGTGCTTGTAATCATGTATGTGCCCTCAATGTGCGAACACTTCGCTCCAAAGGAGAGTCGAACGTATTTTCTTCTAGAACCGTTTGATCCAGTGTCTACGCTTGTGAACCATCCGGTTCAGCTGGAATGCAAGCCGTCATCTTTCTTGTCGCGGTTCCCGTTTGCACGGTCGAAAGCACCAACTTTACGAAGCTATACCTACAGGAAACTGAACGGGGCAGCGTACAGGCCATCTTGTCATGGAAGCGCTTTGAGTTGTTTTTCCAGTGCCACTTTGGCAACTTCCCGTCCATGGTATACTGCGTTTTATTAGCCTTCACCCTATTTGGCTTACGTTAGGAATGCTCTCATCGTTAAGCTCTGTTTCGATTCTTACTAAAAGATCACATTTGCAGGTCGAAAGCGCGCCTCCGGTCCTCACAGAGCCTCCCGTTTTGGCCACCAAGAGACCACGGAGCGCTTTGGGAGTCATATCGCCGTCAGAGGGAGGGATGCGGAGCGTGAAGCTGGTCAAACGCGAGGTAACTGCCTCGAATGCCGCTCGAGTTCTCTTTTCCCGATCTCCGTCTCTTCTGATCGGTCTTCAATCATTCTGTTTGGCGCCTTCATCTGAGCAGCGGCTGTTCGCAATGTCGAGGATGCTGGTGAAAACGAGAGCAGAACCGCAGAAAGAAGCATTCTCTCCGGGGATCCGAGAGAAAAATTTGCGGATTGAGTGCTCGTGTTGCTTTCGTTGCTTTGTTTCAAAAGTTGTGGATTCCTGCAACAACCTCTGTTCTGCAACAAGGCCAGGTGATAAACATGGTTGTCCGTGACTATCCGAGGACTTTCTTCTCTGCGATACCAGCCTGTGGTGGAATTGGGTCTCGCGTGCTCCGATGTTTTCCATCGCCGTTTGCTGACTAGCCTCAAAATCGGGTTTCGAAGCGGCGCAACCAGCCGTTGGTTCTGTCGTCATCTCTCATCGCCACTGCGCCCTCTTAATACCCAGATTTCGGAGGTGGGCAGCAAGTGGCTGCGCATCATGACCGACATGGACAATCTGCACGCGAAGCTGAAGGCCGGGGGCGCAACGGACCCCTCACAGGCCGGGCGGGTTGTCCGCCCGATGAAGAGGACGGTCGCAGCATCTACAGCTTCGGCGGATCAACAGGATATGAAGGTGAGAGCTTTCTGCCGTTCTGCCTGGCCTTTCTAAATTGCCTGCCAGATTTTGCTAATCTGCTCTCATCTTTATTTTGGCCGTCTTGTCTGGTATACTGCTGCCTTGCACGAAAGCTTATCTTCTTCAGGGGTCTAGGGCAGAGTCTCAGTAAACACAGCCGGGTGACAACCACTCTTCTCGTGATTCGTAAATGCGACTCTATCAACCAAGTCCGGCTAGAACAGCGAACGGCCCTCGAGCTCCCAAGCGTGCTGTATGATATCGGCGCTTCTGCATGTTTGTCATTTGCCGCCGTTATCTTTTCTCGTTGATGTCCTTGATGCTGGAAGGCTTAGCCTGTGCTCTTGAAGCCAAACAAGGCCCCGCTTCACTTGTCCCCTCGACAATTCAGAGTCCCCTCAAGAATTCAGCATCCTGCCCGTTCTGTCTTTGCAACCATCCCCGCCCGCCCATCGCTTCTCACTGCATCTATCCAATGCAATGTTCGTGCAGGAGATCGAGGCTCAGTCAACTTCAGACACGCAAGATTTCTTGCTACCTAGAGGCGAGGCCCCGGCGCCTTCCACCACGCCGACATTGGCACGAGGGAAGATGCCCAGTGCCAGCCCCACGTCAGTTCTCCAGGCTGTCTCGTCGCCGTACGGGACAGAAGGGGCACTTGGCAGCAGCGATGAGGTGCGACTGTATTCTCGAGAAAGCTTGCTGGGCGTTTTGCATAGCACCTCGATTCAATAAAGATGAAAAGCTAAAGAGTCTGGACTTATTATTACTCTATTAATGGGGGCCTTGTGTCTGCTTCTGAACCGCTCGTGAAGGTCGCCCAGGCGAAGGTGTGTCAGACGCATAGCTTTTGGCAGATATAATGCTTTACCAATGCGGCACGGTGGTCAATCTGTCCCTTACGTCCCCGCTACTAGCACCGCCACTGAGGTCTGCTGACAGGTCTCCACTTTGCGAACCTTGAGACTGCTTTAACGGCCTGAAAATCCTCGCCCGAACAAAGTCAGCGCTCGTTAGATCGTCAGTTTGCAGACGAAACTGCTATTTCGGAAGCCGTAGGTGTGAAGAAACGGTAAATCCGCCAGAAAGCATTGGAGCTAGATCGTCAAAGTGTTCAAAAGTTCTCACTTTCCACCTCCGGGCTCACTTATTACGAGCATTCCTTGCAGGAGCCAAGTATTCTCACGAGGAGTGCGAAGACTGCGCTGGTGCTCCCCGCCCGCCCTGTGGATTCGGCGACCAAGACATGGGAGTTCCCCTCTATCCGGGAGCAGTCACCCTTGACGGTTTATCGCACTACAAAGCTGAGCGGAGCCGATGTGGAAGGGGCAGACGGCAAGACTTTCGAGGCAAGACTGCAAAGCTTTTCCGCGTTTGTTTTTGAGTGGTGCTCTGCTTCAAAAAGACCGCGCTTCAGTGCAATTATCCGTGCTTTGAGCTCTCTCTGCCACAAAGTGTCCGTTGGAAGGCGAGCTTGGTAAGTAAAGGCCGAAGCAAGCAACTGAGGCGGTAAGAGGGACGGAGGGGTGTCAGGGACGCCACGCACTCATGCAGACTATGTCAGAAGGCATTTGTTCATCCAGCCGACCGCAATGAGAAGGTGGTCCCAGCACCCTGCATGTCAAAGGTGTCCTCAGTTCTGCTTGTCAAAACTTCAGTGTTTATAATCCTCGAACTCGTTGGAGCGGGTGCCACAATTCTGTGGAGAAGTACTTCAAGCAGATAGATTGAGTTAGAGCCGAGCACGTTGGAGTTCCACTTTCAAAAAGCTCTCTCCGACAACACAGAAGGTGCGAGTGTGCTCTGAACCCTCTCCTCTGCTACACAGAAATATACTTCCAAGGCTGCTTCCGAGATCGAGGAGGAAGTGCCCTCTTTCATGGGCTTCGCAACTCTCTCCAAGAACGGAAACGAAGGGACAACGGTTTTGGAGGGGCCAAAAAGCACCGGAACGCTTTCCCCACCTCTGGAAAAGCAGTCGATGAAGGCTGTCGCCTCCACCGACCGCGTTATCGGCGATGCCACGGTTCCGGCCGCGGATCCAACGGAAGCGACCGGAATTACTCCGGAAGCCGCCCCAGCTGCGCTGCCTGCGCGCGCGTCGTCCCGGCAGAAGGCGACCAAGACGAAGGAAGACGGGCGGGCGAAAAAAACCTCCCAGAAGGCGCTTTTCAAGGATACCTTTGCCTGGACCAAAAGCCCAGCTGACAAGACGTCGTCGACTGGTGCGAAGGAGAAGGGCCCCGCTGCCGTCAAGCAGACTCGGGCCGGAACGGTGAAAGAGAGCCCTGCGATTGGAGACGGGAAACTCGGCCGCCCTAAGCGCCCGGCCTTGGCGCCCTTGACGGTGAGGCTTCGCACTTAAGGCGATATTATTTTTACCTATGCTTTTGTTGATTTTTGGGGAGAAAGCGATTGGCTCCGGTTCTCGCTGACTCCCAAGATTTTGGGAAGTTCGTTGGTGCAAATCACGGCGGCTGATCGATGGCTCATTTTCATACCCGAACAAAGGTAGGCACTTTCGAGAACCCGAGCTTTTCTGGACAGAAACTTGTGAAAATGACGGTTATCGACGCACTGGGGAGCATCTGCAGCCGGTTGCATTGTAGGGCGGATATGGAAGTCTCTCCGTAGTCAAAGCGACTTGGAGATTGCTGGCAGTCAGCCTGGGTGCTTTGCGCTTCACTTCGTGATACTCTAGAGCACTCGGTTTACTGCTCTTCTCCATCAGAATTGCTTGCTTCTCTTATTAAGGTAGCCACAAGTCAGTATCTCCTCCAATCAAGGCGGTCTCTTTCCTAAGCCCTCCCGCGTTTGTGCAGATTCCGGAGCCTCCCACGGACGTTGACGATCGTCCGGTTCGTCCGCTGAAGGCGTCCGCCCCGGTCACGTCTCCAGACAGGCCGAAGACGGCCGAGGTGCGTGGTGTTGATTGCATTGGATTTTCGAGTGCTGTCGATGTGGTATACGGCATTAAAAGTCGGTCGGCCCTTCCGAACTCTGTCCTCGGACGAAATCCTCGATCCAAGAAAACATTCTATTAGCAAGTCTGTAACTTCCGAGGTCAGGCTTGCTTCTGGTCAGGCTTCCTTCGATGGGTGGGCCACTTGAACTAGAGCAGAATCGCTGAGTAATGAATCAGATTAAGCAGATCTACTCCTCCGCAAACAGGACTCCCAAAAGAGGGTCAAAACGTGAGCGACTTCTATACGGGTTGCCCTTGGAACGGTTGAATGTAGCCCCTTGGATCGAGATGGAATCTGTTGAAACTGCTTCAGGCTTCAAATGTTACCCTAAGCTCTCTGTCTTCTCCAACTGTGCACCATCTTTATATTGCTTTTTTACTCGTGGAGGTTGTCCGTTGTTTGGTCAGCTTCAGCCGAAAGTGCCGCTCCGTAATTCGTGATTCGCCGGAATCTAGCGAGCCGTTTGCTTGAGGTTCTATCTGTAAGCGACTGTCTACTTTCTGACAAATGTTCATCGTCTGCAGGAGATGATTGCCAACTACATGTCCCTCGAGCACAACAGCACCCTGAAGCGCGTCAAGGCCAAAGCCCGGGCGGCCCTCGCATCCAAGGACGAGGAGATCCGCTCGCTGCGCGCGCGCCTTCTCGAAATGGAAAGCACGTCAACCAAATCGGAGCTCGTTCTCACTGGTGCGGACGGCTCAGAGTTCCTCGGCGAAATCGAAAAGCTGGGGGATGACTTGACAAAGAGCCGTGCCGCCGAAGTAAAGGCGGGCGACTCGGAAGACGCGCTAGTGGCGGCGGAGGGGCGCATCGCGGAGCTCGAGGAGCGCCTGATCACCGCACAGGAAGACACGCACATCATCGCCACCCGGCTGGGCGCCAAGATGCGACAGCAAGACGAGGACCTCCAGAGCGCGGAATCCGAGCGGAACGAGCTCGAGCGGCAGATCGCGGAGCTGAAAACTCAGGTCGGCCGCGCCCAGAAAGACGGCGACGACGTGGCGGCCCGCGGCGCGCGGCTCGTGGAGGAGAACGCGAAGCTGCGCGACGCGGCCGCGGCGCTGGAGCGCCAGCTGGACGAGGTCGCGCGTGGGCGTGCGCGCGCGCGCGCCGAGCGCGACGAAATCGCAGCCGAGCTGGAGGCGTTGGGCGCGATCGCGGACGTGCTGCAGCGGCAGCTCGCGAGCACGGGCGCACGCGCGCGCGACTTTGAGGCGGAGCTGATGGCGACCCAGGACGAGAGCGGCCGGATGCGCGCAGAGGTGCTTGCGCTGCGGGCGAAGCTGGAAGGGAAGAGCGGAGAGCTGGCAGCGGTGCGGGCGGAAGTGGCGAAGGAGAGGGAGGCCGCGGCAGATCTCCAGGCCAAGGTCGAGGTAAGGCGCCAGTGTTGCGTGCGGATGATCGATTCTTGCTTTTGTCGAGGAGGTGGAAATATGCGTTTGTGGTGCCAGTCCTTGCTCTTTTGTACTTATCCGTCTCACCGGTTTTCTTTTCGCTGGTTAACGAAAAGTGGCCATGACTGGGTAAGGGTGACGTTGTCTGAGAGTTTGCTGAAATGCAGCAGTGTTTCCTTTCTTGAGACGCTCTCTGAAATCCGTTCTAAAACGACAAGCTCGCATGACCTGTTTAGAACATTGATCGAACGAGACCATCATGAAACTCCGTACCACGTGCCATCGGAAATCGGATCCTAGACTTTTTGCGCTGAGATCTGTTTTCGAATTTTACACGGCGCAGCGACCTTATGTGGATCTTTTCCTTTTTGAGGAACGCCAGGATTTCAGTCAGCGCTCAACTGTGCGCACCTTCACCAGAAAATGGCCTTTCGTGATCATCTCTCGAAGGACGAGGGCGTGTCAAGCAGTGTTTTGGACGAGCGGGCTTGTCTCTGGCTTTGTGTAGCGCACTTTTGCGTTGGTCACTTTCTTTCGCAGGACGAGAAAAATAGCCAAGCTCTATTGGGTACCCAGAGCCGTATGTAGTTGCGTATGAGGCTTTTCTTGGACCTCACTCTGGTCGTTTCGTTGCACTTCTCCAGGAAGCTGAGGCCGCACTCAAGGAGGAGCTCCGTCGTCGCGACCAGTTCGAGACCGCGGAAGCGGAGCGGCTCAAGCAAACGCTCGCGCACTCAGTGACGGCGCTCGCGCAGACGCAACAGGAGGTGACGGTGCTCAAGAAGATCACCGAAGAGGTCAGCGGCGCGACCAAGGAGAAGGAGACCGAGGCGGAGCAGCTGGCGGGCGAACTAGGCGCGGCGCGCGCTGAGCTGGCGCGACTGCAGCAGGAGCTGGACGCAGCGCGGGGGCTGACGTCAGAGCTCACGGAGGCGCGCGCGAAGCTCCTGAGAGCGGAAGGGGACCTCGCGGCGGAGCGGAAGGAGGCGGCCGCGCTGGCGACCGAACGGGAGAAGGAGATTAAACGGCTGTCGGTCGAGCTAGTGCAGAGCCTGGAGGCGCTTCAGCGGCTCGCGGAAGAGCGCCGCGCGCTGCGCGCCGCCAGTGAAGCGGCCGCGGCAAAGGGCCTAGACACCGAGCGCCTCGCGGCAGAACTGGAGGGGGCGCAGCGGGCGCTCGAGAAAGCGGAGGCTGACGTCAGCGTGCAGGAGCGCGCGGCCGCGCAGTCAGCGGAGGAGCTCGCGGAGCTGCGCGCCGCGATGGAGGCGCTGGCGGTCAAGGTGGCGACGCTGGAGGAAGAGAGAACTAGGATGGGCGCACTTATCGAGGAGAAGGAAGCCGCGGCGCTGCGATTGCTGGACGAGGTGGCGGGGTCCGGGGCGGCACTCCTGAAGACGCAGCAAGAGCTGAACGCGGCGCGCGTGGTGAACCGGGATCTTTCCGCCGCAGTGCCGGAGAAGGACCGGGACATCGCCAAGCTGAGGGCCGAACTGGCGGCGATGAGCGCGGCCCTGCTGACGTCACAGCGGGCGCTGGAATCCGCGGAGAAGCGGAGCGGCGAGGCGGCCCGGGAGAAAGAGCGCGAGCTCGCGCGCCTTGAGGAGGAGCTCGCGCACTCGCAGGCAGCGCTGGTGGGGGCGCAGAGCGAAGTGAAGGGTCTGCGCGCGAGCGAGAAAGCGGTCGGGGAGGCCGCCCGGGGAAAGAGACAGGTGGCGGGACAGCTGGCGGCGGACTTGGCGGAGGCGCAGGCGGCCCTTGGAGAAGCCGGCCGCGAGTTGGGCGTTTTACGGGGAGCAAACCAGAAGCTGGTGGAAACCGGGAAAGAGAAGGAGGGGACGGTCGCACAGCTGAAAACTGAGATCGAGGAGCTACGGGCAGCATTGGCGAAGTCAAGCCAGGATTTGAAAGCGCTCGAGGAGGCGCACTCGAGGGCCGGGGAGACGATCCTGGCGAAGAGTGCGGAGGCGGCGCGCGCCTCGGACGAGCTCGCGCGCGTTTCGGCGGAGCTCGCGCGCGTGCGTGCGGTCCTGGCCGCAGCCGAGCAGGAGGCCGCGGCGTTGCGCGAGGTGCGCGACGGGATGCGCGAGGCGGAGCGCGGGGCCGAGCAGAAGCTCGCGCGAGAGGCGGACGAGTTTGCGGCGACTCTGGCGGCGAAACTGCGCGAGGTGGAGACGCTGGAGTTGGAGAAACGCGCGCTGCGCAAGGAAGCGGCCGCGCGCGAGAACCGGGTGCACGAACTAGAGGCGGCGGTGGAGGCGGCCGCCGATGAGAAGGCGGCTCACACGGAATCCTCCGAGCTGGCTGACTTCTACGATGCGCGTTCGGGCGAGGTGAGATTAGCTGTCGGTTGAGTGCGGCCGACTGAGAGACGTGTCCACAAAATGGGGCAAAAGAGACCAAGGAAGCGCTGAAAGGTTAACAGGCTTCGCAGAGGAAGCAAGCGAGACGAGATCACAGCAGACATGTCAGATCGAGGCCATCCGCTCATCAATGACGTAAGGCGCCTTGAATTTTGGGTGGGCCTCCAACCATCCTTTGTCGGACTCCGTGAGAGAGAAATTGCCTCGGTAGAAGGAGACTCACATTATGTGTCTCCCTAAGAGTTTACAAACTTCCCTGCAGTCTCCAAAGGCTTGAATTCACCGGTAATAATAGTGGCTTTCCGTCGTTCAAGGTGTTCGCCTTCCCGTTGTGCTTATTGTTGTAAGCGTCTTATTCTCAGCCGGCCTCGAATCTCGCTCACCAAGTAAACGTTGAACGTACAAAGACACAAGTGCGTACGAGCGAGGCCGCCCTTGAGACGGTCCCAAGTACAACCATTCGGAACTCAGATCACGACATCGATCCTGTGGACATTCACCTTGTCGAGAATTTGCGGCAACTCAGCCCTTATCTTCTGCCTTTTTGACGTTGCAGGCAACGCACGAGAACGAGAAGCGTAATCTAAGCACAGTTCTTTCCCTGAAACTCCTTTGTGACTGAATATATCTTTTCTACTTTTTACCTTTTTGCAGGCAACGCCCGAGTGCAAGCAGGGGTGATGGTTTATGGTTGTCCTCCTGAACCGGTACTTACCTTTCACTAATACTTCTGCAGGCCACGCCCGAGAGCAAGAACCGCGGCGCGAGTCCGGTTGTCCTCCCCAGTAGCTTCCCCTCGGGGCAAGCCACCATTCTGGTGGACAGCGACGAGGAGCCGGTGCTAGAGACGGACTTGCCTGCGGCAGAAACCGCAGTGGGGAGCCCTCAGGCGTGGTCCAAGGTTCGCAGATTCCCGGCAATCTTTCGTACTGGAAATGAATTGGTCTCTTTGTTCGCTGGGCAGCACTTGGGAGTGTGCCCTCTCTTGCGGACAGCTCGAGGAGAGTACTTTCGCGTTGCTTTCAACTTGATATTGGACATGGGTCTGGCGCTTGTGAGAGCAGATTTTTGGTTCTTCTTGCAATCCCTGTTCTGGTTGTGTGGAGATGTTCGGTGCGCACTAGAGTCTCCGAAAGGAAGCTGCCGGGTCCCGTATAGCAAGCGCTGACGGAACTTGTGACGTTTCTGCGACCTTTTGTGAGAGCTTGGTATCTGGTATATTTGTAGGAGCGCCCTCAGGCGTTTGAGGCGCTCTGAGGTGGGCTTCTGCAAGGGATACTTTTTCATTGACAGACACTAGCAGGAACCATTGCTCAACCAGCGCTGACGGCCCCGTTCCCCGTGCAATTCCTGCAGATGTGGACTGGTTGGTATGGTGAGACGACGCCTCCTGGGGGAAAGAGCAGGAAGGGCCGACTCTCGTCGTGATGGCGACGTCCACTAGGGGCGTTTAGGTGTTCTATATACGTGTTGTTTCGTTGTGAAGGTTTTGTGATATGTCCGCACGCAGCAACGCTTACAAGGGCGGATTGTCCGATAATTCGCATAGATGTGAGCGATGCTTTCTACCGCGACAAAAGACGGTTATGATTTTAAAAGTGCAGCTTCTGGGTCTCTTTGCAATCTCGTGCTGACGTGAGGGCCCTCGAGTTACTAGGTTAAGGAGGATCAAACTCCCAAAGGAGAAAACTTATTGTTGCGGTATTGCTGGTACACTTAGAGCCTCAAAACAAGTCTAGTTCTAAGCATACATATTTGCGGCATTCTCCGAGGCTTACGTTTTGTGAGCCAGAACCTACTTGTCTAAATAACAGTCATTTCAAATAGCAGACTCTATTTTTGGATATACAGAATAGCATTGAACTCGTAGCAAAATGCTGAAACTTAAAAGTATAACCTCTCATAACGTGACTTCTTGCTTGTTTTCTTTGTTGCGCCTCTATCAACGTATTTGTCTGAACCTGCGCCATAACGGCACTGATTCACGTGTCAACTCAACGTTGACATTGAATTGAGGTGCCCAAGGCCGCCTGCAGCGTGTAACACGCATGCCTGTAAATGCAATTCCACTCCCGAAATTATGGCGTACTTGTTCATGTAGAACTTAACAGGCCAGCCGTGACGACGATATAAGTATACCAAATCTGGAAGTCACCACGCGTGAGAGCGTTCGTTCCGGATTAGATCGATCCGACATGTATACATGATTACTCACACCTTATCGCCCTTCGACACGGCGGCTGAGCGCAGGCTGCATATATATCCGCGAACGTCGAACATGGACAGCTAGGTACAGATGAACGATGTATGCTCAGCATGCAGATTGCGCATCCAAGCATGCATGCGCCTGCGTGGGCAATTGACTCACCAACTTATCTAGTTACATAGAGTCAGCCGATCATGCAATGCAGGTACGAATAGTTGATATAACATCGTACAAATCTGTGTGGCGTCACTTTGTGGTGCCACTGTCTGCAGCATGACGCCACATGCATGTGCTGGTGCGCGGCCGGAAGCACGTGAGCAATACACCGAGGGTTTATGAATCCCAAGGCATGCAAATCGCACAAACCAGCTTGCGACACTACGTCCCCCTTTCGTCTCACTTCTGCGGATTCGAGTGCTTTACACACTATTCTGCCCGCAGACAGTTTCTATTGAGGAAAAACTCTATGCACTAGTTCGAGATAACCCAAAGCTGGGTGACAGCGTAGAAACGCTGTCACCCGGCCGACTTTACGCCCTATGCAACGCCCTCCTGGGCCTCCGGCAGTGCCGCCGCCTCTTCTTCCGGCTCCTCGTAAGGGACGTACGGAGTGATCGTCGCAAGCGGCATCGTTTTGAAGTCGACTTCCTCGTTCTCGAGCGCGATAAAATCCTCCATGTCTGAGTACTCGTCGCTGTCCCACTCCGACTCCGAGTCGAGCATCTGCTCCTCGAGCGCGTACGCGACGAACTTGTTCCCACTCGGGCCGCGCGCCGCCGCTTTGCGCTTCTTGACCGCGAGCATCTTCCGCCGCCGTTTGGAGCGCCGGTCGTTCCTGTCAAGGGTTTCAAGCTGGATTCAGATGGGGGGAGGAAGCTGCAGGAGACGCTTTGCTGACCATTGCACTTTGCCAGGGGCCAGTACAACAACAGCGTGAAGAGAATGCTGCTTTACCGCAAAATCCACTTTCTTACACCTTCGAGCGCTAGCTGAAAAGAGAGGGACCGGGAAACAAGGGATCCGCTCCTGTTGCAGGCTCAACCATCTAGAATTGCTGCTTCAGTTCAACAAGGGTGTGGCATCGGCGACTCCCATCTCCAAACGATCAGAAATGACAGCGACGACGAAAACTCGGCTTCAAAAGGGAGCACCTATAGACGTAAGTCTGTCCTGCCCAAAACGGGCCTTGATTGGATCAACAAAGTCCAGAAACGACCTAGTCAGATCGCCTCCGAAGGACCTGGATGAGAAGAAAGGGGCTTCTATGTGCTCGAACCAAACGATCACCACCATTACCAACAATACTACAGGTCAACCAGAACAGCTCTGGTTTTCCTTCGTGTGCAATGTCCACCTGAAGAACGACCGTCTTTGATGTTTCTCAAGATCTCGCAGACCTTATACCCTGCGGTGTCGAGTGCTGGTCAGAAAGGGTCCTCATACTGAATCGAACAAGTGCTTTGCCGAAAACATAACCCAGGCAACTCTGCTTTCGGACTGTTGGCTTAAAACACTGGAAAACTAGAAGAAGCAGAATCGAAGCAGAGATACTGACAGCTGTTCCTCACCGTCGCTCCTCCTCTTCCAGATCAATCTCCGCCATCTCGCCGCCCTGCTCCACCAGCGTTACCTCCACGCCCGGGGCCACTTTCGGACGCTTTTCGGACGCGCTCTCCCGTTTTCGGACGCTCTCGGACGCCTTCCTCTTGGCGCCCCTCTCCTCCTTGCCCTTCTCCTGGTCGACAACCGCCCACCACGCCGACGGTGCCGCGCTCTTCCGTCCGGAACGCGTCCGCGGAACGGATTCCGTAGGGGCTTCGGCACCGTTCGAATCCGAGTCCACACCTTTTGCGTCCGAACCCCGTTCCTCAACCTCCGAACCCACTTCGTCTGAGTCCGGTTCCTTTCTCGCTGCGTCCAAACCCTTTTTCTCCGCGTCCGAACAGAGACGTGCATCCAAAGCCCCATCTCCGGACAATGTTCGCTCGTCTTCGTCAACACCTTCGAGCCCACCGGCGCACGTCAAGTCGGCCGCTTCTTCCCGACCGCTTTCGTAGGCGTCCGTAGTCGGAAAGACTGTCCGAACGTCCGTCGTTAGCACGCGGCAGTTATCGGAAACCCTAAACCCTGCTTGCCGCAAGTCCTCGCACAACGGGGCTAAGCAGTCAAGCAGACCGGTAGGTGCACAGGTTTCTCGGCAGGCCTCGTAGGCGGCCATCAAACCTTCCAACTGATGTCGGAACCGCACTAAAGTTGCTTGTAGCACCTTGTCTTGTGCCACCTGGGCGCAACAGAACGAAAGCTTCAAGGAGCTTCGCCTTTTCCGGCAAAGGGAATCGTGGGTAGGGAAAGAGACTTCGTTTGAGACTAGAAGTTCGCAAGCGTGGTCCCCCTTCACGATTGAATTTTGCCACCACTGCGCTTCCGAGCCCGTAGAAAAGAAACTCGGAACAACCTCCCACACTCCAGCCTCTTGGTAAAGGTGGCCCAGCTTTAAAGAGAAAGAACGAATTTGCATCCTTCCGCGTTGTGGTGCCCTTGACCAGCCTCTCAGTTAAGGTATCCTGCATAAGCACAAACATACTCTTCAGCAGCCCTCTCCTTCTTGCCATTCGCCCATACTATCCCGAACGGAGGTTCAGGCCCAACTTTGAGGCCTCCTTGCGCACACACACCGGACCGCAGTGTCCCCTCCTCTCGACCAGCCTCTCGGTCGAAACATTCGGAAAAAGCATCAACATTGATGGCACACTTTTGGCAGCTCTTTCTACTCGTCCGTTTCGATCGGCTTTTCGCAGTATGTCCAGATCCTAGTGAAAGACGCGGTTGCACGCTCACCGCACTCCACTGTCCCCGTTTCCTTTCCACCAGCCTCTCTGCAGCGCAGTGCATCGCGGCCCCCAACCGCACGAGCTCCGCCGCCGCCTCGACTTGCGAAGCGTCCGGCTTTTCCGCCCCCGTGCCGTCTCCGTGCGCCGTCTTCGCTGCCACCATAGCCGCTGGCTCTTCTCCCGCAACCTCCGCGTCAGGGTTGCTCCGTTCGCTCCCGTCGATCGAAGTACTTCCTGCCGTTCCTGTTCTGTTGGAGGGACTTTCTCCCAGACCCCCTTCTGAGACGCACATAAGCATCTCAACTTCAGCGGGCTTCTGTGCAAGGGGGGGATTCTTCTCACTCCCGTCTGACCCCCCCGAAGCAGGCTTCTCCCTGCTGCGCAGTTCCGACGACCACAAGCCGGTCCCTTTCGAACCATCCACTTCTTCTGCCCTGCCGACCTCCGAAAGCGCATTCTCACACAGATCCGAGAGCCACAGAACGCCTTCCTCGACGGGACTCAATGCCGCGCACAACCCACGCAGAACCCGCAGACCCTGCCGCTCATCTAGGAGGCCCCCGGCCCCCGTTTCTCGCAGCTCGACTGCCACGTCAGCATCGCAGACCGCCGTAAACGCGCCAATGATCTGCGTGAGCGGCTCCAGGCCCAGCTCCACGTATCCCCCTTCGTCCTCTGCCAAGTGTCCTTTCCCCATGTGCCCACTGCCATCTCTGTTAGAACCGGCCCCCCTTTCTACGGTCCGAACTAGGAACTCGAGCGCCAAGTCTAAAATCTGATCCCTACATCCGTTCGACGCCAAATGCACAACCGGGGGGGCAGAATCACTCCCATCCATCACCCCCCCCGCCTCTTCTTCCAGTTCCGGCACCTCGGTTTTCAGCCCGCCATTCTCGACCCAGCTCAGCATCGCCTCCTCACAGTCAGGGCTCTTCTGAGGGGGTAACTCCTCTGGCTTCGTGCCCCCCCCAACCGGAACCGCCGTTACCCCCTCAAGCCCCCCTTCCCCTGCACCCATGGGCAATCCCGCTGATTCCGTTTCACAGTAACCCCGCTCTTCTCTTTCCAAAGACTCCAGCCCGCTAATGTTACGATCCTCTACGAGTCGGGTCGCCGTTTCCAGGCAGTCGCTGACTGCGCTCGCGGCCCATGACACCGCGACCTCCAGAGGACTGTACTCGAGGCCGAGCGTTACGAGGGACTGCAGCGGGGCACCTGCCGGGACGTCGAAGCTCGCAACCAATCCACGTGCGACACCTGTCGCCAGGCGGACGGCCCCATCCGAAGGGTGACTCGTGGAGTACAGACGAACCAGGGACGTGAGGAGCCCACAGAAAGCTGCCAGGAGCAGCGTCTGCAAAAGATGCACCTCTAGTTAGTGCGAAGGTCTGTTGATGGACGTTGAGACCCGTGCTGAGAAGTCTGGGGTTCAAGAGGCGAACTGACATGGCGCAGGTGATGTGCCGGATACCTTCGATAAGTCAGGAGTAATGAAAAGCAATCTAGTCCTGTCCTTCGAAACAGGTAAGCCAATTATTCAAATTAGAGTCAAGCGCCCGCAAAGTATCCACCTTCTCAAGGAGCTGGTGCACTTGCGAGGACTGAGATCCCTCAACCGAACGACGTTTGCCACATGAAGAATCACGCAGATTCAGTCAAATTGCGATCAAGCCAAAAGTGATTCAAAGACAAAAGGGAACACTCAGGAAAGGAAAAATCACAATTGAAAGAAGACACCGACCTACCTCCAGTCCGGCTTCCATCTCCAACCGCAGGATCACAGTTATGTAAACCAGCAGCTGACCCAGCGGGTTAGGGACCCCCTCGAGCCCCAGATCCTCAACTGCAGCGTCCACTCCAACCAGTTCCCGAGCGACTAGAAACGCCGCAGCGCTCTCATCTGGGGTAAGACAGCCGGCCACCAAACCGTCCACTTCTGCCGCACTCTGAGCGCCCTGCTTGTCTGGAGCCAGACTGTCTGACAGATTCTCAGATTCGTCTTCTGTCACGCCATCGGGGCCCCTTCTCTCGGTTGACTCGACTTGGGTTCTGGAACTTTCGGAGTGGCTTGCGAGCCACTGACACACATCAGAGAGGGCGGTCAGCGCCGCCAGCTGCAGGCTCGACCTCCAAAAAGTGACACCCTTCACCCCTTCCTCCCCGGCTGGGGCCTTACCCATTTTCACCCCCTCTAACTCCTCCAAACTTGCCTCAGGCGTTCCAATATTTACCGGTCCGGCCACAACAGCTGCAAGGTCCGCTGAAGTTACGCTCAGAGCCCTAGCTAGCGCCAAGGCTGCAGGCATTGAGTGCAAGAGCTCCCCTTCCTCCGCCGACTTTGCTTCGCCGTCAGTAGTCGGTGTGTGAAACCCGGCCAATTCGAGCGCAGACAAACAACTGCCCTTGAACAGCCCCACCGCTCTCTGCGCAAGCCCACCCACATCCTGCAACGCCGCCCCCTGTACTTCAGCCGCCTCTGCACTTCTTGATGGGACCTCTAAGTATCCTCTTGCCAGACTCAAGGCGTGAATCATAGCCAATTGCGCACCGGCATTGAGCTGAACAGGGCGAACAAACGACGGTGCACCACAGCTTGGCTCTACGTAGTCCAAGACACCAAGAAGCGTAGTCAGCCCGAAACCGATGTCGGAACTGGCGCCCGAGTGGGATGCACCTTCCCCCCCTCTTTCGGCCTTCGCTTTCTTCCCCGACCCAGAATCAGCTCGTCGCAGAAATGAAACGAGCACACAATGAACACACACAAGCTCGAGCAACTGCTCACAACTCAGCACAGGCCCCCTGGACTTTCCCAGGGTGTCTAGCACGTCCCCTGTCCGAATCTGCCCACCGTCCAAAACAAGTCTGCTGACCATCCGAACTCCCCCCCCCTCCAAATTGCCCAATTCCGAAGGCCCCGTCGGTGGCTCCCGCCAGTCTGGCGAAACCGCCTCTACCAGAAGCCTCTCCACAAGTCGCAGCGCAAGAGCAGCGCCCCCCTGACAGCTGGCAGTCCGCATCCGCAAGCTGTCAACATTTTCTTCGTCCCTGGCTTCATTAGCCCCCTTTGGAGACTGGCCACTTCCGTTGCTCCGTTCGCTTGAGCCGGCACCCAAGTCTTCCTCCCTCTCCCCTGACTTTACCATAGAGGCACTGTCGAAGAGTTCCGCTCCCGGGTGCCCCTCCCTGCTTGCTTCTTCCGGAGAACCAGCTGAGCAGCCATTCTGCAACAGACCACTTCCTTTCCCAACGCCTTCTCCCGTGGCCGTCTGTTCGCCTCCGGGCTCCTCGGAACAACCCACTAGCTCGCAGAGGTTCTTTGCGTCCAGAAGAAGGGTGACGGACGCTAGAGTGGCAGAGCGGAGCACCGAGGAGTGAGCGGTGGGGGCTTCAGAAGGGGCGTCCATACTGAGTTCAGAAGGGCTACTAGGAAAATTTTGAACGTGGCTGACCAAAAGGCTGGGGCGCCGTTTTGCTTACAAAATCAGGGGCCGTGCCTGCAGTACAAAAACAAATGTACTCGTTTGTTCTGCCAGCCTCCTAAGGATGTTGAACCATTGACCTCTACAGACAATCGACTTAAAAGGACTGGGGCGAATTGACTAAGAGCATTGCTTCTTTCGACCATAGAAGTATCCTCTTTCCAAACAATGCAGGCAAGTGGGCGCAATGATAGGCAACTTCCTCCAAAGGGGTATCAACATTTCTATCCAATACCAAACGAAAGAGCCTTTGTCTGGGCTGTCAAGTGAGTATCTAAACAGCATACTACCAGCACTGAGACACTGGTTTGGATACTAAGAGCAGACGCTTTCACGCTCAACACCTCCTTCGAGCTGAGCAATTGACATACGCTCACCTCAAGAAGGACTCCGAAGCAAAACAATGTACGAATGCCTGCTTTCCACGGATGTCTTCCAGTACATATGTCCTTCGGCAGCTCCCCTCAGCCCCCATAAATAACCAATTCGAGTCCCCTTGAAGGACACACAAGAAATCACGCAATCAGACGCTCATGTGGCTGCAGTCCACCCTTCTTTTGCGCTCAATCCCTGGTTCTTCAATGGCTTTTCTCTCCTCTCAAACTGTCATGGAAAATGCAGCAGTATTTCCTGTAAAATGGTCAAAATGCCGAAGGTCCGGTCGGGCGACTATCGCGGGTACTTCCAGATTATTGCGAATATGAGGGTAGGACTGTGCATCCAACAAGATTGAGTTTGCCGCTCGATTTGGGACGCGACTCGTGAGTCGTGAATTCTTCATTTTGAGTTCTTGTGGTCGCGTATGGTAGAGACACATCACCGGGTACGGTAATAATCTCTTCAAATATACTGCGCAATGTCATAATGGCGTGCCAGCTTGAGCAGGACGAAGGGGCATTCAATTCCAATGGCAAGATCTTCCACATGTTCACTTCAAGTTCTACTTCAAGGAAGGTGACGGTCAGGTGATGGCAGCCCCCTTCTCTTCAGCCGGGCAACACAGCACGGGCAGCATTGCTGCGAGGCTTTCTGCACCTTCTGTGCTCACTCTTGGTCAGGCAGGACTCGAACTCGTGCTGGAGAAACTTGAAGCGGACGCTGACAAAAACTCTTCTGCCCTCGTCTGCAAAGACTTCCGAGATGCGGAGCGCCAGACCCGGAAGCACTTGCGGTTGCGGTGCATCAGGAGGCAGATTGAGCTGGCTCCGCCCTGCTTCGAAGCTGTGACTGATCTTGACCTTTCCAGCATCTTCCCCCCGCGCTTTTCCAGGTTTGACCTCTCTGACCGCCAGCTGGCGCACTTGGCACGGTGCTTCCCTAATGTGCGGAGCCTGACGCTGCTCGCTGATGGGTGCCAAGAGTGGCTGAGCAATGGGAGATTGCCGTTTCAAGGCACTTGGCCGAGCCTTGATATGGTGACTGTGATGCAACCGGGGGCGCACCGATCGAAAAGGTTCAAAGCCTTGGTTAACAACACGATTAGCGGGCGCCCTTTGGTGCTTGCAAATTTGAGGGAAACCAGGCAGGCTGCTGTGGGTCTGCCGTTGAACAAAGTGCGCCTCTTCTTTCCAAAGGACAAAGATCTGGAGGAGTTGGCGAAGACGAATGTAGCGCACCTAGCCAGTCTGGAGTTTGAGCTGTTAGGGTCTGATCCTTTCTCCCTAGACCTCTCAGTATTGAATTCCGTCAACTTCCCTGAGTTGACAAGTTTGAGCGCTCTTGGAGCCTGGCTTGACACTGGCGATGACAGGATCTTCAAATTCACCGAGGAGAAAGTGCGGGGCCTGCTGGAAGAGTTCCCTTACCTCACCAGCTTCACGCTCCGTGCAATGACTGGGTCTCGGTTCACCACACTCCCTCTCAGTCAGGCGCAAAAATGCAGGTTACCACTTTGCGTCTGGATTTGCGAGAGGAGTTTCGCTCTCCGGAAATCAGTTTCGACCTGTCGCCACTTCGAGACTGTATCTCGCTGGAGCAATTGGAGTTGGTGGGGGAGAAGATCCTTACATTCAGCAAGCATGGAGGGATCACAGTTGAGCTTGTTAAGAAGTGTCGGAATCTAAAGAGCTTAAAGCTAGGACTCTGGGAGCGGTACGAATGCCCATCGTCGCACGAGCTTGTTGCCTTCTTTCAGCAGATAGCAGCAGCAAGTCCCAGGTTTCTCACGCAGATTGGCATCTTGTCCCAAATCGAGGGCAAGAGTTTCAGTAGGGATTTGTTAGCCCCATTCACGCCATTTTGCAAGAGCTTAGTGACCCTCACCTGCAGGATATGCCCTCTATGCCCTCCAAGAGTTGCGAGCTTCGTCATTGGTGGACTGCCGCTTTTGCGCGACTTGGACCTTGGGCTTGACGCACCCTACCCTGGTGCAGAGCTCCTGATAGAGTGTCCGAGTCTTGAGAGTGTCAAATTGAAAGCCTCCCGTCTCGTAAGGTTGACCTTCACGGGTGCCCACTCTGCCCTAGAATCACTTGACCTCTGCTTCGAGAATGAGTGGGTGGTGGAGGAGAGAGGCGAAAAGAGCAGGCAACTTTCCTGGTTCATAAGGTCCCTGCAATGCTTGGAAAAGCTGACCAGCCTTGCTCTCGACTACCGCAACTCGTCTGGCATGCCGTGGTCGGATCCAGAAGTACTACAGGCAATCGCTGAATTGCCTGTCCTCAGAAGGCTGGTTCTAGCTACACCCTATCCAATCTCAGATGCATCTGCAAAGCTTATCGCATAAGAGTTCCATTGGCTCTTGGGGTCCACTTCTCTCAAAGAGGTCCGGGTGTCGAACTGGCGCGACATGAAGGGCCCACTCGCTGGCTTTTACTCCACACTGTACGGGCATGAGGGCACCGCACATCAGGTAGGCTTAATTTCGTCCTTGAAAACACGGTCCTACCAGATCGAGAAGGGCATCAGAGAAGCTGGGAATCTTCTGCAGGTATAACATCTGGTTCGTCATCAGTTGGTTATCAGTTGGCTAGTAGGCTTCTAGGCACCGTGTGTTTGTTGTATGCACAGAACTTGGGCCTTTCAGATGCTTGTTAGTCCTTACAGTGCTTGACTGCATCCATCAGGGAATGCCTTCCTTGTCGTCTGCTTTGCCAGACATTTCCTTGACTCTACACTACGGTGGTGTGCAGCATGATGGTGAGCGTTCGGAGCCTTCAATAGAATCATCGGTCTATGAAGCTTCGTCTGATGAAGAATTTGGTGGCGAAGAGATTTCTAGCGCTGAAGACTAGGCTCTGGGCTTGGTAAAGTCCACCTTTCGCTAGCCGTTGCAAGGGCCTGGGGTGCAGATAATGTAACAGAAAAGTGCAGTTGGTTGGCCTGGATATTCGCACACTGCATGGATTGCTAAGAAAGCATGAAGCATCAGTGTACTTTTTGGGAAGAAAGCCATAACTAATCTGTTCAGCGGGCTGCACTGCACTTCAGTTGCATGCGGCCCGTTTGCATAGTATTGCGCGGAGTCAACGTCTGTCTATAATCGGAGCCAGCCAGTCATGATCAGCGGCCGAATGTACTAGTACATATGCATACCGTCCGCAAAGCTGCCGATTGACGCACCTTGCTGGTGCGATGCGCTCTAAGGTAGCCTAGCTCAGGTCCGGATCCTAGCTTGTCGAATGCAGGTGATCTCGAATCATGAGTAAGCTTGCCGCCATGGGCCGCAAACATGCTGATGGTTCAGCAAACGATGCCGCAGAGCTATGAGCTTGTATCGCCGTTAGTGACCATCCATGTGCATAGGACCATGCCGCAGGCAAAATCTCCTGACAAGAGCGGGCCCGACTGCACCTGTTACCCCGGTTTAAAGGGAGCCAATTGCTACTAATGCGGAGATGCATTAGTCGAATGTACTCACTCTCAAGGTGCAGTATACTTCCTCTACATGCAGTGGCAATGATCAGGCAACCCTCTAACCTGTCTGGGAAAGATAGACAGATCCTCGTGTAAACAACTAGTCGATCACAGCCGTGACTTCAGAGCGCCTCATTTAATTGGGATCTGGACAGCTCGCGTTGTGCCAACAATGCCATCATCTCCACAACGATCACAAGGGTGGCAAGACTGCTGCTCGAATGCTGAAGTAGAGCATCCGAGTCAATGAGCTGAACAAGCCGAGCTTCAACCTCAAAAGGCTTGAAGCAAACGCAAACTGTTTCTACTCTATTTGTCAATCTCAACAAAGAATGTGTACTATCCAGGCAACAAAGCCTGGTTCTGGGCCTCGTGCTTAAAGCGAATAACCGTGCAGCTAACCTGCTCGCCTCACAAACGCCAAATCAAGCGGGCGTCAGCTTTCGCCGCTTATAGCGCACACGGCACTCCCCTTTGGGTCCCACGACCATCGATTCGAGGTCCGGTTCCGGGAAAGGGCTCACGTTCTCCAACTCGAAGTTCCTCAGGAGGATGCTCCAGATTGTCTTGATTTGCATGTAGGCAAACGTCTCCCCCATGCACCCGTGCCTGCCTCCGCCAAAGCCGATGTAGGAGAAGGCGCCATATGCCTGCGAATGAGTGTTAGATGGGCTCCGTCAAAGCTTTGATCCTGTCAGTCAGTCCTTACAAATCTCTTGCGAATTTTGATCAAGGTAACTGATGCGACGCGATGCACGTTAAAGCAAGGCTCCGACTCCTGGCGTGTCGTTGAAATGGTACAGACTTGCAGACGCTCCCTATAAAAGGTGGCACTGACTGTGTCGAACTCTACTTCCGATGCTTGCCCGTTCGTCGCCGCTTGCCCGACCGGGACGAACAACCTCGTCTCTCTTAAAAACAGACATATCTCGAGAGCAGCAACACCCTGGCTGGCTGCCGAAGTTGCCTTGAGTTAACTCGTTAAGAACGGGGTTTAGACACCTCAATGAGTTCCTTACACAAGTCGCCACATTTGTAACAACGTTTTCGAAGAGTAACCATTTGCCGAGCAGGCTAACTTTCCGTGTTCTGAAGCGGTGTCATTCCTGATCAGCGAAGAAGGGACGCTGATCTTTCTTGGCGGACGACCCTCTACACAGCTCACTATTTGGGTCCCAGTCCATCAACAGAGAACCGTCGTGATAAAACTCCGCAAAGGCTAAAACAGTCCTCGACTGACGGCTCTGCAGACACTTTGCAATGTGTACTCAGCAGTACTCTGGAACCTTGTGCACAGGCCCGCACCAAAGCCACTGACAAATCCGGTGAGCCCAATTGTCCGTCGCCGAATGCCACGTGGCATGCACCCACCTTGTCCTCCTCGCGGCCTGGCCCGAAGCGGTCCGGGTCAAACTCGTCGACGCGCTTGTAGACGTGCGGCAGGCGGTGCGCGAAGCTGGGGGAGGTAGCGACGATATGGCCCTTGGGCACCACGTGGCTCTCGCCCTTGCGGTTGGTGACGGAGAAGTCCTTGTGCACGTAGCGTAGCAGCATGATCAGGGGGGGCTGCAGGCGTAGCACCTGGGGGGGGGGTGGAGGAGGACGCGTTACAGCATGATCGAGAGGGGTGTAAAACAAGGCGAAAGTAGGAGGGACACCAAAACAGCTACAACGAGATGGTAAGAAATGTCCGGAAGACTTTGTTGTGCGGGGCGAAGGGGTAGCGAGAGGCAACGAAGCCTGATTTGGAGGAGAGTGTAACCGCAGCCCCGGCGGCGCCAGATCAAAATGCGAATCTACTTCGCTGCCCTGGTCTGCGCTAGACCAAGAGAGGGAACTCTTGAGCTGAGCACTCCAACTTGAGCTGAGCACTCCAAGGAAACGAAGTAGTGATGACCGTCATGAAGACAGCAGGCAAAGTGAGTTGAGACGCTGCTCTCAAAGCTTGGAGAGGGAGATGATCCAGTTGCCAATAGCCCACAGCTGTACGTCGTAATGGGGGAGGAATCAATCGGGTTGGCCCATACCGTCATTCCTCTTCTGGAAAGCCGACGGCCGGATCTAAATGGCTAAGTTTTTCCCACGGCACTTTCTACGCTGCACTGATTCCTACATGGAATGAGGGAGAACGGGCAGCAGCCGTTTAAAAGACTGGCGCCGTTCCACCGCTCCTTAACAACCCGCTCGTTTAGGTCACCCGGTGACAAACACGCGAGCGACAGAGAGGCTGCCGGGGACCCCCTGTCGAACCAGTAAAGGAGTGGTATACTTTACAGAATCGATGGACGGAGCGAGCACTTGGTGAGACGTTACCTCCTTGATGGCGCGGTGCAGGTAGTCCATCTCCTGCAGGATGTCGTAGTCGAGCTTCTCCCCGTGCTTGGCCAGCACGCGCTGCTGCTCGCGCACCACGTTCGGCAAAAACTTCTTCTCGCCCCTGCACTCCACACCCGTCAACGGAGAACATTATGAGACCCCAAAGTGTGCAAAGTATCCGGCTACGGTGATCCTGAGTTAACGGACTTGTAGCAGATTTGAAGAGACGCAGATTACGACGAAGCTCAGACTGGTCCTTTTGCCAGCCACTCACAAAATGAGGACAAGAAGCTGCCGCTGCCTCTGACATAGGCAGTGGGGCAAAGGGTGGAATATCGGTAGAGTCAGGATTTGAAAAGCTGTTTGAGCCACATTCCGCCTATATTCTTGACCCACACGGTTCTTCGCACTGCAGTAGGATTGAATACCATTCTGGTCATTAGGATCGCCTGGGTCCTGTCAGACCGAGGCGGCTGAGTGAGAGCTGGGCCTAATCAACTTTTGGATCAAGCTAACCTGGGCTTAAAGCAGCGCTTCTCCGAAAGCACGACTTGCCTCCAAATCGTTCCGACACACTTCGGACAGAGCTTGGTTCGTCTGACGTCCCTTCCAAGATTCAAAGTGCGGTAGATGCTTTCTGATCTGCCTTGCTTCAACACGAACGGGTTTCCAGTAAGACACACGTGCGATGCAAAGATCGATCGATGTAGAGGAATCTCGGAAAAATTGTAGGGCCATCCAAGGAGATTGCTTACGCATGGAGATAAAAGCCGGTCCATGTGGAGGTGATCGAGCTCGTGTGCTGGCCAGCAAACAGGGCGGCAATCAATAGGCCCGTGATCTCGTCGTCGGTCGTGGGACGATCCGGGTTCTTGTAGCGAGCGTCTATGAAGGCCTGTAGGAAGGCAACGGGCTTTTGAATACGGTAAACGCCGGACGTGGCAGAATTGATGTAAACCTTTCCGGCTAGGAACGAGTCACAGTTCCAACTCCGAGGTGCGCAATCAAAGATGGCACTAGCGAGACAGAAACACAGGACGTTCCTGAAAAGCTGCATAAACGAACTGACTAACACATTATATCAAGGGTCGGGAGTCCGTTTTCGGATGGGCACAGAAGGAACGAACTGAGATGAACATGCGGCAGACTCCAGAGGCTCGTAGAGGCAGTCCTGTGCGAGAAAACCTCCCTTCGGGACAGAACAGCTCGATCTCTTAGCCTTGTACATCTGGAAACAAAGCGCCCACATCTATACATCTGAGAGAAGACACAGGAGGCCGCACCTGCAGGGCGTCATTCTCGCGCACGCCGGTGGCGCGCCGGTTATTGATGATGGAGCGGAACACGTCGCGCAGCTGCTTGCGGGCCTGGTCGCGGCGCAGGTGGGCGGGGATCGGGAGGCGGGGCATGATGACGCTGATGGGGAGCATGCCCAAATCCAACACATGGAACAGGTCCGACACCTGCGGTCAAAGAACGGAATCAGGTCAGAAGAAGGATAATCGTCATGACTAGAAACAGTACACTGGCCCCTGCTGTTCGTGCAGAGTGGGCCAATGGAGCCACAGGTCCATATGAAAGAGCGGGAAAATGACGAAACAGAGCCAAACCAACAAGCCTTTCGCTCCTGCCAGGTCAAGGTCTGCCTATTCTTGGTCTCCAGTTCCTGTAATGTCCACCGCTGCAGACAAGAGACTCGAGAATAGAAACTATTGGGCATCTTTCACCCCCAATTCATCAGCTCAGCCAAGCTTTACTACCACCTGATCAACTATTGCTTGACCAACTTTTGATGGGTACCTCACCTGCTCAAACATTTGCTCGCGCACCTCCCTCCCGAGCAGCGTCCTACTGGCCGTCATGATGATCAGCTTGGACAGCTCCTCCTTGAGATCCACCTCGCCCTCATCTCCCCACTTGCCAAAGAACGTCTGTGCACAGCACAGGATAAGCCTTCAAACACTACTGCACTTGGATGCAAGCCACAAAAGTGTAGCTCTGGTTGGGCTTCCTTTCCTTCACTCGTGCTGCTCCTCGCACAGAGTCTGGTCAGAAAAGTCTTCTCTTACACATACGCAGAAAAGAATGTTTCTGACAGCTCGCTCCATGACACAGTGTCAGAAGATCCTTTTGTTCTCAAACAGTCTGGCGGAAAGCCACTGTGTACATATGACCACTCCACTGGTTTGCATAAAAGTGGAGAAAGAGAGAGTGGCGCCCAAGACACGCATTTGACCTCTCCTCACCTCTGCCTCCATCACCATCATTTTGACATAGTCCCGCAGCCTGCTGCTGCGGAGGCTCTCCGCAAACATGCGGAACTGCTCCTGCCTGACGCTGTAGTCAACATCAAAGACGACGCCTTTCCCGAAAGTAGGCACCGAGTACTGGTACACCTCCTGCTGACTCAACTCCGCCTCAGCGGCCTGCGATTACAAACGTGCATTGAATGACCGTCTGTTCGGCAGCGCCTGCAGCGTAAGCTGCTGGTGTACAGACGAATGTGCTCAGTGCTATATCCAACCAACCGAGAAGATGACAGAATGCAAAAATGAAAGATGGAGCGAACCAGTGTAGATATCTGGTCTGCAATTCGCCCTGCCAGGCATCCCTTCTTTAAGAAATGCAAGGTGCTCAAGATTTAAGGTGAGTTTCCTCAACTGCTTCCACAGCAGCAGCAAGCTGTGACTTTGACCTCCGCTTTCATCAGACGGCAACTAGCTCTTGAGCTCGACGACATACGAGTCCACAAGCAAACCAGGGAGATGAGGCACAGCGGCAATAACCACAATCATTGGATCTTACCTTGAAAAAGTGATTGGACACCTCTGGTCCAATAAGGAATGTGATCCTCTTGTGGAACACATTGACGGTGAATACATCCCCATGCTTCTCATACCCTTCCTTTATGAGTTTGAGCGGGCCATCCATGAACTTCAACACACCACCAATTATTGGAATTGTACTAAGGGTGGGGGGAGCTTTTCCATTCCTCTTCGTAGCCAATGACACCACCACCAGCACAGACAGGAGGACGACAATGACTGATGCGAGCACAAAAGCGCTACCAGGAATCTGCCCTAGCAGGCCCTCCAGACTTGCCCTGACATCCGCCATCTTCCTGATATCCAAGCGCCCAGATCTACTTTCTCAGATGTCCTAGACCATGATCTTCAGCAACAAGCTGAATTTCCAATCGTCCAGCTTTGTCACAAAGTTTGTGCCGCTGCGCCTAATGCAAATTCTGCAGATCTAGATTGACCACCTTCCTGCAGAACACCGCTTGCATTGACAATGAAACGTTGGTTGAACTGCAGTGAAGGAACCGCAGTGCAGAAAACATTGCAATTTGCAGTGGAACGCACTGCGTCCTTTGTTCCTGAGCCGCTGTCCCTAAATGTGGCAGGGCCGCTTATACCGCAGAATTAGAACCAAAAGGGTTAAAATACAAATCTGTCAGGATTTCGCAAACGGTTTTGTCTCCAACCCGCAGAACCATGGTTTTCAATCGCTTGTAACCGGATCAAAGTTAAGCAACCACCCAGCTTCTGACCAGACCCCTCTGTTCACGTTTTTGAGGACGCTAAATCACGCTCTCAAACCAATCGCAGCCATCCAACAGTACAACTGTAAGATCCGACGGTGGGATAAATGAGGTCCTTGCACTGCGCCCTCGCCATCATGACAACAGTGGCGCGAAAGCTCGACAGTTTTCAATAGCTTTTCAAGCAACATCTGCAATTTGAAGAAGCGCTCGAGGGGACAGCTGCTGCAATGTCGTGATGCTGAAGGGGCTTTGGCAGTTCGTTCTTACACTTTACAATCAGATGAGTACCAGCACAAGGTCGTCGGCAAGTTTCCGCTTCATTTGTATTGCAGATTAATATCTGAACAAGGTGATTTGGGTAAAGCTAAGGATAAGCCACCCGCCAACTTGTTTTAAGCAATGATCCTCACGGAGCGGCCTTTTGAACACGTTGCACTATCTGTTATGAATGGTTATGAGTCCTACGAGCAGCGTCCAGATACTTCTGGCGCTGCTGCAAGCCAAGAGCTTTCGCAGTTTGATGCCGCCTCGCGTCTCGAGGCAGAGGACACTGGTAGAGGCGTTGGGAGATCGAGGTTCAGGTTTGCAATGGTTTGTGCTTCAAACCAGAACCGCAGCATGGCGGCACATGCACTCCTCCAGAAAAGCGGCCTTCTGGTCAACTCCTATGGCACAGGCTCTCAGGTGAAGCTATTAAAGTGATTTGTTCAGCTGAAATTCTAGTGCTTACCCTGCAGTTATTTTCTGCCTGCATCTTCTCTTTATGGTTGCCACTTGTTTGCCTTCGGTATAGGGGTTCCACATTGTCGGACTGGTCCAGATTGTTTGCCTAATGCATTTAATCATACTGGCACTTAATCTTATGTACCTTCGCCATATTCGTGGAAGGCACTTTGTGCGCTGATTGGGTGTTACATTGCTGTGGTGGTTGTGTTCTCAGGTGAAGCTTCCAGGGCCCAGCCAGAAGGAGCCAAATATCTACAGCTTTGGCACTACATACCAGAAGATGCATGACGAGCTAGCCGCACAGAACCCAAGCCTGTATCCTCCTCAAAAGAGCGGCCATCAAGTAGCGCTTATCCATATGTTGTTTTGCCTGAACTTATGTTGTGAATAACCTACTGCACCAGTCTGGTTGTGATGAAACATTTGCTGCTCTTTGCTTTCCACGAAGAAGCTGCGGTACGTCGACCTGTCCAGCTGTTGATGTTTTCTGCCGATGATTTGTCCGGGGATATCTGATAATTGCAAGCACTTCATAGGTCCCGAAAATACAGCTCATTAGTACTGTCAGCAGAGTCGTATTGCAAGAAATGTTTTGACAGCACCCCCCTCTTTCAGATTGTTTCTTGAGTATCTATCTTTTCTATTTGATTGTACGTGTCAATTTCCTTTATCGTCTGTCCCTTGACAACAAGCAGATACCGCAAAAATGGGATTCTGGAGATGCTACAACGAAACATGGCGGTAAAAGGAGCTCCTCAGCGGTGGCAGGACAACCATGAAGATGGATTTTTTGACATTGTCCTAACCTTTGAGGAGCGGGTATTTGATGCTGTCCTAGAAGGTGAGCTCACCTTAGGATCACTTTTGTGATTCAAATGTTGATTCCTGCTGCTCATGCCCAGAAATTCAATTCTGCCAGTCAGGGCAACACTTCATCCTCTTGTGCAAGTCCAGAGTAGCAGTTCTGAGCCCCTGATGTTATCATCACCTCCTAGTGATTACAGAGATGTACGGGGAAGGATCGCCAGCAGTCTGCCTATCATACCGTGGACCAATCTGGATAATCACCTATGCTTTTCGTTAGAAAGTCTGCACCTATGTTTTAGGACTATGCTCAATATGCAGTCGTTGTTAGGTATTCGAATGTTTCAACAATTGAGGGCCAGTCCCAACTTTTGTGTTTCCTCACTTGATTGCGTATTGTGATTGTTCTTGTTTCTTGCTTCCTTCTGAAGAGCGTTATGCATTACTGTCAGGGCCTGTACAAATGTGCAGGAGGGGATACTCGCAGGGAACTGCCGGTGTTTCATATTGTGCAGCTTTTGGTTGCATTTTGGAATCTGGCCAGGGTTCCGTTGTCCGTGACAAATGGCCCTGCTGAGGATCTACTCGCTGTGTGTGCAGATATGCAGAGTAGGCAAAGCAAGGGACAGAGTGCTCTTGTGGTCCATCTGGAAATCAGAGATAGCCATGAGGAGGCAGCCTCAGGAGCCAAACTGGCTCTTGAGCTTTGTCAAATGGTGAGGAATGGGACTTTGAACAACGCTTGTACGGTGGTTTTGTCTGTTTTTGCCAATCTGAAGCTTTGCCTTGATCGGAGTGAGCAGTCTCCTTGCAGAGATGGATGTACAGAATCTTTGTCTTTCTCATGTCCAACGCGTGTACACCAACGTGTGACTACACACACCGCCACAATATACGAGGCCAACTCAGTTTATACTAGCCTTGCACGGTCAACTCAAGCAGTTCTCCATAGTCTCCGAGTCTTGGAGTATTCCTTTCGGACGGGAGAAAGTATCAACACTGGACGATTAGCAGACATGACGCCGCGCATGCCGATGAAGGCTGTAAGCAATCTACCGTAGCAGGGTGCGATGATCCTCATAATTGGATATGGGAGGATCGATGTTGCTATAGGAGGGTTGTGCAATTCAGTCCTTCTTCTCCGCTGTGCGCTCCTAAGCGGATATAGGCCCATCAAAAGTTGGTCAATGCAAGTCGGAGCTTTGCAGCCGCTGGACACTAAATTGACAATCCATTTGCCCAAGTGGGGCTCTGAATCCGCAGTGCACATGTTGGCTCACTCTGGGTAGCACAACCAGTAACTTTGTATATATTCGGATGCCTGCAAGCATAGTGATATCAAGCTTGTCAGGTACAGGTTTGCTTCTTTTGTGTTCGGCAAAGGCTGGCCAGGTGTCCACCTTTTGACACTTGGCCGGCACCAAAGCACTTCACATTCATGCCCAACCCTGTAAGATGGGTAAGACTTGCCTCGGATTCATGAATATCGAATATCGACTGAAGTCAGGGCGCTATCCGGTTGTCTAATCGATGCAATCTGTTAGCTAGCCTTCGTCATGGAAGTTTCAACTGACTCCCAAATTTCCTGCTTGTGCTTGCAGTTTGAGGAAGTAGAAGCTTGGGAAGACGGAGTAGATCTAGTTTTAGAGAGATTTGAAAAGCGCTACAAACGAAGACCAATATACGAAGTATGTTTCTTCTAGCTTCAACAATCTACAACGAATGGTCCACTGCATGTGCATGAATCTCGTCGACCATGTGGCACTAAGTGATATATAACACAGGTTGAAATCATTCTTAGTGACCACGCTTCGATGCACTGGAAACAAAAGCAGGCTGGCAACCAACAGACCGCGTCACGGGCGGCTAAAGCTTTCAATGTCAGAAGCGTAGAACCATACAACTCGACAAAGGTTCAGTCTTAGTACCGGTAATACACGATAATGAGATTCACGTCCGTGTTGGTCGATAGTATCTTGAAATATCCTCGGATTTGAAGCCTCGCTGCGAAAGTTGACTTCTTGATGGGCTTCCGGATGCTCGTCTGGAATGTGTTTCGTTGCACTCCAGGCAGAAAACTCGATCATACCGTTCGTCATAGCTGCAAGATTACAAAGAACAGTGTTTATTGCGCCCTTTATTCTTGGTGCATAAATGAGTGTCCTGAAGCTGCGCATGCCATCAGATTGCCTTTGTCGAAGGCCGGCGGCCAAAAAGGCGGCGGCTCAAACACTGATTGCGTAATCAGCCAGGAGCATCAAGTCGGTGGCCGAGTTCGGCCACGTGACGAACGTCCCTGAGGCAAATTCAGCCGCTTCCCGTGTTACTACCCCTCACTAAACTTCGTATGAAGCCTGCAGTGCTAATAATAAAGATGTACTCTGGACTCGCCATTCAGTCCACCCAAGATTCATATGTCCTTCTCTATTCCCTGGTTCGTCCCGATGAGCGGACCCGGAGCAAGGCTAACTATTTGCAGGCTTCGCAAGATGCCTTTAAAGGCTTCGGCTTTTTTGTAAAACGACATAAAACGACGCTCAGACATGCTGAGACGAGCGAAGTCGATTGGAAGAGCTGCCAAGGTCGTGATGCGAGGTGGGGTGCTCCTTAACAAAAGACAAGAACCTTTTAGCTCCTTTTTTGGCTTTTCGCTTTATTCATTGTACTTTAGGTCCTGATGCAAAGCGCTTTGAAGCTTGCTAGATCAACCGGCCGTTGTGTTTCTTACATCGGTTTGATTCCCTTGGAATTGTACCTTTGAAGAATGTACTGTTGGGCACAATCGACCCCGCTTTAGTTGGGAACCGATGTTCTCCGACGATCCTCAGCGAAACTTTGCTCTAGCGGTCTCTCAAAAAAGACAGGTGCCAGCGTTCTTGCAGCGAACCTGGGTCGCACTTCGAGAGGTTTGTACTGCCACAGGAGGCCACATAAGCGGACGATCCCGCAAGGGGTAAGGAACGGGCTCACTTACTTTGTAACGGAGCACTGTTCACAGAAGGGCTCTTGACAACTCTCGCAAGTGCGTTCGCGCCCACAGCAAAGCCGTTGCCTGCAACGCAACCAGATAGCGGGAAGCTAAGTATCGTCGCCTAACGTTTGGTGGTACCTCTACGAATCCGTCTCTCAAATTTTGGTGCAGAAGTTTCGAATCTGAGGCTTTCTTTGAGGCCTCCGTGAAGCAGACTTTCCCCTTTTTGCTGCTTGAAGAATAGACTCTTCCTATTCCTTGAGACAGCCGGGTACAAGTCGTTTCCCGCCCTCAAGGAAACACACATTGAAATACGAGGACTTCCAAGCAGATCGACCTTCCGCCACTCCCACAAGTGTGAAAAATGGGACTACTCACTCGCAGTGCGTGCAAAACGTCTCGCCTGGGTCCCCGCACTCTCCACATCTCCAATCCGATACGTCGATGTCCATAGCCCCTGTTTCGCTGACTGCAGTCCCGGCGCCGTTTGGGCCGTGAGACAGGGCGGGGGTGCCCATACTACCAACACCTTGAAAGAAATGCATAAGAAATCACTTTCTGATATCGGTCCAGGTGTGGTTGGGGAGTCTAGCCGAAAAAGGTATGACAGCTGTTCCGGGCCAACTTACGCCCCCTTTGTTGTGGTCGGGTACTGCAGTACCCTGGATCCGTGTATTCAAACAGAAAGTTTCCGTGGGAGAAGGTATTGGGTTTTTGGCCTTGAATGGCTCCTGGAAGAAACTGTAATTGTGCGGAAAAGCTGTGCTCGCTTTCAAGATTGCAGGAAGTCCGATTGGCCTCTGACATTGAGACAAGGAATCAATGGACTGGGATGTCTTCCAATTTGACCCCTGGAAAGGAAACTCAAAGCGACAAGATGGTTGAGTATGGGTTAAAGAAAACCACAGATTAAGAATCAAAGGTGCATCACTCTAACGGGTAGGTAAGGAACGCTGAAACTATAGTAGATGTCCGTTCGCACTTTGGCACAACCTGACCTCACACCAACACAAAGTCAAGAGACTCCAGGGGAAAGTAAGGGCCGCATTGGTAATCTGTTACGCGTTGCCCCTTCCTAGATAACAGAAGTAGGTACTTTGGCTTCCTTACTGATATTGTCACCAAAGGAGGGTTCCTGGCAATAGGATGAATCAAAAGCCACATTCGCCGAAAATGAACCATCTGAAGTTGCCAGACTTACTAGGGTCTCGAGATCCTGACGCTATATTCTGGTGGTGAGTGCCCGTGCTTCCATTGGGAGCCCCGTTAGAATGGTCTGAGGCGGCGCTTGCCCTGGCGCCGGCTCTAAGTAACCTCAGAGTGTGTTCTGTAGGAAAGAAGCGCCATGACTGTTACATAGATTTGAGGGAAAAGGGCAGCAGCAGTCAACGAAAGGCCACAGGCTTGTCCAATGGACGTTCGACTTTCTGGTGGCATGATCTGACCATTCTGATTTGTGCATCTGGAATGCTCATGATCACCACTAAAAGACCTTCTTGGCGGAGAGGAATGTTTGAGACATCATAAACCGCACTTAAGCATCAGGGAATGTCAAGAGTACTTGAGAGGTGTGTCCACAACAAGTACGTACAGCACTTGCCCAACATCCAAGAGGGAATGAAGCATTAAAAAGCTGGTATCTTAAGTTCTTGGGGGGTCACATTGGCCAATCTACGTCGCCAACCGCCAGTTATAAGAGATGTGTCCAATGTGAGACTCAGTTCCGCAGTCACCCCAGCCGCGATTGCCCAGAGGATGAAAGGAGCACAATGGAGAAGTCTGTTGAACATCCGCAGGGTAATGTGAAGTGCGTGGACCTTGTATGCTGGCAGTATCTTCTTTCAAACGCGTGCCCTGGCCCCTCTCCTGTCGGCCCCCGGTTGGCTCCCTTCGCTTCACCATACCAGCAAATAATCCAGCAGCTTCTTCGAGAAACTTCGTCCCACCTGACTACTGGCGAGGTACTTTTTCTGGCCGTACAGATGCCGCAAGAGGAGCCTAGCTCAGCTTCAAGTAAGTGCCTCTATCGTTTTGTACACTTCATGCAAGCACCGAGACCAACCCACTCTTCGGGCTTTTCTGATTCGTATCAAAGATGCCAGGATTGAATAGCTGGCCAATGCACGCAGGGCGACGGATCTAGAGATAAGTGCAAAACCTAAGGCTAGGACCTTCTAATGAGTTTCTGAAGTGGACGATGATGATGGAGGTCAGCATTGGGCGCCTTTAACCACCTTCATAGCTTGGCAGCTTGCACTCTGAACAAATTGAATCAGTCCCACGGTGCAATTGCAGCGGCAGCCTTGGCGGCTGGTCCAGCCTCAGGCCCAGGGACGAGTTCGAAGACTCGAGCAGAGACGTAGAACAGCGTCCAGTATCCGAAAACGTGGTGGTTCGACGCCGAAGATACAATCGGTATTGTAGCCCTCTGCGAAATGCACAGGGTCGAATCACTCAAAGTTGGCTAGGACGCCTTCGTCGTACCGTGACCAGCGCGGGGCCTTTCCCAGCCTTCGGTTTTATTGGCGAAACAGTGCCGCTGCCACTGGCGCCATGCAAGCTTCAGAATCACAAGCTTGCGACTTTTCTCTGTTTCTCCTGTGGATCAAACGCTTGATGACAGCGTCAAGACACAAGCGTACGATCCCGCACCTTTATTGAAGTTTCACTTGTTGCTAGCTCCCTATCCTCACTTCAATGTTCCTCCAGCTCAATGTGCTCTGAACCCTAATCTCCGGCCCGCTGAATGGCTTAGCTCTAAACACTCCGGATACTGATGTCTTGAGAAGCATCTGGAATGGCGACCTCTTTGCGGCGGAGCATATCCAGTATGCCGAGCCAAAGGGGCTCCTTTGCAAACCCATTGCCAGCTGACAGCAGCTTTGCAAGCATGTCTGGATTTCTTGAGCTTGAAGCGACTCAGCAGCTAGCGCCACCAGCGGACCGTTTTAGCGTTGTTGGCACCTCTAGCTTTGTTGGGGGCACAGGTGAAGAGTGCGCAGACCTTCGAGGGCGGGGATTGGTGGCCCTGCCTGCGCTTGGGAGACAGTCAGGGTTGACCGCAGTGGACCTTTCAAACAATAGCATAGCAGGCCTGGAGTCAGCTCCGGAAGAGTTGCCGGACGATCTGCAGGTGAGCTGACAAAATTCTATCTTCGTTTGGCATTGAAGGCATTGCGGATGGTAGCTGGAGGTGCTTGACTTTGGCAGATTGGGTTTAATGGTTTTACCGGCTGTTGTTGATAGACAATGTTGACCAGCCAGCATGATGCAGACGGTGATTCGCAAGCTGTTTTGAGTACTCAGATCTGCTGTCCTTTTTCGAGGACAATATGGCCTGCAATCAAAGTCAAGCGAGTCAGTCAGGTCAGATCAGTCAGGAGATCTTAAGAGCATCATCTTCTCTTCAGGCCTCCCCTCGCATCTTCCTTCTTATTGGCCACAACTTGAAGCTATTCAACTCAAAGCACCCCCAGTCGATCTGCAAATTTGGCTGAAACTCTTTCCTGCCATGAGCAATGCTTCTGGAATGGTACGTCAGTCTTCAGTTGCTCCAGTCGCCGCCGGCATTGTGCAAGTCACCGCAGCATTCCACCTAGCAGGCTGCTTAAGAACAGCTCACTTGCGTAAAGCCAGCTTACACGGTCAGCAACCAGATCTCCCCTCATGATCAGCAATCAGCTCTCAACCCCTCCTCTTTCTCACCTCAGACCAGTCTCGTTTCAAACTCTCAGTGTCTCCCTCTACTACTTCCAGATGCTCTCCCTGGCTGGTAACAAGCTCTCGGACCTCTGCCACCTAAAGTACCTGACTGCGTGCACCTCCCTCATCGACCTCGACATCTCAGGCAACCCTGTAACCGATGGTGCCGCCAGGATTGGCTTCGACCTTCGACCGTTCCTGCTCTTCCTTCTGCCACGGTTGCAGAGGTGAGGGTGATTATCCTGGCTTTTACCCTTTCTGGACTTGACCCGTTGCTTATGGAAGGCCGGGACTTTGTGAACCACTGCCCTATGAATTCAGTGGCATAGGCAGATTGAACAATCCTCAGCTCTTGTCTGTCACAGTAAGGGACTATCCTATAATTCGCGGTCTGGCAGAGACTTGCACGTTGGATAAAGCCCACATACTACGTGGGGAAGCGAATTTCTGACCTGAGCGACAACCTATTGGAAGCATTGACTGCAGTGAACAGCTGAGACTTATTTCCTCGTATCCACTTGATTGGCGGGAAGAGCAAGGGCGCTCGAAGACGACTCGCTTGGTTCATAGCGAACTTTCTGGGGCACTTTACATTCTTATCCACTTCGCTCTTTTTGTTCTCCGTTTTTCCGTCTCTTCGACCCCGTGATATCGAAGCGACGGTCCTTCGTTCATAACGTATCTTCCCATTCCGTCTGAAGGGATCTCCCGCAAACACCGGCTTGCAAACAACCTGCTGCTTTCACGTGGATCCGGAAACCTCACTTTTTCGACGGCGCTGAGTGCCGAAACTCGGAAGTGAATGACGACTGGGCTCGGACCTACGTATAGCTAGCTGCATCAAGGCCTTGAAACTGACTCTTCACCACAAGCGCAAGAACACGATGCATTGCTTTCAAAAAATGCTTCCACACAATGTTGCTTGAGTACCAACAATTGTCTTATGAGGGCGACGGGCTGTTTCGACCCAACTTTCGGAGAAGCTAGAGTGTCGAAGGTTGTTTTCTCAATCAAATCTGTACTCAGACTTGATTCCTATTTCCTTGATTCCAGCCCAATCCCGGACATGGAGAAGGTGGAAAGAAGCTGTATCCAGATCCTTTCCAGCCGTTCGAAGAATTGTTGAGGAATCGTCGTACAAATACGGAATACTTTAAGAATCGAACCAAGGGATATACAGAAACAGCTGCTATGGAAACCCTCAAATCCCGAAACCGTGAATATGTTCTGACGCTTCTCCCAGGCTGAACGGGCAGGACGTCCGGCAGGCGCGGCTGCTGGAGGCGTCGCGCACGCTATTCACGGACGCCCGAGGGCGGCTGTCGGACCGGCTACTGGAGATGCTGGACGACGGACGGCAGGTCGAGCTGACGCACTACCTGTCGCAGCAGGTCAGCCTGACGTCAGCTGAAAGACAGCGGTCCTATCCTCCATGAAACGGGCGTCTAGCTTCGCTTAGAGGGACAATTGACTGTCGCGAAACCGCACATGTAAGACTTTTAAAGCCAACGGTAGAGACCCCGAAATGTGGAACGTTTCTCTGACGAAACGTTTGCAATTCCCCTACACGTGTTTGGCCTGTTGGGACGTTGTGAAGATCGACAGTCCCTTCGACTGTCCCTTGCGCCTCTGCGGCAGTCCTTTCACCTGTGTACGTTGTGGACATCGGTACCAGAATGCAGCAAAACTTGCCAAATCTGCAAAACACTACAATCACAGGACCTAAAGCCTTTCAGGGAATGTTGTTGGGTTGTATCAAAGCCCTGAGAATTTGTCCACGGAATGCTTGCTGGGAGTGGCAACAACCGCCAGTTCTGGTCTGTGCTTCTCCAACAAGCTAGTAGCTGCAATCCCCTCCGCTCTCTTCCTCCTCTACCAAGCCTCTTGGCCTCTCTTTTTTTCCTCTCCTCTCTTCAGACGTTTACTTCCACAATCTGCTTCGTTTTCCCTTGGTATCATCTTAGACTACTTGTTCTGAGCTTCTCATCTTTGAGCTTTCTCCCGTCAACTTTTGCGCTGCCCACACTTTCTACAACTTTGATTCTCGCCGCCGTGCAGTGCCCTCTTGTCAAGCGGCCTCGCCACGTCGACTCCGTTCCCAGCAGCCCCCGCGCTGCGCACAGACCCGAAACCTCCCAACCCCTAAAGAACCCCGAAACCTTCCCAAGCTCGCCGATCGATGAAGTGCCCGTCGGCTCGGGGGCGCGGCGCGGCCTTTCCTATAATGGCGTCGCTTCCAGACATGTAAGGGGACGGAGGACTCCGGAGAGGGCCCTGGGCGACACGAGAGCGCCGGAGAGCGCTCCTGTGTCGCCCAGAATGCGAGTGTCGGAAAACGCAATCATGGGGTTCGAGGGCTCCGGCGGACGGAGCCCCACGGAAAAAAAGCCTACCAGCCCGCGGTCGCCTTTCAACCGGGCGCCGAACCGTAAGGCCAGGGCGACCAAGAGCAGGCCCCAAGAGACCGGGGCCAATCACCGGGAGGGGACGAGTAGAGTCAGAGCTGATGTTGGTGAAACCAAGACCCCGGAGAATCATTTCTCCTTGACTCGAGAAGCCGAGACTACAGCCCGAGCGGAGAGTGTTAATACTCCCAGGAGTCCCCAGAAAGCACTAGCGAAGAGGTCCTTCAAAGATATGGATCCGTCTCGAAAAGCTCTCGAAGCGATTGGGGAGTCACCTGAGCGGCCAGTGGATGACGGACACGTGGCACTCCCGCAGAGCCCCGACGCAGAGGTAGAAACGGAGATGGTCAAGCGGCTGGTCACGGCGGAGTTGGTCGCGAGCCCTTCGCATTCGCAGCTCGAGACCCTGGCCGGCGATGTGAAGGGGCAGAGCCGCGACCTTTCGGACGTCCGCCGGGAGCTGTCCGGCGTCAGGAAGGAGCTCCGGCACTCGCGCACGCAGGGCAACCAAGAGCTGGCGGACGTTTGGGCGGAACTGACGGAAGTCCGGACGGACCTTCGGAATTCCGGCGCGGAACTGGGCCTGGCTCGTGCGGACGTCAACAGGGCTCGGACGGAGCTCGCGGACGTCCGGGCCGAGCTGGGCACGTGCCGCAAGGAGTCTCGGACGGCGTGCGCGGAGCTGGGGGCTTCGAGGGCGGAACTGGGCACCGTTCGGAGGGAATTGGACGCTGTTCGGACGGAGCTTTCCGGCGCTAGGGCGGAACTGCAGGGGCTCCACTCGCGGGTTCGGGCGGAATCGGACGCGCGCGCGCTCCTCGAGGAGGCGCTGAGGCGCATGTGGGCGGAGTGCGTTCAGCTGCGCGCGTGGCAGGAGGCGCAGATGGCGCAAGAGCGGGCTCGGGCGGCCGCTAAGGTGCAGAGGGTTTGGAGAGTTTGGCGAGCGCGACGGGAGCGGGAGGCGAGAGTAAAAGAGCGGCAGTGGCTAGAAGAGGTCTGTACTCTGCCTATCCTGGTTGAATTTCTTTTTAAGATTTGGAAGGGTACCCTGAAGGTAATACCAGGGTCTGCTGACGTGCTCGATTGGGCCTTATCTGCCTTGAGTGGCCTTATTCTGAGAAGGGGACCAAGGGGCAGCGTCTGCCCTTCTGGTCGAGTGTGAAATCTGTCGGGTCATGGCGCGCGAGGTCTGTTGCGCCCTCTTAGGACCACTTGTCGAATTTGAAGTTCAGTTTCAATCTCCGAAGTGCGCAAATTTCAACCTAAGTTCCTAGGAAATCGCTTCTTATCTGCAGGCCCTACGGCCGCACGTCGTCAAAGTACAAGCCCTGATCCGAGGGTTTCTTCAAAGGCGTCGGACGTATGAGCTGAGAGTGAGAACGGCAGCGGCCGTCCGCATTCAAGCGATGGTCCGGGGATACATTCAACGGAAGAGGATCAAAGGAGCAATGTGTCAGCTGCAGAAAGACCAGTGGGCCAGGCACGAAGTCGAGGCTCTGCGAGGGCAGTTGTACCATATGCAGCTTTGGATGCATCAAATGGCAACGTCTATAGCCAGTGCACCGGGTACACGCATACCCTGTCTAGGTCAGTCAGGTCCCGACAAGCGAGGAACTTGAATCTGATTCATTACAGAGTGAAAGTGACGCTTTGCCTGCCTGTGCTTGAAAGTTTTGAGAACTGCGCGCTAATCAAAGTTGGTAAGTGAACCTTGATCGACGTCTCTGCGTAACACTCACTTGCACATGCTGCCTGTCAAGATAATTATGCCTGCAGTTTTGAACTTGATGCGGCATCTTTGCGATGTCACCCCGAAACCCACCTCGCTTTGGGTGTGTCGTTGTTTGTCGGATGGCTCTCCGCGATTTGTTGAGGCGATGTTCGGAGCAAAGATGGTTAATACAACGTACCTTTTTGCTGAGCTGTCACATTTTGGTGTAGGCGCTAACTAGTAGACCATGCAGGCACAAAGCTAGCCGAACTAGATCCGTTGGAGAGGCGCGCAATGCATGGATACATGTGCAAGGACACTTTTATATGCGGGATGATCTGTTCTTACACGATAAAAGCACGTACCGGACAAGTAGATGATCGCGCTATCTCATCGGATGATCATATACCAGCATCATGAGCTGCCTCGATCACGGCTAGGCTGAGGACAGGCATATCTTGCAGGCGCCGGGCGGCCCGGTTACCTACATCATACATATCCAGAGCACCTTCATTGATTTAAGTTCGCGGATCTAGAAGTGGTGGTCGACTTGCCAACTCCACCCTTTCCATACACTGCAATCTTCATGCGCCTCTTTCCTTTCATTAGTGGGGCCTATACCCCACAGTTTCGCCAAGTACACAAACGACTGGTTGTGTGCCATGCAGCTGCTCAATTGAACGATGCAATTGTACTTTAGCTTCACGCTTTCTCTTTGCACTATAGCTTGCAAGCACGACGTAGCTCTTGAGATTTCCGCACTGCCGCATGCTAGTAAATGTGTAAGACAGTGGCATCGCACTGAGATTATAGCATGCTACGATGTACACTGAATGCTTGACACCAAGTCATCATGCGCTTCTTTTTTTGCTGGTGCTCATGGCCACGGGACCAAATCCGACTCGGACACATGATTTGTACATGGTCACCCTGCATATGTGGAGAGTTCGCTTGAATGTGAGCCACCATATCACGCTCTAGCTTTGTGCACCTGTATGCTCACAGACATATGCGATCGCACGCCACTATCATTAGGGCCCATAATGGCAGGATCCTGGCAACTATATGTCAAGTCAGTGTTGTCTTCATAGGATTAGCCTAGCCTGCATATTCATTTGAAACCTTGCGGGGAGTGCTTCAATCTGATCCAAGTGAACAGCAATTGAAGATATTACAAACTCGAGTCTCGAGGAGCAGGTAAGGACGAGCAGTTGCATGGTCAGCTTCATTTCAGCAGACGGCAACGGGTAGAACTTTATGTGTGCATCTGCTTCCAAAGTTTGAGCGTATTTGCCAAAGAGTTTAGCCAAACCGGTCAAAAGACAATCACTGCAGTTGCAAGAGAGCCTAAGAGGTTCAGAGCGTACGACCTTATCATGAAAGTGCATGTGCAGACTGTGAGTGCTACGGTACCGTTGTTGCTTTCCAGTTCTGTTGGACAGAAGGCAGCCAAGCAATGTACCTAGCGCCCTCTTCAATAGATTACATACAAGCTCCAATAAACATTCACCCCTAGAATAAACATTTCTAATGAGGAAAACGCCGTCTGCATACGGAAAGTCCTCGAAGACTAGTTCGTGAGGTACAGAAAGATATTCCCTGTGGTGTCAAGAAGCGCGGATGCGCTTGTTTCCGTGAGAGAACCATCATCCCCACTCACTGAATACATTTTCTTGAACTTTCGTTGGAGATCTTCGTAGAACTTCTTGGAGTCAACTCCATTGCCTTTGTCCCGTCGGCTGTTAATCTGTGCAGGATTGTAAGGCAGAGTCAGCAACGCGCTCAAAGGCAACACTTGGGTGGATACTGCAGGCATGGTGAAATCTGCTCTGTTGAATTGATTCAAGGCAGTATGCAGCAACGACCTTCGCTTCCATTGAAGCAAGACGAGTTTCAAGAATAAAATGTTTTTTTTGGTCATTTAAAGAATGCTGTTTGACTTACACACACGTGTCAATGACTGGTCTAAGAACTGGTCCCTTCAAGAATTTCATCTGAAAGCATTTGCTTTCTTGGAATTGCGGCACTAGCAGATTTGCCGCACCTAGACGCTCCTACATAGTGCGGACGTCATGCAAGTGAACCGTGCTGCAACCTGCTCGAAGGATGTGACGAGCTCAGGTGGCGAAAAGGCCCACTGGTCACATCATCCACCTTCTGTAGAGCGGCAACCAGACAACCTTGTATTCTCCCACGCATCTCAAAGCTTTCTGGACGAGAAGTGGCAAGTTTACAAGCGCCGCACCTCGATGAAAAGCTCCAAGCCGGGGTTGTCCGCCACGGTCATCTGCATTCCCTGCCACACCTGCCACTCGTGCCCCTCTACGTCCACTTTCACGACATCCACCTTGTGCCACGCCTCATCATGAAGCAATGTATCCAACTTCATATAATCCACCGGCACCCTGCCCTCTGCCGCCTCTTTCTCGACCTTGTTCCCGGGGCTCCAGGACATGTCATTCCCGATAAACACCTGCTTGTCGTCCGCATTCCCCAGTGCTTTATTCACCACTTCCACCTGTTGATACTCCACGAGCGTGCGGGTCAGCAACTCTCCCAGCCGAGGGTTTGCCTCCACCGCCAAAACCCGCCCCGTGTGCCCTACGGCGCGTGCAAAAACGTTGGTGTACCAGCCGACAGAGGCGCCGACATCCACCACATTCCGCCCGGGTTTGACCAGCTTTGCCACCGCTTCCGTCAGCTTTGTTTCCCACACGGTGCCCTGGCAGAGATGCGGCGTGACGCCGCGGTCGCGGGAGTCGAGGAAGAAGTACTTGTGGAAGTACTCGATCCAGCACATTACGATGCTGCCCCCCATGTACAGGTTGACAGGCCGCTCGGACTTGAGCGCCTTGATCTCCTTGGCCACTCCATCGATGACTTGCTCGAGGTTGCTGTGCTGGCCCAGCTGCGCAGTCACAACCTGCACCGTCATAGAGGGTCAAAGGCTTGACAGATACTCGACAGCAGATCTAAACAACGACTGATGACCTTCTGCTCGCCAACGTCCACTAAAAGCCGCAAAACTCAGAAGGACCAGGACTGCAAGATAGAGATTGACAAATTTAATGGTACTCCGGAAATAGACGACCCTCAGCATCTAAGACAAACTATGCATTCAAGGAACTTCAGTGCAATTAGCGCCAGATCATGCCTCTAATGCACAGAAAACCACTCCTCTAGCACTTCAGATGTTGTCTGTGAAACTAGTTTGCAAGATCTGCATTGTAGTAGTGCCCGCAACTCACCTTTGTTTCGCTCTGCAACGTTAACAGCATACCCTTTAGCTTCTCGACCTGCTCCGTCACTTTAAGCAGAGCAGTCGACAGCTCCTCCAAGCGGACCTTTGCACCAGTCTCCTCGCGGCCGCCCATAAGTAGCCGGCCATCATCATGTCTAGCAAAGACAGTTTGATGCGAGGAGATTACAAATATCTGGAGCGTGAGGAAGATGAAAAGAGCGGTTACGATAGAGCCAGCAAGGACCACAAAAACTAGCCTCGGGCAGTCTGGCCCTCTCCCAGAGCGTTTCATGGCTGGCTTCCTCAGTAGGGGAACTCTTTGACGAGATGGCATACACACATTGTCATGGCGCTATCGTATCTCAAGTACCATGACCTTACTCTCCCAACAATTATAACTGAGCCTGTACTTTGACATCCGGCGCTCCTTCACATTCTACAGGCCACAAGGACAACCCTCCCAAAGCGTAAGTTACCGAGCGTCTCTTGCTTCTTGTGAGCACTTCTTTGATGAAAAGGGCCAACTCTAGACGCTAATATGCTGGCACTGCCTTGTAAGATTGAGGGATCCTCGCTTTACGCTTTCACCGCTTCTCAACAGCGCTACAATGTGGAAAGACAAAAGGCTTCCAGGAAGCAGATTGCCTGTACAATAATGCAGCGACTGGCGTCTCGGTGCTCTGACAACTCCTAAGATGGACCGCCTTTTCTGGAATTCAAGTACTTGCCTCACAAGGCTCAATATTATGCTTGAATGCCATGTCTGGGACGAACAAGGTCGCAGTTGAGTGGCCAGGTAATACCGCACTTCGTTGCAATTACGTAGGGAAAGTTGGAACAACCCTCGTGGCCCCTCGGGGCTGCGGGCAGGTTTCCTCCAAACCCAGGTGGCAGGTACCTACCGGTATACCGTGAACGCCGCTGTACGGGGTACCGTATACGGTATACCTACCGTATACCACGGGCTACCGTAGCAATTGCCAAGCCTAACTTTCTTGAGTTTCATATTCCGTGCTAGCCGTCCCGTCAAGAACCTACGTTTATCGGACGGCGCACAGCGTCTCTGAAGCGTCCGCAAGCAGGCTGCCAAGCAGGGGGCTACCGTAAATGTAGTCTGCCCAGTGGCGCAGTTCATGAATGAACCCAGTGCATGAATTATGACATTGAAAGCTTTTCTTCCTTCGTCCACCCACGTCCACCACCCTGGTTCCTGTCCTAGCAATTGCACAGCACGAGCAGGTGTTGCAGGTTAGCGCGATCAGTATGCAAATAGTGCTCGGTATATGATCTACAAGTGGCTAGTGGCACATCTTCATCTGAGGAGTTAGGCAGATTCATCTGTGAAGAGCTGTCACGTGTGTGTTTCGATTGTGGTCTTCTTGGGGTGTTGGTCTTGTTGACAAGATTTCGCCTCTCCCGAAGTTGGTGGTAGATCGTTCTCAAGTTTACAAATCACAACGTGCCTGGACAAATGGGCATCCCTGAGACGGTGGTTGTGCACCCATTGGTCCTGCTCAGCATCGTGGACAATTACAACAGGGTAGCAAAGGATACCAGGAAACGGGTTCTTGGAGTGCTACTAGGGGAAACCTTCAAGGGACGTGTAGACATCACAAATAGCTATGCAGGTGAACTGCTTCAACCACTTACCTGGTGGCAATAAGCTTGGCTTTCTGTGAATCTATCAGCTCATCTTGCAGTTTCGACCGTCCAGGGGATTTTTCTTGTGATTGTTATAAATCCGCAGAGAAGGCTCTTGTAGTTGCTGACACCAGCTGCCCTCAGTCAAATTGCAGTCCGGTTGAGGAGACTGATAACCTGTAAAACCTCTAAGAAAGCTGTTGTAGTTGCTGACACCAGCTGCCTCGGTCATTTTTGCAGTCCCCTTTGAGGAGGATGACAAGGATACAGCGATCTGGTTTTTAGACCACAACTATCATGAGCAGATGTTCTCCATGTTTAAGAAGATCAACGGTAAGGTTTCTCAATTTTCAAGTATTTTCTGCTTGCATGACGAGCTTCTGGTACTTGGAATTCATGCTTGATTGTGCAATGGAATCAACTGCAAGGGTTTGTCGATTGAGCTACTCCTGGTTGCCAATTAGCTGCTAGAAACCCTAATAAGCAGACACTGGCAAGCAGCAAGTTGGACTGGCTTGCATAGACCACAAATCAAGGTTTCTTTGTTGAAGCCAGTCTAGAAGCTGTTCACAGTCAGTCTGTTCAGGAGGCACCAGTGGTCAGCATCTTCAATTGTGCAGCAAGCGCCCTTCAAAAGAAGTGATGTTGGTGGACATCAAGCCCATGGTGCCTCGCGGTTCTGAGTTAAACAGCTTCAGTATCTTGCAAAGGTGGCATCTTGCTGAATTCCAGCTGACGAGCACGTGGTGGGGCTATGTGTCTGGTGGTTGTGAGTATCATATGCCTCGTCATCCGATGAGGTGGCCTCTTGTCTTGTTTTCAGCTAAGGAACATGTGGTGGGGTGGTATAGCACTGGGCCAAAGATCAAGGAGAACGACCTTGAGATCAACGAGCTGTTCCGGAAGTATGCCGCAAACCCGCTGCTGGTGATCATCGACGTGCAACCAAAAGAACTGGGGATTCCAACGCAAGCTTACTGCGCAATTGAGGATGTCAAGGAGGTGCGGTTTTGACCTTTCGAAGCTATAAGGATGTTGTTGTGCTTTGCCTTCAACATTCGTGGAACATGTGGCTGAAAGCCAATGCCCTTTCCGAAAACAAGCTTCCTTTTGCTGCAAGCAACTATTTTTTGGAGCCGTAGTTTGTTGATGAAGCAGGTGGTTGCTTTTGTGTACCGGGTCTAGTTTCTCCGTGCTATGCAGGGTATGCCTGATAAGAAGGTGGTAGATGTGGAGTTGGGTCTGGAAAAAGGTCGACCTGATGTGGTGACCATCTTGTCCTCGACAAAGGGCTTGTGCGGAACGTGTCCAACAGCAGTGCACATCAGGCTCAAAGCAGCTCAGCCAACAAGTTAATGATCTGTTTGGTCTTACAGGGGGATGCAAGAGCTGACTACCCCTCTGCTTCAGCAATAACCTCACCGTCACGAAATTCGTTCACTGCTTGACGATTCTGAGGCCCACGGTTGTTGAGCAGTATCTAGGCCTGTGTTCACTAATGGTGACTGAGTCTCAACGTTTGGACCTTTGCTCTCAGGATGGGACGCAGAAGAATCAGAAGACGTTTGTCCACGTACAATCGGAAATTGGGGCATACGAAGCGGAGGAGATTGGTGTTGAGCACCTTCTGCGGGATGTCAAAGATTCAACAGTCAGCACTCTCGCCACCGAGGTAGGTGCTTTGGTTTTTTGCCTATTTTAAGGTTAGCGCCTCTTGGAAAGTCAGAAAGCCATATCTGCTGCTCTTGGACAACAATAACTTGCTCAGATAGCTTGCACAAGAATTTAAACGTTTCTTGGGTAGTATGACAGTGTGGATGTCAGTAGATTAGCTTTCTGGTACGAATGACAGTCTGGACACGTCAGGACCAACGTCCTTTCTGAATTCTTCAACCCTTTTCGAAGTTTGTCAAGGGCTTGGTCTCCTCGAGGTGACCACCTTACATCGGGTGAGTCCTGTCTTCGAAAAGAATTATTTTTCATTATGCAAAATCGTTGTATTCCTCTACCCTTGTTATTTTGCCACATGATAGATCTATGACTGAGCTTCCTCACTTCTGTCCTGCTGTGCTCCTTCTCTTGGCTGGCTGGCCCTATACATTACTCATTGAAGGCGAGGTCAAAAATTTCCATGTGCTACCCTCGTTGTGGCTTTGATAGATACAAACATGATCTTTCTGGTGCGTGTGGTATCATCAAACACCTTACCTTTGTCTGGTCGAAGTACGCCATCTCAAAAGAGGCAGAAGCTGTTGAGCTTCAGCCGGACTTCCTTACTGTCCGCATCAGTGGATAATATGTTGCTTGCAGAATCTGTTCCAGAAGACATATAACAACAAAGTCTCAAGTCAACAGAGCCGCTCAGCCGAACTCGAGAACTGCATCGCAAATCGATGTTCGATGCTGCTTGCTTCTTTGCTTCTTCCCGAGCAACAGGAAAGCGTTGCCCGACAGGTTCTAGGTTCGAAGCTCAGTAGGCAGGATTTACTCTCGTCAGTAGTTGCTTTTCGGAGTCCCTCAGAAGTTCCAATGTGGAATGGAGGAAAGTGCTCACATCTGGAAGCGCGAAGTGATTTTCCTCTCCTTAGCTCAGGTAACTCGGCACGTTGTCACCCGTCGTCCTCCCCTTCCTGCGCAGGTGGGCAGCAAGCTGAGCGCGCTGCGGAGCCTCGAGTCGCGGCTGAAGGAGATCCAGGCGTACATGACGCTCGTGTCGGAGGGGAAGCTGCCCATCAACCACGAGATTATGTACCAACTGCAAGACGTGTTCAACCTCCTCCCCAACCTCAACATCCACGAGCTAGTCAAGGCGTTCTCTGGTGAGCGCATCCTCGCACATTTTACCGCAGGAGCTTTGTCTACACTGGATGCTGAAGCACGAGCAGCGCTGGTTGTGGCTTACTGACTGAGGAACACGGCAAGGGAATGAGGAACACAGCAAGGGAAAGTCGCGTTGGTCAGCGGTTTTCAGATGCTCTGCAAACGGGCCTCAGGATCCTTTAATCATTGACAGATCTGCTCGGGTGTGTAGAGCCGTAGACAAGGCACCATAGAGGCACCTTGCCTACGGCTACTGCATTCAGTGTCTCTCTCTTCTTCTTTGAACTACGTTATGTCTCGTCTATCGCGCGCCTGATGCTTTGTTCTATTCCGTCTCGTTGATCCCGGTTTGTCGGCCACTGCCCTTTCCCCTAAGATGGGTCGCTTTCATGGCCATGCTGGCAGCTCGTTAGCATGAGGCGCCATCGAATCTTCGCCAGCCGTCGTTTTGAAGTGTTAAATGATCTTTTTGGCAGCGTTTGTACGAGTGTGTGTTAGCTCGTAGGAGGCCACTCTTCCATACTGTCAAGCACCAATGCAATACCTTGGCAGACAGGTCGCACTTACTCGGCGGGTTTGATCATGCCACCGTCTGGTCAAAACTTGCTCGAGATGTTTTTGGGAACGTACGGCTATGGTTTTGAATGATTTCCGCTTGCTTCACCCAGTAGCTCTGCCCGGAAGGGACTCCTTGTTCATCGCGCTTGAGGTCTGCCGATAGCAGGTGCCATTTCTTCTCACTAGTTATTCGTTTGCGTTCTGGAAAACTGCTTTGAGTCTTTACTTCCGCTCAGCAACACCGCCCTTGATAATTGCAACTGAACGGTTGGCTCTTCGGATACAGTCAAAACGAACGACATGATGCTCGTTATCTACCTGTCATCCCTCATCCGGAGTATACTGGCTTTGCACAACCTGATCAACAACAAGGTAGGCGTTCGCAAAAGTCTGCTGTAGCTAAGAAGTCAGTACTTCTGTACTTCAAAGTACTTCTGTACGGCGCCTGTCTCTGCTTATTGGAAGGATTGTGTTTCTTGGATTGCAACCTGATCCTTATACCCGTCCTGCATATGGTTTGGGTACAAATGTCCTCCTGAGCCAGTGTACTTCGGGTCACTGATTCATATCATATATGGTATCTACAGGTTTTGAATAAAGAAAGAGAACGGATGGCAGACTCCCACAGTAAGGGCGACAAGCTAAAACGGGAGGCAACAGTAGCAAGCTAGCCGTCAAGCTTGATATCCAAATTGCTGGCCCTTGTGCATTGCCCCAAGCTGAGGTCATTCGCAAAGCATTCAAGAGGTGTGGACACAATCAAGCAATGTTTCCCAGCCTAGACATAAGACTTTTTTGAAAGGCAAGCCTCATATCGGCAAGCCATATTCTGATGTCTGATGCCGGAATGGTGCATACGCGGGGGCCTGACAGTTCAAGGAAGTTGAGCTTCAGACAGTCCTTATCAAAGTCAGCCCTGATTGCGCGGGCGGTTGAAGTTGCATTTTCCTTGAAGCCCCACAATCACAAGCTCACAGTGCCAGTCTCAATCTCCCCTTTTACGATTGACATTTCTCCTGTTTTCATCGAGTTCAGCTTATGCTGCTTGATAGTACAGGTAGTCATACGTAGGATGGTTCCTTGTTTCATGAGAGCTACGGCAGTCAGGGTTTGCGATTTTATATCAAGATCGAATTTGGGATATTGCCCTACTGCTTACACTGCTCATGGTCATGGCAGCTTCCGGATTTGTCACTTTCATTCGCATGGGCCCAGTACTGACGTTTGGTTGTGTAACGTTGTTGCTGCGCGGTTTGTAAACCGCCCAAATTGTACTCCGGGCATCACGAGTCACGTGCAATTGCAATGCAACCATGGACCGTACACCCAGTCAATATAATCATGTTTAGGGGCATTGGTGAATCGTAAATTTCTTAAATCAAGGGGACTACGTGGTTGAGCCCGTGCACGCTATGGTGTTTGATTAAATGCATGGGTTTTGGGACTACCCTCAGTAACGTATACCCGCGCACTGAGTAAGTCTAACCTGATCGGTTCGGTTGGAACAGATCTTACCGCGGAGAGGCGGGCCAGGTGAGTTCATGGCCACGGGCCCGGGATAGAATTTGTCCTTTGCACATAGCTCATAATATAGGCGCAATGATGCATTATAATAACCCCATTATAATCTTCGGTGTATCCGCAATGAGCGCATGCAACCGACACGGTCCGGCTTCAACTTGTTAGGCACGACATACATAAACATTTTTCGAAGTTTGGGGAACACTTTGTTCATGAAGTTCTCAGAGCCCGACCGAAAAGCTTCAATGTTTGTTCGGTATTCTTGCAGTATTATAGTATTATGGGGGACGGCAGTGGTGCGCACCTTAGGGATGCGGCGGACACACAATGTTTGATTCCACTAGGACAGCCAAATGGGCCCGCTCCCGGGCCCGCTTGGCGCGCTCAGTCTTCTAGTAACGTGCCTCAGTCTAACGGGCCTCTAAAAGTCTGCTAGCAGGTCCACCACAGGTTTGCCAGCCTTTCATGATAATAGCGCGCCAGTTCGGGGATTCAATTTGTTCGCCGTGAATGATGGCATCTTGAAGGACTCGGCTACATATGACCGCTAAATTAGATTCTTATAGAGCTTGTGCACGCCTGCCCCTGAGGAACACGTGCTACCTTGAGTTCCTAACCTTATGACTTTATGATTATCTGACTGCCGTGAGTTCCCCGTACTTGGAAGATTAGTGAGCCGCGCTCGCGGCGCCGCGTGGCCGATCTGCGCGGCCGGTTCGCGACCTCCCCAGCACGAGGTTTGAAAGATTTCAGATCCGATCTGGAGACGTAAGCTGATCATCGTCAGTTCCAACTTCCTCCAACTAAAGTGTGACAGGTCACAGGGCCCGCGGCTCTGACAACATAATAACGACTGCAACAAATTCTACCTGACCAAATATCTGGGCACGGCCATGTGATCGTGACCTGGCTGAAGGAAGCTCATTAATTGGATCGCGAAACCTGGAGCACGTGAACCTATCTTGCCGGATCCACCTGACTGCTTCATCATGACGAAAGCAATCATGAGGAATGCCCCAAGCTCCAAGTCCTTTGGACATATGGCAGGATTCAGAGCCGTTGATGTGCAGTATATCTGGAACCAGATAAGGGCGCCAGCTCACTTTCACCTGAAATGCAATGAGAGGTCGACACCTGGCGCGAACCGGAAGGTTTTGGACAAAAGCGGAGAGCTTTTTGCTCGCCTGTCAACATCTTTCGACTGCCACCCTGTCATGCACAGTGGAAAGGAAGGCGGCGCCTGCCTGGCTAGTAGGTATTGAATTTGCAGTGCGGCTCAACCGAGCTCACTACTGTGTTCTCGGCCAGCTCCGGCATTGAGCCTGTGTTTAATGTTGCAACTAACTAATGGCTGGCCGTTGAGTGCTCGGTAGGTAGAACATCCGCATGCGCAAGCGTCAAGCTGGGCGGAGGGACCGATAGCTAAAGATTTGCGGGGCGGTTAGTTTAGATTTGCTTGTCAGTCAGCCCATCTGAACCGGTCAATCCAATGATGGCGGAAGCTTCCACCGGGGTATTGTGACCCAAACCTTGGGAAGTGAAGAGCAGAGTGCAGGGCAAAGTTGTTGGGAGCAGCGCTTTTAATCTTGGTCCAGTTTACGGCAATTCGTCTTTCAAAAGCGACGAGGCAAGGGCGCAGAACTTCAAACCTCGTTTTGCAGCATTGTAGGTCGAAAGACCTTAGCCACTTTCCGCCCTTGAACGTTACCGCCTTCTCGGATGAGAGCCTTACGCTGAGGGCTTCCCAAGCTGACTATAGGAGCCTCACGCTGTGGACTCCCAAGCTCACCATCAACCTAATTGATATCGTTGAGAAGGCCTGTCGAAGCGACTTCCACAATGGCGGGCGGGATGATCGTTGCTGGCTCGGAAGTGCACGACTTCCCTGCCAAGATCACCTTTTATGTCGTTATGGTGGCTCTGCTGGCAGCGTGCGGAGGTGACTATCTGACTCCGAATTCTGTTATAGAGTCTTGAGACATGCACCATGCACTGCTTGATGGAAGATGCACTACTTCATACTGGATGTACTGCAGGTTGAATGTGATATTGATGCTTTGCAAATCTCACCATGATGTCTGACTCCAAATTTCGTTCTACAGGTCTGCTGTTTGGTTATGACAATGGAGTCACTGGTAAGTTCAGAGGGCAAGATGATGTAGCTGAAGTTTTGATCATTTCTACCACCCCCGCATGCAAAGTTCCAGTAGCTCTTGCCAGTGGTTTAATCAGTGCTTGTTGCAATATCATGCTTGTACAAACCAGTACTTTATTACTGTATTGCTGCTTGTTTTTCTGCTTTAGCTCAGCCAGCTTGTGAGAAGCATCGTTTGCATCTTTGAAGAGCAGAGGCTCAGGACCTTTCTATGTCTGAAATTGGCAGGCTTCATTTCTCCCCATCTTGTGTGATTGTGACTGTCTCTTGTCTCTGCTTTTTCATTCACACTTGGTGTATGTGCAGGTGGTGTTACATCATTTCTACCATTCCTGGAAAAGTTTTTCCCAGCTGTTGCGAGGGCCACAGAGGTTGGTTACTACTCAAACCATTATACTTTATCTGGCTTTTATGTATACTTCTCAGATATGCCTTGTGGGACCTGCTCTTGGATCCCTCTTTGTGTCTTTATGATACCCTTGCAGGTGAAATGCGGGTTACCTTGCACTTTCCTTCAGTTGAACATGCGGGGGTCCGATTCCTCAAGGTCCTTATTTCCTCAGATGTTTCAGGACAACATTCAGTTCTTGACATTGCAATATTGCAGGTGAATTGACTTTATTTATTGAAGCAAGTTCTCAAAATCTGATTGGTAAAGAAGTTATCTGTGGACAGAAGAGTCAATCTGGTTCTGTTTGGACACTTTTTGTCTCTTTTCATTGGTGCAACGGAGTCACCCTCAGTAGAAGGTGAGTCTGAAGACACCTATGCGGGTTGCAGGCGGCTATGTTGGAATTATTTTGTTCTAGGGCATGCAGAAAGGGTGGTACATCAACACTAGGACACTAGGATTTTTATTCTGGGCCCCTTGAACAAATCTGTGTCGTTAAGCATTGGAACTCGAATGTCTTGGTCTTCGGGCTCCACGCTTACCACCCACCATTGCATTTTTTTCGCAATTGCCAGGGAGAAGAATTTAGGATACAACTGAACAATTTTAGCACGGTTCTGAACTGAATGATTAGGTCCTGTTCACCCACTTCTTGTTTCTCCCAAGAACCTCGAAATAACTCTTGTCTGTTGTTACCTCTTTTGCAGGCGGGTGTTGACGCAAACAGCGCCTACTGCAAGTACGACAATCAGGGGCTGCAGCTCTTCACGTCGTCGCTGTTTCTAGCTGGCGCGTTTGCCTCCTTGATTGCATCCTACACCACCAGGGCATGGGGCCGCAAGCGCACCATGCTCATTGGCGGCCTCTTCTTCTGCGTGGGGGCCACCCTCGTTGCTGCTGCTCAAGACTTGGCGATGCTCATCATTGGTCGCATCTGCCTTGGTATTGGAGTTGGTTTTGCCAATCAGGTACATGCCCAAGGGCTTGCCAGAAAATCTCGTCCGTGAATTCAATTGCGAAAATTGAAGCTCAAATTAGTCGTGTCATTTGTAAATAGCACAAGTCTCGTTGTTCTTCTGGCTTCGGCAAAAGATAGTAGTTCTAATCAAAACTAGATTGGTTCAATCTAGTTGACATTCGCACTGTAGCTGGGAAGATATTGGATCAATCAGGCATTTCTGTGTGTTTTGTGGATCACTCCTCTCTGCCGCTTCAGGTGCGGCAGGTCATGTTCTTGCTGAAAGACGTTGTGATTGACTCCTGCCTCCTCTGCTGTTACAGGCTGTTCCCCTGTACCTGTCTGAGATGGCTCCTCCCAAAGTCAGAGGTGCTCTCAACATCATGTTCCAGTTGGCAGTGACCATTGGCATCTTGGCCGCTCAGTTGATCAACTATGGTACCCAGTACATTGACCCTTGGGGCTGGAGGCTTTCTCTTGGTAAGCCACCAGGTTAACTCCCTGATCAGTTTCCCTTGACATAGTCAGGGGTTTTGTTGGCTTAATTGAAAGCGTTAGTGTGCAATCAGAAGCCAGCCCAGGTTTCAATCCTCACTTGTTCGAAGTCGGTTCGATTACTCATTATTCGCCTCCAGTCTTTCAAGGGCTCTCTGCGTTTTGAATGCTACTGAACACTCTGGTCTCTGCTGCAAGTCATGTGTGCTCTCCAATCGTGGATCTTCGCTGGTGGCCGATTCCTTGTGATCGGATTTTGAGTTTTTCTTTGTTGGATGTAACAAAGCGTTCCTACACGATTCAATGCAAACACTTCCCTCAGTGTCTCGCATAATCTCTGTGCAGGCCTCGCCGGTGTTCCTGCCGCGCTGGTAACCCTGGGCGGTCTCATTCTGCCCGAGACTCCCAACAGTCTGATTGAGCGTGGCCAAATAGAGAAGGCGCGCCACGTCCTGCGCAAAGTGCGGGGTGTGGACAACGTTGAGGAGGAGTTTCTGGACATCAAGAGTGCCTGCGAGGTCGCGGCGCGCGTGAAGCACCCGTGGAGGAATATCATCAAGCCGCGCTACCGCCCGCAACTCGTCTTCTGCATTGTCCTCGAGTTCTTCCAGCAGGTGAGGGGTGATGTCATGCTGTCGTCATGCATGCGGCCGAGGTTGCATGTGAGGGTGGATAGCATGCATTGTAGGCAAGTTCGTGCGCAATGGTCGAATCCTTTTGACAGGTCAATAGTGTGTTAAAATTAAGAACATGTCCTAGTTCTCTTAGGTTCGCTAGTTACGCTGTCGCACAGGAATCCGCTGGACCCTTCAAGGACGCTTAGGCTGGCCCCTTCTCTGACATATCTCTCCTCAAAGCTTCGACCTGAAAATAGTCGAGGACTTGGGAGTAGTGTTTTATTATCATCGCTTCGATACACGATCAAGTTGTGTGTCAAACGCGGCGCTCATTTACACTTGTCGTCCCCACTGCAGTTCACGGGTATCAACGCCATCATCTTCTATGCCCCCGTCCTTTTCAATTCGCTCGGCAGCGGCAAGACGGCGTCGCTTTTGTCGACCGTTATCATTGGCGTGGTGAACGTGCTGTCAACGCTAGTGGCCGTCTTCACGGTCGACAAATTCGGCAGGCGCGCGCTCCTGCTCGAGGCCGGCGTTCAGATGACACTCGCACAGGTGAGGCGGCGGTACCTTGCCCCTAAGCATTGGTTTGACTCTGGGCAGTCTCTCGCTGATTCGATTCGTATCCAAGGCAGTGCGTCGCCATTCAGTGTACCTTTGTTTGTAGAGAACATCAAATAGCCACTTGCCTCCAGTAGAGAACATCGAAGAGCTTGAAATCTCGTAACCTGAAGTTTGCCACACCCGTTCAGAACATTTCGAGGTTGTTCTTCCAGCCCTTCGACTCACCTTTTGATATCCCCAACTTTATATCCAACCTAATATCCAACTTAATATCCAACTTCCAAATCCCAAAGTTCGATGTACGAAGTATGCAATTTGCCGCTCCCTGACCCCGCCACTCCCCTCGTGCCAGGTGGCAACCGCGATCGTGCTGGGCGTGGAGTTTAGCCGGCACCCCAACGGCAATTTGCCGGAGGGCATCTCCATCGTGGTGATCGTCATCATCTGCATCTTCATTTCCAGCTTCGCCTGGTCATGGGGCCCCCTCGGCTGGCTCATCCCGTCTGAGATCCAGCCCCTCGAGACGCGCTCCGCGGGGCAGTCCATCACCGTGTTCACCAACCTCCTCTTCACCTTCGTTATCGGCCAGGTATGGTTTGATCTGCACTTTGGTTGGTCTAACCAAGGCGTCCTCCGCTCTTGATTTGTTGGTTGTCAAGAATTTTCTGATACCTCTTTAGTAAGAGGACTGTTTTCCTGACTCTCTCTGTGTGCTAGTCTGTGCGGAGCCTCTATGTTGCATTGTTCGTTTTTCGCGATTGCAGTAAAGCAGCAGGTGTGATGCACCAGAGGCTTCGCTTGACAAGCAAACGGTCAATGGCTGCAAAGAGCTGACTGTATCATCTTACCTTTTCGTGCAGTCCTTCCTGTCGATGCTCTGCGCCATGCAGTTTGGCATCTTCCTCTTCTTTGGCGGCTGGGTTGTCATCATGACGCTCTTCGTGCTCTTCTTCCTGCCCGAGACCAAGGGAGTTCCCCTGGAGGACATGCCAGCCGTTTTCAGGTAAACTACTCTTACTGCGCAGCTTTTAGAATTTTGGCAGCTTGAAGTGCGAATGGTTTGTCGGTCGGACATTGACAACTGCTACCTGGTATGTGCGGGTGCGAGTTACTTTGGTCAATATGCTTAACATGAACTGTGGGTCCATGGCATGTCGGTCTGGATCTTTTCTTAGTATGGCGATTTGGATTTCCTCCTTCAATTCAAATAGGAAAGCCTTCCGAGTGTGATCCTTCGATTCTTTCTCGAAACTTGTTCACTGTGCCCAATGGGTTACGCAGGACTACGTCAAAACAGGGGATGCACACGAACACGCCAAAAAGGATTTGTCCGATTTTGGACAGAGTTTAACCTCTGGAATTGGCACCACTGCAGGCGGCACTGGTTCTGGGGCCGCTTCTCTCCTCCGGTGGAGACAACCGAGACGGTGAAGGACACCGCTCACGGGCTTCCCGAGGTAAACGGCAAGGGGTACAACGCTCCGGCGCACGCTGCCAACGTACAGATGAACCGGTTCGACGAAGACAAGGGGGCTCGCTTCTAGGTGTCGTCAAGTTTGGGTTGAGTCGGTCACGTGTGTTGAGATACTTGCACATAGTCAGAAGCGTAACAAAACGCGTTTTTGGGTATCTGATCGCGTTGGCCAGTTGGTGCGTGTTCACTTAATCAGCGCTTTGTGAGTGGATTGTCAAGGACAGATAAAAAACGACCGCAAGGGGTCATTTAAGAGTAAGAGTGTGGGTTAGAAAACATGAAGGTTTTAGAAGAATCACCAGTAGCGGTTCGCATGAGTTTGGAGTTTGACCAGATTGAGAGGGGCACAAATTTTGGAACATTTGCACCCAGTCGACGCACCAGCTTGGTGCGCTGGTTGCACACGAGCGGTAGCTTGATTGGACGTCAAGTAGATTAGCTTACATAAACCTCAATGCAAGCTCCTAATCTTAGGTTGATCAGATCAGAGTGAACGGTCAACTAGAGTAGGGACAGTATCGAAACAAGTCGGCACTTCAGTCAGTCTATTGTAACTTGGGAAATCGTCAAACCAAGTAACTTTCATCATATCCTAACTTCGTTCTTTAATGTTCTGCCAATATTTTGCGAGACTGTCTCCTTGGGTCCATGGCATGGCAATATGGCCGTATGTGAACATGCCAGGTCCTTGCCATTACAACATGCTTATACGACTATACATTTGTCCGCTTAAGGTTGAGGGTGTCATGTGTAAGTATGTGTATCTCGATAGTATTTGGTACTGCGTATCATTTTTAGTTTCGGTATATATTCTACGGGGATATCGTAGTAGTACGCGCCCATGACATGTATGCCAATCCTGCAACGTTCCTTGCAGCGGAGTGGTGAACTCAGATAACATGCATGCCTACTCAGCCGACTCACTTGGGAACAAACTCTGATCGTGTGAGTGCATCGAGCTTCGGGAAATGGGACAGAAAGGATATAAGATATCTATAGCCCACACTAGGTAGGCATGCAAGTTTGTAAAGTATGCCCATTCCGCAAATTGTATGCTCACCGGATACAAGACGGAACAAGTGTCTGACTTGGGGACCGCAAGTGGTGAGAATGCTTCCGGCTCTGCCATTTGTGTAATAATCGGACCGGAGCAGAGCGAGATCTTGACCCTCAAGCAGCAACGTCCGAAACTAATGGAATCAAGCAAGCCGCTCCTCGCCGGTTGGCTAATTCGGGGGGGCCAGTACATCGACACCTTTTGCATTCGCTTTGCTATGTAAATTGTCGTACATGCACGCGTTCTCTCCGACGTTCGGGCCAGCCGTGACAGTGACGCAACGTGCGGCTTTGTGATGAATGACGCCGGTTAGTTTCCGTCTCCTCCCTTTGCATGGGAGGAGGTTGTGAGAAACAAGCGAGTGCACATTTTTAAAAATGAAGCTCGATTACCGTCCGTAGCCGATTGTCGAGACACGTACGGCACGTTTCATGGCGCCTGGCCTGCAGAACGACCTCAAGCAGATTTACGTGCTCGAAGACGTATGCGCATGGCAGACATGCAACTAATTTGAACTGCATGGACCGAATACAATGGTCTTACAAAGAAGTATTTGCATGCATGTATCGGCTACCCCTGAAGGTCACTGAAAAAGCACTTTTGAGCTTGACAGAAATATTCAATCATCTGTAACATGGAATATATGGAAAAAAGTACGAGCATAACAGGTTGATGCATCCGATCCATGTTTGCCAGTTCCAACGGTATAAGTCCAAGTCAAATAGTGAAGCCTAGCTACTTTGGCTACTTTGACTCGCGACTTCCGGGCTACAGCTAGGTTACTATGTTTCGCCGCAGATTGAGTCGTCAGTAGGGGCACGTGGCGCTGCGCGAGCATATAAGCAAGGACTTTCGACGACTCTATACGTCTGAACTAAATCTGATCAAACGGCGGAACCCAAAACTTTCAAGTCCTTTCAAAATGTACGGTGTATGCTTTACAAGTCAAAGTTGCTATGGACAACCTCTTGATCTCAAAGCCCACTTCCTCTTATTCGAACCATTGCGGGTTTCAAAGGCTGTTGACTCTCTATCGCTGGTTCAAATGAGGCCGAGCTGGTTCTAATTGAATGGTAATAAGCAAGAAGAATGCTCAAGTCTATACTTCCAAGCTTGCCGACCACCTCAGTCCTTTCTCGTATCCACCAAGTGGTCTCCGATTGAAAATCTCTACAGACTATAAAGAAGGTATTGGTTCATGTCAACCAGAATGCAGTCGACCTTTGCAGACTACTAACTCTACTATTTGTTGCTATACGCCCGAGTCCCAATGTATCAACCAATCTGTCCGGACTCCGAAGAGGGCGCCCTCCGAATAGCGCTAGCACCCGCCAGCGCTGCATTTGTCTCGGCCCGGGTCTCGAAGTATCTCCGCCTGCCCCTCCCTTGACAAGACTACTCGCCCGCGCAACTATCAGACCACCTCCGGACCCCCTTCTTGTGGCGGCTTCCGAGACGGGCTGAGCTCCTCCCCATACAAGTTCGCCAGCTCAGCGTCCCCCCCGCTGACGTCATCGAGCACCGCAAAACCGGCGTGGCGCTTTTGGACGAACTCGTACCCAGCGCCCCCCCGCCCGTGGCCGAAAAAGTGTACTGCGGCCCCGTACGCGACCACGGTTAGGACAACCACGGCGGCTAACCACCAGGCAAACTGCAGGTTAGCGATGCCGGTCGCGCGGTGCAGCGCCTCCTCGGTGTCGCATTTCACCCCCCCGTGGGGAACGTCGTGGATCCCGACGCAGCCGGACGGGATGAGCGGGGCGAGGTAGAGCGTCGCGCCGGTTTGGACGAACCACACCCCCTGGAAGATCATCGCGGTGGAGCGAATCATCGCAGGCACGACGTTCGTCGGTTTCCAGGCCTCGATCAGCAGCCCCACAGCCGTTACGCCAATTGTTTGCAGGAGCAGTGCGTGGAAGTGGCCCTCGAGCCCCATGTGGGTCGTCGAGTGGAACGTGAACAGCAGGTACTCGAGCGCGAAGCAGATGGAAACTAGGACGTGGAGAAACCCGTCCGGCAGCGGGAGCGCGTCGGTGCTCTCGGCAACGAGCGCGACGAGGCCGTAGATGAGGAACAGGAAGAGCATCGCCGCGTGCTCGAAGTTGTTGAGGTGGGTCGCCGGGATCTTGCCGTCAGCGAGCGGCTTGAAGTGCGGCGAGACGACGAGCTCCACCGCGATGTCGAACAGCGCCGCGAAGATGATGGCGTACAGCTCCGCGTAGCGCCGCTGGCCGGCGCGCGCGGCGGGCCACCACGGCTGCGAACGGAAGTGGCGGGGGGAGCGCGCGTACGTGCGCAGGATGTTGAACAGGTGCCACGCGCCGATGAGAACGAAGGCGAGGCCGGGCACGAGGTGGCCCAAAAACGCACCCATGGTTGCTGGGGGGTAAAAGGCTCAGGTTAAGGGGGCTGAGAATGGGGGTTCAGGGGGCTCGAAATTCTGGGGGTGAAAGGGTTTGGGGGCTCGACTCTGGGGGTTTCCGATGTTCAGGCTTCCGAAGTTCAGGCTTGGATATAGATTTCTTGGGTTATGGTCCTCTAGGGGCTTGGGTACTGGGCTTTTAAAGCTGGGGGTTTGGAAGTTTTAACTAGGCTCTAGGTTCGTAAAGGCGAGAAAGACACAGACTGGGGGCCTGAGGGGTGATCTCCGGACAAGTAGGCTGGTTACGGCTCTCGATCTTGGAGCTCGAGAAGCCAAGGTGGTTCAATAAAGGGGTTCGGTTTGATGTTGGAGGGGCGTTGTTGAACCAGGTAGGAGTTGGCGCTGAGTGGGTGCCAGAACAGCGAGGCCTCCGACGCCAGGAAACAGCAATTTTGAGTTGACAGCTGGCAGGCGCCCGACGCAGCTCCCAAGAAGGTAGAGCAGGCTCGAATGCCGGTAAGTTGACAGCAGCCAAGACCTGCGGCGGCAAAGAGGAAGAGATGTCAGAACGGAACGCTTGATAACCCAATTGATTTGGGGTACAAAAAGATTTGTTCCTTCAACAAGAACCCCCAAAATTGCTTTGCTGAAGTCCCAACACCGCTTTGAACATATAAGATATGAAACCAATATAACTTATAAACTAGAAAAGCAAACCCAATCTCCAAAAGTACAGGAGGTATCTCATAAAGCGCAAGCACACCCTAGAGTAGAAGGCATGCAGATGCCAAGTAACAACCCCAATAAGCTCCCCAATGGAACGCTTCCCCACTTGTGTTGGTCTAGGTTACCGCATCCATGCAGAATAATTAGTAGTATTCCTTTCCTTGCACTCCTCGATGAACTTCTTCGATCACAGCACAAAGGAGCTGGTCAGAAGGGCCCCAGCCTTCTATTGCCAGAATCACAAGATCAAATTCTGCATACCACCCAATTGGATTCATCTGGTTTGTGACTGGAGCTAAGTGAACTGGCAAGAGGGAGGTCTCCTGTGAGAAGAAGGCTCATTCTGCCAAACCACTAATCTGATTGCGTACCCAACACCCCAATCTCTTCTAAATGCCACCAACGAGAGAACCAGCCCTCAACGCGTTATCCCCAAGTCTCTATTCAAGCAGCATTGCCCAACTTTAGCCGACTTTGACATTACCATCCACATTTAGTGGTCAACTGAATGAGGAAAGTAAGAGAGAGTGGATCGATGCGCACGGGAGTCAAAGAGAGCCCATATCCTCTCCAAGATTGAGAAACGACTGTGCTTGAGGTGAAAGGTAGGCAGTCCCTGCTGGCCGTAAAGCTAACTCCAAGCTGCTGTTATGAGCTCAGGCTTGAAGCAAAAGCTCTGCTTAATGCGCAAAAGTCCGGGCAGAAATGCCAGTTGAAGGCAGCATTGCCATCGCAGGAAGGGTCACAAAAGAAGGGGCACTTTTGACGACTTTTAACGGAACCCAGAACCATGAACCAGAGCTACGCTGGAAAGGACATTCCAAAAAAAACGAAGAGCTGCCAAAGGTCTTTAGAATCAATGGAAATGTCATTGTCAAAACGGGTCATAATCATCTTAAAGTTCCACCACCACCAATTGAAAACCTTTCTAGAATACATATACTGGGGTTTGAGCCCACTGTACATGCCTCACTACTGAAAGGGCAGAAGTAACAGGGCGCAACAACGTACCGGCTACAACCAGCTGCCACCCTTGAGCTAGTGCTGTTGTCCTTCACAGCTGAGAGCGCCACAACCGGAAGGCTCTGCTCTCCGCTCGTTGTCCTCGAAAGGATCAACAAACTTCCTCAATGCACCGCAGAGCTTCTTGTTTCTTCCTGTTCTCCAACCTTCGTAACTAACGTCCTCTGCACACCTCCCTGCCTTCGTCTCTTGCGCCAATGGTCGTGGTGAAAGAGAGGTCGACGCACAACGATTGCAGAACTTCTTTTACGCAGAGCCGTTTTGCTTGTCATGTAGAAAATGTTGCTGCAGGCTTGCTGCTGATTGCTCTTTGCTACATGATTGCAGTGCATATGCAACGCAGCTCTTTCCAGCCGCATGCTGAAAAGTGCCAGCACTTTCGGCCGGCGCTGGTTTCGACATTGCACGGCGCGTGAGACACTCAATGCTGACGGCACTGCAGATGAGGCGCTTGGGCCGGGAAGCGTCTGGACATTCGACGATTGAGCACCTCGCTCAGCTGATAGAAGCTGTAGGCTTCATGGCGGCCGCCTGTTTGTGGTGCTAAGCTCGAGAAGCGCCAGCCTGGAGCTCCCCAGAGCAGTGCCGTTCGTCACCTAGCAATGACTGACGTCATGATGAGGGCTTCAACCTAGCTTTTGGCACACGCTTTGCCACTTGTCGATCTGACGCTCCTCAACGAGGATTGGCTGGAAAGCATCGGCTTTTGCGACCGGGGATCCTACGTGGCAGAAAGTCTGCCACAGGTCGGTCTGCGAAGCGAAGGGGTAGTAAGTGAGAGGCCACGTGTGCCATCTGCTGTGAATGTTTTAGAATCGTCGATCTTGTCAGCAATGAGCTTCTCAACCGTCCGATATGTATCTGCTAAAACTGCCCCAGTTATGAGTATGCTCATAACAGGCCGTGACTCGTGAGCGCACTACACTAATATGTAACAACTCGCGACAGTAACGAGGCTCGCAATGAGGCTAATTCGAAGGTGTCATAGGTGTTCGAAGGTTTACAGTTTCATTGAAACGCACCAACACTGTCCACAATGTACATGTAACGGGATTCCAGATAATCATCACATGAGAGCTTCCGATATTCTGAATTGCAATTTTGAGCTTGTGTATTAGGATATTACGAAGCGCTTCACTAGGAGTCTATAGCTACATTTCTTGCTGCACGGGACTTTTTCGCTTGCAGGTTGCAAGTTTAACAATCATGGATGCATGAGTAGGCCAGACAAACCTGAAAATCAACTCATCCTCTCAACAACGCCGAAAGTTGGGCATGATTGATCGATTGATCGTTGTATATGCCTTAGTATACACAAAGGAAAACACAGAACTGACCGCGTCGAAAGTTACTGATCTTTTCAAGTCAAACCCGAAATGGATACGTAAGACAATCCAATGATGGTTAATTTCAAAATGATGAAACCATGTTTGACACGATCCACATACACGCTAACGACATGTTGCCCAACATTCATCTTCGCTTATTATAGCCTTCTTAATGAAGAGCTTGATTCCGCACAGAATTCCGTCATAGCGCATAGTGTGCTATCTGAACTTCCTCCCCGAAATCTGCATAATCTCCTTTAGCTCTTTTTGACCTGAAGTCCCCCCAATTGATGGGCCTATAAGCGGGCTGTTGTCCTGCGGATAAGAGCTGCGGGACCGGGGCCACGTCGGTGGAGTACGCAGGGTTGTAGAAGAAGGGGACGGAGAAGCGAGCCCGGCTCTCGTTTACCACAACACGGTGCAGCGGGCTCTTGTACTTCCCATTCGACCACACCTGAAAAACGCCAATCTTTCACGAGCTAAGCAGCCACGGAAAAGGATGCCCAGAAAAGTCCGCAAAGTCCAGCAAAAGTTGTGGTCCGGACTACTAGCTACCATCAAAATGGTCCGCAAGATGAACAGTGGAAGACAAAGCAGAGCATAGCAACATGGGGAAGAGAAACAGCAGATGCTCGGACTGACTTTTTCAAGTGATGCGATGAGCCAGACATTCAAGAGAAGAATGTCAGTTGCGTTTAGGACCTTTCTGCTTAGTGACGAGCACAATCACGGCCAATGAACTCAGCAAGCCCAAGACGTGAGAAGCTTCTCGGCAAGAGCGCACGCGAAGGGCAATCGGGCATAAGCATCCTCGCTGAATCGATAATCAGAATCACGGCAAACATTTTTAGAAAACATTGCGCACTTCTTGTACGTTTGACCTGCATCCGGAATGTCCACAAAGTTGAAGTGACGGTATCATCAATAATGCCTCCCGCCGCGGAGCGGTACAAAAACGGGATCCGCCGGCGCTTTTCGTCTCTCACCTGCATCATGTCTCCGATGTTGATGACGAACGCGTCCCGCCGCGGCTCGATCCCCACCCACTCCCCGCCCTTCTGCACCTGCAGCCCCCCCACCTCGCCGTCCTGTCCCACAATCGTCAGCGCCCCCGCGTCGTAGTGCCTATTCACACCAAGCGTGAGGGCCGGGTTCGGACACGGACGGTAGTAGTTGAGGCGTACGAAGCTCGAGTGGTTTGCGTAGTGGGGGTCGAATTCGGTGGGGGGCAGGCCCAGGCTGGCGGAGATGCCGTGCAGAACGTCCCGGCCAAGGCGCTCCATGGCCGAGAACCAGTTCTCCATTGTGGCCCTGTAGGGAGAAGGAAAGAGAGAGATGTAGAAACAGGCTGCCAGTGGATCACTTCAGTTCGAAGGTCATACAATGGCCATCTTTCGGTTCGATCCGGTTCTGTTCAGAGGAATGAGGTGTCAGACTGATTCTGTGTGCCTATGTTGAGGTATGAAGAAGGACTACGAATGAAGGAGTGTGGTCGCATACTGGTTCATTAGCACGTCTGCAAGGAATGAAGCCTTACATTCTGAAAAGGAACCATGATGGAAAGTTAGATGTTATGAAACGAATGCAGCATCGACTGCTTAAAGACATATCAAGATTGTCAATATCGAACACTTTAGTATCTAGTGCTGAGTGCAATGATAAGTTGGTCATTTCGAAAAGAACAACTAACGCCATCCGCTCATAGGAACATGCACAAGAATAAGAAGAGAGGTGAATCTACCGGCTCTTGAACCAACAAAGGTCCATCTAGATAAGATGGACGTCAACAGTAAAGGCTTCTTCAAAATGATGGGGTAAAGACGCTGATTGCAATCTGCCTGAAACCTTTTGTGACAGTTTGCCATAGCGACTACAGGAAGACCCGCTAAGCCTACTTTATTTTGTGAGCACATCAGTCCATCACGGAGTCTGGAACCGAAGCAGAAGCCAGAAGCGCTTTCATGCTTTACATCAATAGAATGAAGGGAGCCGACTCAACGCTAATCTCAATCAAAGTCAGGGCTATATGACCTCCAAGAGGGGCCACAACCTCGGACTTTAACGCTCAGGAACAGAGATGCCATGCAGGCCAACGAGCCATAGAGTTCCCACCAGCAACAGATTTTGTGTAAGGTGCCCCACCTGAACCCTGGCGGTGCCTCAGGCCACTGGTTATGCCCATCCAGCGTGACATTCTCGGGGGCGTCATCCCGCAGGTCGGGCCTTGGCTTAGGTCCGTAGTCAAACAGCTCCTTCCAGTCGCGCACATTCTTAGTCAGCTCGCTCTCGTAATAACCATACACATTCTCAAAAGTCCGCCGCACGCGGCGCTTCTCCTCGAGCGGCAACTCAAAGAAGCGTCGCGCCTGCGCCTTCACCTCGTCGATCAGCGCGGGAGGAACGCCATGGTTTGTTACCTGCGCGGCAGGGCTGGAGTGTCAGATTGGCCGATCGCGGGATATGTTTCAGAAATAAACAATCTGTAGTCAATTCTTTCAATGCATCAGTTGTTTCGAGGCCTCTTCGTTTCACGCAGGTTTTCAGAATCACTCTCAGGGGTGCAAGCATTTGGGATTAAAAAGTATTTCCCAAAGCTTTATGCGTTTGAAAAATCTGCCCCTAGTCTGAGGACTCACGTTGGGTATCGAGTATCTGAGGTCCTGGCTTTATGCAAGACAGTCTCCTGTTACAATCGAAGAAGATAGCTAAAGCTGCACCACACCAATGTCTCCGAGGTCCACACTGAGAAAGTCGCAGCTACCAGTAAGCGCAGACGCAAAGCTTGGATATGAGGCCCCCAACATAACAAGCTATTCACCAGAGTATAGCAGCCCTGGCATTGCTTCCAGGTGCCTCAACCGGACTTGAACCCTCCTCACAGTTTACATGCATTGAAAGCTGCCATGCCCCTTGGCCCCACTCACTTGGAAGAAACCCCAGTGTTCACAGGCGTCACCAATCGCTGCGATGGCCCTCCTCCTCCTGCCATCATCCTCTGAGCGGAGATGTTCCAAGTCGATAACAGGCACCTCCTCACCCCTTGACGAGATGTACTCATTGTGAGCGGTCTTTGGTCGGTGTTCCTCAGGAATGATAAAGCAAGAGTCTATCGCCGCAGGCTCTGCTGAGGGAGGCAGCTGTACACCCATTCGTGATTGATGCTGCTGCTTTGAAGGGCTCTTGAGCTGATATCAAGAGCTCTTCCGAAACAAACTTCCTTTGCCAGAGCCAGATGACGAAGCAGCTGAGCAGGACCACTGATGAACTTCCTAGGTTTCCACTTGAACTTGAAGTTGAAGAAACAAGCCTGAAGAAACAAGAAAGCAATTCTGCCCCTGCGCAATGCTGTGAACAGCTCTAGCGAAAACTTGAACTTCGGTAGCAACACGTGTACCGGACCCCGGTAGGTACTCATGAAGTTTGATTGCTCGCAGCATGCGTGAAAGCACGAATACCGTCCGATAAGTATTGGTAGAAGAGATCGACGACTCGATGTGCCCCACATGTGTTGCACGTGGTCAGGGGGTTCGAAGTTCACAGCCGTGCGAGGTGGGCAAGCTCTGTTTGGCAAAATCTCTGGCGACATGAGTTTGCCAGATGTGACGATGATCAGAACGGTTCAGGCAGCTTGACAAATTCTGTACTGTCTGGAGAGTAGAAATCATTCCGGGGGGTGTGGACGGCATGACCGCTTTTAGCCGGCACGCCATCTGTCGCCGCAAAATAGATATTTGCTAGAGTTGCGATCCTGGGAAGGCAACGATCCTCCGATCTTGCAATTCCAATCTGTTTCATGAAGCAATTGAAGGTGAACCGTGCAGGAACACAGGCAGAATCAGCCAATCTGGGGAATTGCGTGTGAACACACGGTCATCTCTTTTGAGCTTTTTCCAGTTGAGCTCTGTTCCTTTGTTTCTCTGCGGTGCCGCTATGGCGCTGTTTCAGCAACTGGGGGCCGCTCTGAGGCAAACGGCGGCAAGATCTGTGCTAGTCTCGCAGCTGCGGTCGCAAGCGCCAGCATTCACTGTTATGCAGCAACGGGCGCAGACAACAAAGATCTTTGTTGGAGGTGAGCAGCATTCGCTAGTCACGCTCCTAAGAAATTGGATGATCGTTGCGATGTACTATTTGTCTGCTCAAGGAGGCCATCTACGCCAAAGACTTGGCTCAGTTCTATGAGGTTCCGATATTCTTATACCTCACATCAATGCTCTGAGCAACCTTGTCACATTTTGTGGGGCCAATTTTGATTGCACTATTTTCGTAATGATGGTTTAAGAGGTGTCAACAATGTTGTGCACCATTACCTTGAGGAACCGTCAAACCCTCCTGCTTACTGCGACCAGCCTTCAGGGTTGTCTGCATGCCGCTGTTATGTTGTTCTAGTGGATCCGTAGGTGCATACAGAGCTTGATTGACGCACTGCGGTAATGGTGTTCCTGAGCCATTGATTTGCCTTTTCACATCGAGAAGTTTGGGCAGCTATTCTTACTTTGATTGTAAGCTGGTGCTCTTTGATGTTATGCTTCACAGCAAATCAGAGGAAAGACACACTTTTGCGGAGTCAGTCTGTTTATTCAAATGCTTTTGATGCCAATCTGTTATGGTGTCTCGCAAGAGTCCCCTGCTTCCCACACTGTTTGCCTGCTGAAGAAACTGAAAGCAGGGAAACTGAGGTGCCAGCTTTTGATAGGTTCTTTTTTTGCACTGTTTTTGGATTGAGAAAAGCCCAGCTCATGCGCCTGATGCAAGTCTAGATCAGCTCTTTATTCATTGATTTCTTTGATTCGATGAGGCAGAAATCCGTCGATTGCTCACTCACCACCACTGTTCTTGCAGGCCTGCCCTATGAGATGTCGGAGGAGGATCTGAGGGCTCAGTTTGAGCGGTTTGGCGAGATTGAAGATGGTAGGTTTCGCACAGGCGTAAGCATACGTCCCGTCTGCTGTTGCACCCCGCATTGCTGTGATCAGAGCAGTTCTGGTTGCTCTGCACTGTCGAAAACAAATAGTCAATTCGACAAAGCAGTGTAGCCCAGTTGGTAATCAAAATCTCATGCACCCTCATCCTCAAGACTAAACTTCTTCGTGCATCTGTAACAAATTGGAATTGCTGCGTGCAGTTGTGATCCCCCTCGACAGAGCGACCGGCCGGGGCAAGGGATTCGGATTTGTCAAGTTCGCAGAAGCTGAGCACGCCCAAGCTGCGCAAGAGCTCGATGGCAGTGTAAGTCCTATTCTCAGCACGTTGAGCGATGTCGCTCTTGCTTAGATCCATAAAACATTCATAAGAATTTGATTGCATGTTCTGTTGGTTAGTTCTCTCTCATTGTTTTGATCATGTACTACCACAGATTGGGCAGTGAGAGTTGTTTCCGACTTCAGGGGATTGTATTGGAAAGTGTCTGCTTTTATCGTGCTTTTCAGCTCTAATTGTGCTTTTTACTTTCCCCAGCTCTAATTGATTGCATTTCTGGTCAACAGGAACTTGGGGGCCGGCCTATAAAGGTGGACATGGCCCAGGAGCGCCAGCCCAGACAGGAAGGGGGGGGCGGCTATGGTGGTGGGGGCGGTTATGGTGGTCGGGGGGGACGGGGCTATGGGGGCGGTCGGGGAGGCCGCGGTGGCCGCGACCGGGGGGGCTATGGCGACAGGAATGGATACGGGGATAGGGAGGGCGGCAGGCGCGGCAGGGAGGATGACGAATGGTGATTGTCAATCAAAGGCGACGGGGTATCGGTCGAAGTTGGTTGAGTTCTTGTTTCCTGGACGATGAGGATGGGGAGGTCTCTTTAGAGTTCTGGGCTCCGTTTATATGAGAGGTAGAGCGGGTGGGGGTGGCTGGACTCGTGGCTTGAGTGATAGGTCCAAGGTACACAGGTATAGGACGAATAAGGGGTCAGGCACTCGAGCAAACTTTCTATTGACGGCCTACATAGTGCAGACAATACAGCTAGGTGATCAAAGGCGGTTGCGAAGAAAGGTCTTTTGAGGGTTTCTCGTTGTTGGGATGTTTACAGGGAACATTCTTTGTATCTTCATGTCGGGCTTTTACGTTGGGCCTGAACCACAAACGCGATCTTATTGCAAAGCACTACTCTTGAGGCATCTTTACTCGGGCGGCTGATCAAGTAACCTTGGAACGAGCTTTTGTACGCTCTGGCTTGGGGATTGAAATCGGCACTACACGTTTAATTCAAAGTGCCCCGCTCAGGATTTTTTACGATGAATTTGTGTACACGTCCATGGTGGGAAGTGTAACAATCGGACATACCACCTATTCGGCTGGCACTGAGGCGGGTCACAGTTGTTAGGTGTGCACGATATAGTTCAAGACCTTCATATGACCGTCCTTTGCTGACATATGTTACCAGCTCAATTAGTGGCGTGACGCGTCAAGTGGCTTTGTTTGCAACACGATCGAACTGGCATGCATGCTTGTGCCTGTGTGCGGATAACATGGTCATGCATCCATGATCCGCCGCGTCCGACCAGCCTTGCGTCATCGAGTCCCACATGCACGTAAGCGCTGTCTGATCCCATGCACGTAACTGTAGTTGAACATATCTTGCGATTTGACTTAGCTGGCTATACATGTGTCGCGTTCGATCGACTCAATCTAAGTTGCAAGTTCAACGATGTAATCATGCATTCATACGATTCATATGTGCGCAATCATCCAGGCAATGCCCAATTATCCTCCGGCGATGCAGCTACTTTACGATCGCCACACGGTCGGACGTACTAAGCTGTACTCTTTTGGAGGTATCCTTTCAAGCATATCTCATCCATAAGACGGCGCTGCATGTCTCATGCAGATTGACATGTTACAGGATGACCGGGTCTCGAGTCGGCGGCCACATATCTGACCGAGAAAAGGCTCACGAATCGTGATTATTATCTTAGTAAATGCGCATGAGTACCTGACATCTTAAACGATCGAGGGCCAGAAACTGTTGAGGTACAAGGCCACGAGTGCCAGCTTGACATCGAGTGTAGCGTGCACTAGATGATCACATTCTGCCCTGTTCTAAGCCAGTAATTGACCACCAAGCCTGCCAGACCGGCCTACACTTATCAACACTCCTAGGTTTCAATCTACACAACGCGACCAATAGATTATGACTGATGACTGTATCTTATTACCCATTCGTTCCATTTGAGGGATTCCCAAATTAACGCCTAATCCTGCCACTTAAACTGTTGAAGAATCTTCGAGTATTGCAAACAACCCACGGAGGTACCCCATGGCGTCTCCTTTTCGTTTCTTCCGACAGAACCGGGTCTAGATCCCCTTAGCATAATTAACTCTAAGGTGTACACAAAAGTCCTGCTGGTATGTGTCAGCTGAAGGATCGTCGGAGAAGAGAGACGGCTTCCGTCTGCACCAAGACGAGGAAAGCACATTAGCTTCTCAAGGGGCAGCCTATGAAAAACAACCACGATTCTAAAAGTGATCCCACAGCAATCGGTGTGAGATCCGATCAATATTCGACGCACCCTACTAGGAGAGCCAGCGAAATCCCCGTTCATTAAAAAGGACGCGCCAGCTTCACATGAGAAAAGGAACACAATTCAAACGAAGCAAAGAAGGAGCTTCTTGCTTCCTGCCCTGCTACTACTTCCCCGCTCTTCATGGTCACAGCGTTATGACCAGTTTTCAACCGGTCAACACTTCAAAGACGGCCTCGGGCAAAAAGTTGGCCAGTCAGTCCAAGCGGCTTGTTAGTCACGGCCAACCATACGTTCCGCCCCTATCCAGTAAATGGTTCCGCCGGATCTGTGTGCCAAGTAACTTCGAATGACCCACTAAGGAAATCCCCGACCACCAGGTTTGAAAGAAACAAAACACGTTATCGGATGCGACTCATTCCTGAATTGAAAGCTCTTCAAACCCTTTCGACCGAGCGTCGGTTACGAACTCTGCCCCTTGCCGAAATAAACTTACCACGAGAACTAGAACGAGGGCTGCGGCAAGGCCGGGGAAGACGACGTAGCGCCAGCCTAAGGACTGGTGCGTGGCAGAGTCGACGAACAGAAGCGCCAACCCGGCGGCTGGATCACAAAGGGGAGCACTTTTCGAAGTTTGCGTCAAGGCAGTCATTGTTTCTAGGATTCCTGTGAGAATGGCTTCCAAAACTTATCTGATGCCACGAGCTCAAAGCTAATCTCCGGAGGAAACGGCATGCCCTCTCGGGACTTGAAGCCATGATTAACGGTCAAGAAGAGTTCGAATATAACTTATGCAGTGTTGCAAACTGTGAGAGCAGGTGCCGTCACCATCCCAATACGGGAAACAACGGTAGTTCGTTTTCAATTGCTTCAATTCATCCGCGCTAGTCAGATTGCCCAGATCTTGAATAAGGAGGAAGGCAAGACATTTTTCACGATGTTCGCACTGCCAGAGGTTTGTGCATCGTCATTATCGAGAACCTCTGCTTTTGGGGCTGTTCAGACGGTCCTTGATGATTACTAACCAGATACAGTCAATCCCTCTCCGAGCTTCTCACCGGTAGCTGTCGGAGGAGGCTAGAGGAATGCGGAATTGAAGTGGCGTAGAGCCGAGCTATGCCAGCTTTGACACGCTTATAAGGAGAGTGGGAGTAAATTGAACACGGGTCTTGAACTGGGTAAAATCGACTTGAGAGCAGCTTTAGACCGGTTTTACCAGTGTCGTAGCAGTTCAAAGCGTGGGAGCGAGTCCGAACAGCTGGGAGTCGGATATGCGATTTGATAAACAGAATCCAGATCCAAGGGCGAGGCAGCTATGGGTGCAAGCGTGAAGGGGTCCAGAAATAGAAAGTGGTTAAGAAGAGGTGGTTACTGGGGACCGGACGGCCCACTCCTTACCGGGAGGATGAAGGGACCCCGTGAACTGCATGAAAGCCACCGAAGCCGCAACCCCCACTGCGCGCGCCAGCCAGCCAGGCCCAAACAAAGCAAGGGCGGCAATACTGGCAATGGCCGCCCCCATATGTGCGACAAAGATGTTCCATTTCTGCAGCAAAGAAAAGCAGACGAGGTGTCCTCGACAATCTGCTTATCGCCCCGTCGTTGCTTTTTCTACTCTGTCATTCCTTTTCTATGTCATCTAAGCAGGAGGGAGTGGAATATCCGAAGTTTGCCGTTCATTCAAGGCATGGGGAGCTTGGGGCACTGGATTTTCTCCGGCTTAATTATAAAATATCAGCCAGACTAATTCAATCTGTGCACTCCTGGGTCGGAGAAGGCTCCTAAAACGAAGCACGCACAACGCTGCTGTTAGACTGCCAGACTCGGTCGCTGTAGCAATAACCATCCAAGGGGCCCAGAAGAGATCCAGGCTGTTGGCCGTATGTTTTCAAAGCGTCGACTAATCAGACAGTCAGGCAGGTTTGCATCAAGGAAGTCCTTGAGGAGTTGTTGAGGGTCGTAGGTTCACACTCACAGCTGCGACAGGTGCCTTTGGCGACGCTGTGAGGATGACAGCGATGGCTGCTGTTGGACCAATAGTGAGGCGGGTGAGGCCGCGGCGCACCAGATGCTGGTCAAGGTAAGAAAGAGAGGCCATGCCAGCAAACGCCCCTGTTGAAGATTACCACAAGAGATCTTTTCAGTGGGCGAGCAACACACTATAACTCAACATCAGCCACTTGAAAGTCTTCCGAGAAGCCTTGTTTGGCCCTGACAAGTGGCCACGTATCTGGGATGATAATCTTGCCACTGCCAAAATGCAAGAAGGTGATACCCGAACTGAGTTTGAGGCCAGATCCTTGAGGTTGCTGTTTCATTGCTTTCTCCGAATGCTTGAATTAAGGCAGTGCTTTGTTGAGCAGTGCAGGTTTCGAGCCACGGTGAAATGACAAAAACCACAGCAGATGTAGAAATTACAGGGTTAATGGGTGATCACTGATCAGGATTGAGGGGTAAACGATTTCACATTTTGTTTCAACATCTAGAATGAGTTGCCTCTTCCAAGCCTGATACCTCTTGGGCAGCCTAACCAAACAGTCAGCCTGTAAAGTACCAGACACTTGGATGCTACAGATCCTCTTGGATCCAGTCAATCAGTCAGCTTCGATCAACAAGGAGCTTGCCTAGGAACTACAGGACGTTGCATTAGGCACAACCAGCGGCAAAACTCCTTGACCAGTACAAAACTGCAGAAGGCATGAGAAACTTGCCTAGAGCTGCCCAGAAGATGTCGCTGGCAGGGGGAGAGTGCGCCCCCGTCAGTTTCTCCAGCCAGGCCCCCCCTGGTTCCTTTCCCTTGTCCATGGGGGAAGAGGCGCCAGCTGCTGCTGCACAGATCTTGCCATTTTCCCGCACAACTGAAATGCGGCCAAGCTCTAAGCTTTCGATCAATCTCAGACAGGGGGACCTAAGCTGCGTCGGGATGTTGACAAGAGGCTGTCTGGCTATAGTTTTGGACGGACGGCAAAATGCTGCACCACTTAGGTGAGCAGTACAATGTTGGGAGCGCTTCCTAGAGCTGGCGGTCTTGTATATGCCATTGCTAAAGGTACCAGAGGAGACAGTTCTCAGGGTTGTAGCCATGCCGCATTCCTCGGGCAGGAATGCACTTATGACCTGGACAGCTTCCAATGCTGTACAGAAGCAACCCCACTGTCTCTCTGCCAACTGACTGAAAGGCCTTCGTGAGTGTCACTTGCGACAATCGAGTAGCTGATAGGCCAAGTTTCCAGCCTCTTCCTGGTTCTCTTGATGGGGAGACGAGATGGCGAAGTGTTTGTCCTTAAACCTAGATTCTAACTGCAATCGGATCTTGCAGGATGGGCGCCAATCCGCAAATAAGTGCAAGGCAGCAGAAGCAATGCAGGTTGCAATGCCAAGTCGAAGTCCAATCACCAAAAATCCTCTGAGCTCAACCTAGCTCAAAATGGCTTCCCTGTGCTCTGTAGTGTAGTGGCTCGAAGCAACTGTGCTGGAAGACCCACCCACACATGCAGCTAGCGCCTAGTTGAGTGCTGCATCACAAAACATCTTCCATATGACAGAGTTCTGATCATCTGATGATAGCGAAAGCTTCCGGCTGCGTATTTCTGCAGCTTTGCAGATACCTCAGCCTCAGGTAAACCAATGCCGCCCCCTTCAACTCCTTAGGCTTTGGTTTGGTTCCGCTGAAGGTATTGCCCAATCAGTATCTTATGCCCCCTTTCATAAGACAGCATTTCACCTAATTGAACTTGAAGGAAGAGCACTCAGCAGACCGTATACCAGCCACTGCATGATATCTCCCGAGGATCCCAAAGGTCAGCTTGGAGCGAATCAGACGCCACCAAGTCAGCAAGTTGAATAATGTGTCCACGTGGCACGCGACACTGGCCCGGCCAGCAAACACCTTCATGCATACCTAATACTGGATCACTGAGACCGGATCGACGATTGAGCTAGTGCCAGATCGAGTTGGTCTGATCTGTCACAGTGGGCATGCCTCATGTTTTGAAAGTAATATTGCTGAAAGTTCCGGTCAGCACTGGATACACGGGGGATACACCTCAGTAACGAGCGTACAACAAGATATGCCGGCTATATGCTGTTAGTAAGATAGCTTGAGCCTGCCAGTGTTACCCTGTTTTCGCAACTAGCGCGCATATGGCGGTTCCGACTGCCTCCCTTCTGCCTTATACAACCCTCGGGTTATATCAGTAAGGATATCTTTATGAACAGCCGTAGCAAGCTGTAGAGAAACACAAGATAGAAACACTTTGCCGGAGGGGCCGTGCTCCATGCATGGCTCTAATGCGTTATAATAAATGAGAACTGCTACCATGTCGATAGGCGTTGGCCCTTTGTTAATTTGTTCTTTTTTTCAAACGCCGTAGCCACATGGGCCATAGGCTTCCATAACATACAAGGAAATCAATGTTCGACTTTTGAACACCTAGCTATACACTATCGAATCTTGGTGTGCTACTTCAGTCCAAATTAGTTTGTCGGCTTCTCCTATAGGGGATCAGCGCTAAGTATGGCAAAAGGCAGCGCCGGCAGCGAGCTTGGGATTGGGCATGTTGTGAACTGGACGGAAAGAAGCAAATGTGCAAAAGCAGACCCTTGCACGCTTAAATATGCCTGCTTACCTGACATGTCCGGCCGGATTGGCTGTCGAAACGAAGGCAATCATGGGCATATTGCCAGTGAAAAGATGGGCTCCGAAACATCAACCACTCTCTATATCTTGGACATCTGGGGCTCGACAATTGCAATGTATCACAATTTCGACGAACTTCAAGTAGGCAAGGGGTGCCACGGAAGCTTAAAAGGCTCCACTCCAATCCGGAACTGTTGGCTTAAAACTAGCCTGAAGCATTGGACTAAGTCCTCCTGCAGTTGCTCAGCCTGATAATCTTGATTAGACACCAAGTTTGACTCTCTTGGAAAGCTACGGGTTACCCCACTGGGAACTACATTAGCACAAGTGGTAATCCCTGTTGTCGCAAAATCTGTTCTTCGACCTCACTCCATTCTTTCAGGAAGTGGGAAACTCATCTGCCGATGTGCTGCAGGGAACTTGTTCCAAAAACTCCCTCATCGAGTTATCCTCAAAACCATTGCAGATGTAGAGCTGACCCCTTCATCTGCTCAGTAAACATTTTAAATTCTGCAATTCTTCTCATCAGTCTGCAGCTGAACCACCAAATACATTCGGACCACGCCTCCGGGGAGGGGGCGACTCATACCGCCTGCTTGGTCGCTCCTTCCCTGGCCGCTCTTCACCACCCCAGTCTCGGTTGTAGCTCCCTTCTCGCTCCCTCCCTCTCCCGAAGTCCTCTCTGCGCAGCGGCCCCTCTCTCTCCCGACTCGCACCCTTTTCTTCCCTCCGACTCTTTGGGGGAGAATGATGCTCGATCGGCGACTCCGACAGTGCTCTCTTCCTCACAGGCGGGGACTGGCTATCACCCCGGCTGTCCGAACCGCCCCTCTTCCTTGCTGGGCTGACGCTCCGCTTCACGGGGCTGACCACTCGCTGCCCGTTCCTTCCCCCGCTCTCTTGTGAGGAGGCCCCGTTCCTCCGACTTGGCAGGGAGCTGTCCCGGCCCTTCGGCGGGCTGAAACTTACCCCCCGCTTCAGAAGCGGGCTGCGCGCGCGGGGTGGTGGCGGGCTAGGATCCCTCATCCCGTCGGACCTGCCCCGAGAGCCGTTTCGCTCTGCACCTCGAAATCCGACGAGATAGTCTCGGTTGCGCGGGGGCGGCGGTGAGCGGGACCGGGAGCGTGACCGCCCGCCACGGACGGGGCTGGCGCCATGGTAGCTTCCGCGAGGAGGGGGTGCTCTTGCGGGCAGGGGTGGAGAAGGGCTGCGGCCACGCCTCCAGCCTGCTAAGAACAGAACAAGGGTGTTAGCAACAGAATGCAGATTTGATCCGCAAGCTTGAAGCTTTTCAGGAGCAAACACACTCAGCAGACCCTTAATATTGAGATCAATCCGTCTGCATAAAAAGTATGTTCGTTGTAATTCGATAAAGTGCCGTTTCCGTTTCCGTTTCCATTTCCGTCTTTTATTGGACGAGATATTGTCACTCGCATACAGAACATGCCGACGCAACTCCTGGGCTCAATCAACAAGCACACAAAAGGAAATATTGGAAACATATATCCTGATCCAAGCAAACACAGCAATGCAGCAGAGCAACACGTGAGCTACCAGCAGAATGCACCTCTTACTGCTCCAAAATCTACCAGGAAACCGTAAGCGAGCATACAAAGCACCGAGGGAACAAGCACTTCCTTCAGTAGACCAGATCAACGTTCAGAAAGGCAGCCCACCTGGCGGGTATCTGGGAGGCGGTCCCCCCATCATTGGCCGCGGCCCTGGATACGGCACTTCCACCAGTCCCCTGCCTGGCACCAGCATCACGGGCCTCGTCACAGGGCCCACCAGGCCCCCCATTCCCGGCGGTCCTCCCATTCCAGGGTACGCAAGCACAGCTCTTGGCACCCCCCCAGGGCCCCCAATTCTCCTCAACCCCCCCGCTGCGTACATTCCCCCCCCACGCGCCCCCATCATCGGCTCCGGCACCTTGCTGATTGTCCCATCCGGGTTCACCACAAAGCCCGTACTCTGCAAGCGCGCAGCGGCAGCAGCAGCCGCGTTCAGAGAAGAGGCGGGGCCAAAGCTCGGCCCGCGGCGAACCCCAGGGCCCCACCCCTTGGGACCGTAAGGGGGTGCTGAGCCCCACCCTTGGTAGTCAGGGCGGACCCCCCGGCTAGGGAACTCACGCCGATACGGACCTGGGCGCTCGTCCCGCCTGTCCTGCTCTTGCCACCTGTCAACCTCCTCCCGACGCTCCCTGGAGCCTTCCCTGCTGCCGCCAAACCGCCTCCCGTCGGCGCCTCTCCTGGCAGGGGGGGGTGGCCCAGCATCTGGAATCCTTGCAGCGTCCCCGTTTCGGACCACCCCCGGCCCCCTCCCTGCATCTGAGCCTCTGGAATCCAGCCCTCTTCCACTGTCAGCAATTCTTCCCCCCCTGGCATCCACGCTCCTCTCCCCACTGGGTGCCTCGTCCTCGCCCCACCCCCCCTCCTTCGAATCCACCCCCGTCTGCGCAGCGGCTGCCGCCACAGCACTCGAAACAGCTGCAGCAAGCGAGGTCTGCGGCGCATCTGACTCTGCGAGGGTTGCAGGTCCCTCGTCTTCCCCGGACGACGGACCATAGTCCAGGTCGACCTGCTCCAAGTCAAGATCGTTCTCGCCAAAGCTGTCCCTCCTCTTTGCCAAACCAGGCTCCCTCCGAGCCTCCTCCCCAGGCTCGTCCGTGGTCCTGGTGTCCACCTCTGCTCGCTCTGGCATGTCCTCCTGGCGACTGCCGGCAGACCAGCCCCGCATCCCCTGCTCTCCGACTTCTCTCTGCCCCATGCTCTCAGCCTTTGCTGCTGGCCCGTCCCGGTCCACCCCACTGTCTTCCAACTTCTGCTCCACTTCTTTGCTCCCTCCCACTGCATGCTCTCCCGCTACCGCTCCATCTTCAGCATCACGTGCGTCCCACTCCACACCCCCGTCGTCACTAACCGGACTCAAATTACCGTCTGCCATTTCCTCCCCATCTGCCTCCCATCTGGGTGCCTCGGCTGTCATGCTGGCGACACGAGACCCAGGCTCTTCTGCAAGCTCTGCTGACCCCACGCCTGCATCGCCATTCTCAACCCCAGCACTTCCTCTCTGAATATCAGGGGTCTCAGCACCCTCACCCCCCGCCCTCACAATGCTCGACACCCTCTCTCCGTTCTCTCCACGGATCCCAACAGGCGCGCTCTGCTCTGCACTGGGAGGCCCTGACTCCCTTACGCTGCCATCTATTTCGAGGTCCCGGCTCACCCCCTTCGCTTTCACTTCCGCTTCACCTGACCCTCTCTCCAAAGCACTTTCTCCATCTGGCACCCCCTCCTCTATGCCACTCAGCTTTGCTGGTAGCACTCCAGATGACTGCCTGCACTCTTGCACCCCAGCTTGCGACTCCTCTTCTTTCTTGAGACTCTGCCCCTCATCTCGCCCCTCCCTCCCGTCTTCACTCCTGCCAACCTCGCCTCCGCCACTCTCATCCTCTCCCCCGTTTTCCTCCTCGCCTGCCAACTCCTTGGCAACCTCCTCGCGCAACTTTCTGCCAGGCTCCTCGACTGCTTTTGCTCTCTCTGCTTCCTTCTCCCCAGCGAGCGCGTCCCCACTCTTCTCATCCGCCGAGTTCTCCCTGCTGCTGTTCCCCTTCTCCCCGCCAAACCGAGCGCGCCGACCCCCGTTCCTCCTCCCCTTCACTGGCGCCTTCAGGATCGGGCTCCCTGTCTCCATCATCTCTGCTTCAGCGCTTGCCGCCACACCAGCAAGCACATCCAGCGCAACGCTCCCAGAGCCTCCTAACCCGTCGGCAGGGCCAGGGGTTGCACCCTGCAAACCCTCCCCTTTTACCGCTAGGGACTGCCGATCCTCAATCCTCTTGCCCTTGATCTCCTGCAAAGCAACACCTGATGCAGCCTTGTCTTCGCCCTCCGAATCTGGCTCCATCTTGTGTGCATGCCCATTCTCCGCAGGCATGCTCCGCACAGCACCCCGCGGACTCTCCTCTGGTACCGCCGAGGGCGGTGCCCCTGTCGTGTCCTCTTCCATCATGGCCATCATGAGCTGCAGTTTCCTCTTCTTCAGTGGCATCGACGCAATTGTCGCGTTGCTAAAGCTGCGCCCCAGCTTCGCCTCCTTCTGCTCGGCGCCTCCCAGTGGCTCTGCTGGATGAAACCCCCCATTCTGACCTGCCTGACCGTTTGCCTGCTTCTTCGACCCCACCTCAGCCCCCACAGAACCATTCCCGTTCACAAGCGCGCTCCGCAGCCTCTTTGTGCCCCGCCTATCCCCTCCCCGCCCTTTCTTCTCCAGGGCGGACGCCCCCATCTCGCCCAAGGGGCTCCTCACAGCATCTTCTGATGTGGCACTTCCTGTGGTGTCCTCTGCAACCACCGCAAAACTCTCTAGGCTGCTGTCACTGCTCTTGTCAGCACTCTGGTCAGGTTCAGGCATGGAAAACCTGCAGGTGCAGTTTGAACGGCGAAGGCTGCGCTTAGACCAGCTTCTCGTGCCGAGAAACGCAGGGGACTGGCCCCATACTGAGGAAGGTTGGCTGGCTCCACAAGCGCAGGACGTGACCTGCATCATCCAAGAATAAAAAATGTTGGAACCTCAATTGTTTGCATATACAGCGTCACTCCCCAACCCCCGTAATCCGTGGATCATCTGCACAGTGCTCTGCCCGCGCTTTGTAACAAAGGCAAAAAATTGCAAGCAGTTGGAACAACAGGAGGGGCCAGGTTCAAAGCCTGGCAAGTTGACAGACACAATGACTGCTACCCCCTGGAAAAGAAAAATGGAAACAGGCTACTTCTTGATGAGCAGACACCACACCTAGGCGGCAAAGGTAGTACAAAGGACCAGGCCTCTTGCAGAGTTGCACTACAAACTATTAAGAGCAGGTCAATAAAGGCACCAGCCAAGTTCACTATCATCCGGGGTAGTTTCTGTGCCCCTCTTGAAGGAACACCTCACCATAATCCCGCCTCTCCGCACTCCCTGAACTCCCCCGTGCACGTCTTCAGACCTTGACTTGACCCCCTGACCTGCACAAGGAGGTTGCAAGGGCCTCAGAGCAATACAAACACAGCAGAACATGGCCAAGCAGGCAAAGCCTTGTCTAGCCTTCTGGCACAGGATCCATGTGACCCTTGAGCAGATAAATTCGCTCGATGTCATCAAAGGCCAGTGATCCATGACCAAGTCTCAGTCCGCTGCCCCTTGGGAGTGTAACAACTGAATCTGGTCACCTTGACGATGGCCCATGCAGGAGCCCTCAGCACAGAAGGATGCATAACTTGAGAGCTTCCACCCTAACCCTTCAAGGCAATCCGCAAAACAATCCCAGCGATCTCCAGCCTGCAACACCTCCCCAGTTTTGAAGCATGAGAAAAAGCATGTAGACGATAGGCTCTTGCCCTGAGAGGTCCCAAAAGCTACCAGCCACAAAAATTGCTCAGCCTGATGATGAAACTGAATGATCCACAGCTTTGTCCATAAACGGCCCCGTGCGCACACTTGCCAACTGAACCCCTCAACTTTCAAAGGCTGGAATCAGCAGAAGCTGATGACCAAAGCAGTCGACTAACCTGCAGAACATGCACAAGGCGTTGTTCACGAGCCTCTTGCTCTACCGACTTCGCAGGCGTGCTCTTTGAACGCTGATTCTAAGTCTGCCCAGTCCCTTCAGACGCCCCTAGCTCATCTGCCAACTTCCAACCACCCTGCGCTCCGCCAGCGCTCTCTCTGCTGATCATTCAGGAACTTCTCCTCAAACCCACCATGTCACGTCGCCTGCCAAGTTGTGCCAACGCTGCGAAGACAGTTGACTGGACCACGTGCCGCAGATATTTTGGCCGGGTGCACTTTTTCGACGACGCCGAAACACTCGTCGAACAATATACACACAGAGGAAAGCCCAAGTTCCAGACTTACATATCATGCGATATATTCGACAGCGAAGAGTTGTCGAAGGCGGCAAATTTGTCCACTCCAAATTGGCCTGGCCGGCTTTCTTGAAGTTGGTCCCAATTT